AGTTTTTGAAGATGAAATTTCCAGGACCGAAATTTTACAGTTTTTACTGATTTTGTCACCCGCAACCAATTAATAAGTCAACCATAGTGCCATATGACACGATGAGGTGCTGGAAGTTTGATTTCGGTCGGAGGAAGCCCACAGCAGAAAGCTCAACAAAACGAAAAGCTGTATTTTCAAAATTCTGTCCCATTTTCAAATGTGAAATTTTCTGAACACAAATTTGACAGATTGGATGAACTTTTTGCCCAGAAACAAATTAGCAGCTAATTGATCATGGTATGAAACCAAATTGAGGTACTGGGAGTCAAAATCCCGAATAAAACTGCAAAATCATATTGTCCCAATCTCTGTCCCATTTTCAGTTTTGAAGATGAAATTTCCAGGACCGAAATTTTACAGTTTTTACCTGATTTTTTTCACCCGCAACCAATAAGTAAGTCAACTATAGGTGCCATATGACACGACTGAGGTGCTGGAAGTTTGATTTCGGTCGGAGGAAGCCCACAGCAGAAAGCTCAACAAAACGAAAAGCTGTATTTTCAAAATTCTGTCCCATTTTCAAATGTGAAATTTTCTGAACACAAATTTGACAGATTGGATGAACTTTTTGCCCAGAAACAAATTAGCAGCTAATTGATCATGGTATGAAACCAATTGAGGTACTGGGAGTCAAAATCCCGAATAAAACTGCAAAATCATATTGTCCCAATCTCTGTCCCATTTTCAGTTTTTGAAGATGAAATTTCCAGGACCGAAATTTTACAGTTTTTACTGATTTTTTCACCCGCAACCAATAAGTAAGTCAACTATAGGTGCCAAATGACACGACTGAGGTGCTGGAAGTTTGATTTCGGTCGGAGGAAGCCCACAGCAGAAAGCTCAACAAAACGAAAAGCTGTATTTTCAAAATTCTGTCCCATTTTCAAATGTGAAATTTTCTGAACACAAATTTGACAGATTGGATGAACTTTTTGCCAGAAACAAATTAGCAGCTAATTGATCATGGTATGAAACCAAATTGAGGTACTGGGAGTCAAAATCCCGAATAAAACTGCAAAATCATATTGTCCCAATCTCTGTCCCTTTTCGTTTTTATGAAAAGGGGAAAAATTTTTCCAGAAACCAATTTTAATTATATCCCGCCGGGGGGGATTTTTTCAACCCCCAAAAAATTAAAAAAGAAAAAACCCAAAACGCCCCTTTTCAAATTTTAAATTTTTGAAACCTTGACTTGGAGAAGCCCAAAAAAAAGCAGAAAGTAAAAAACAAAAGGGGGCTGTAAAAATTCAAATTTCCCTTTTCCCCCCCCCCCATTTTCATTTTTTAAAATAAACCAACAAATTTTACGTTTTTACTTTTTTTCCCGAAAACCAAATTTTAAAAATAAAATTGATATGGAAAACATTGAGGTCTGGAAATTTATTTTTCCGAAAAGCCCCCCCCAAAAGTCCCCAAAAACATTTTCCCAATTCTGTCCCCCTTTTCAAATTTTTTTGAAAAAATTTTAAATTTAGAATTTTCCCGAAAAATTACAGTTTTAAATTTTAAAAATTGGGGACGGGGGAAAACCAATAAAAGAAAACGCTTACAAAAGCTTGTATTTTCAAAATTCTGTCCCATTTTCAAATGTGAAATTTTCTGAACACAAATTTGACAGATTGGATGAACTTTTTGCCCAGAAACCAATTAGCAGCTAATTGATGATGGTATGAAACCGAATTGAGATACTGGGAGTCAAAATCCCGAATAAAATTGCAAAATCATATTGTCCCAATCTCTGTCCCATTTTCAGTTTTTGAAAATGAAATTTCCAGGACCGAAATTTTACAGTTTTTACTGATTTTGTCACCCGCAACCAATTAATAAGTCAACCATAGCTGCCATATGACACGATTGAGGTGCTGGAAGTTTGATTTCGGTCGGAAGAAGCCCACAGCAGAAAGCTCAACAAAACGAAAAGCTGTATTTTCAAAATTCTGTCCCATTTTCAAATGTGAAATTTTCTGAACACAAATTTGACAGATTGGATGAACTTTTTGCCCAGAAACAAATTAGCAGCTAGTTGATCATGGTATGAAACCAAATTGAGGTACTGGGAGTCAAAATCCCGAATAAAATTGCAAAATCATATTGTCCCAATCTCTGTCCCATTTTCAGTTTTTGAAGATGAAATTTCCAGGACCGAAATTTTACAGTTTTTACCTATTTTTTCACCCGCAACCAATTAGAAGGTACTCCCCAACCTTTTATGAAAATACGTACCATCTCCCAACTAGTGCTCTCTGCTGTAGTATTTATACCCTTATTATATACTCTTGTTAGGAGACTTTGTCTCTTCTAGTTCTCTACCCGGAAGCCGTCCCAGCTACACTCAATTGAGCTGTCTAGATTTCTCAGTCTTATTACCTAAAATTATCACACCGCTTGTTAAATTAAAATTAGTTTTTGCTATTCCAGAACCCTCTTTTCCCCAAGATGCACGCCCCGAGCGTGTCGGAGAGTTGTGTGGTGTTATTGTTTATAGTGGGGGTTACGTTTGGAGGGGGCTTCGCAACTTCCGCTCTCACCATGGCTGAGGATGGGGACGACTGGTAAGCTTACTGAAGCTTACTGAAGATAGAATACAGAATATTATAAATGTTATTTTTATTCGATTGCGATTTTGGGGAAATTCTTTTCTATGCATTGAACTGTTTCAAACCAAATGTCATCAGGAAATTGCTCTTTTACCTCAAAATTTCGTTTAAGCTTGAACATCTAGTTAAAATTTGCAACATATGATCCTGAATCATGGCAAATAGATAAATTTTCACTTAAATTAGGTCAGAGCTGCAAGTACCTTAAATCAGTCTCCTCGTGCAGGTACGAAGGTCTCGAGAAACCGGACTGGACACCCCCTAACTCTGTGTTTGGTCCTGTTTGGGCTGCACTTTACCTCCTCATGTCCTTTGCAGGTAGTGACTTGTGGTGCATATTAAATACTGTCTTATCCAGTTTGCACCTAAACTGGTGTTGTAGATCAGATGTTGTAGGAGCTGTTGAGTGGCAAATACAAATCTAAAAAGCCCTGCGAAAAGGACCCTGCAACAAACAAACAACAACATTAATTGTTGTTTGTTTGTTGCAGGATTGGGTTTCTTATTGATAATCTAAAATTCTTCCCGTTATCATTTTGCCCATATTGAATGAACTGCCAAAGTTTTTAGTTTGTTCCACGAGTAATTTCAACTAATAACTTTAAACATGAACTTAATCACGTGACAGAATATTCAAAAATGCAGCGTTCTTGGTGTGGAGAAGGGGAGGTTTCATGAAGCAAGCGTTACCTCTCTCGCTCTACACAGTACAGCTGGTGGCTAACTTCTCCTGGGTCTTCATCTACTTGGAAGCTAGAGACCTGCTGGCAGTTAGTAGTGATTTGTTGTGTTTTTATAACATATATATCAAAACATGTTTTCAGTTCCTTCATAATCCATCGGTCTAATATTGCAATAATCATGATGGCGATTGGCGATGTTCATGGTGTTATTGTCATTGATATATAAATGTTACCCGATTTTCCCGATCGATTCTCTGAATATAATTCTACTCAAATTTAAATTTTACACAATTTTTATCTGTTATACTCTACAGTGTACACTCAGACACTACAGCCACATTTAAATTCTACAATTTTAAAGTGTGCACCATGTTATATTTATAACCCATGCTCAATACAGGCGTTCATAGAGCTGTGCTGTTTATGGGTACTGATAATAATAACTGCAATTCTCTTTGGTAGAGTCCGTAAGAGTGCAGGTATAGTAGTAACATTAGTAGTAACTAGTAACTTTGTTACACTTAATAACCAAGCAATTAAAACCTACTTTAAATTATAAAGCTTAACGCCATAGGAAATCACTTGAATTTTCTATCTACATTTTTAGTAGAATCTTGTGTTGCATTCCACCCAAATTTACTAATATGGTCCACATAATCTTAGTTTATGAATTGAATTATAAATGAATTTTTAAAAACAACTCTGTAATTTCAGCGTTCCTGCTTGCACCGTACATAGCCTGGGTAGCGTTTGCTGGATCTCTAAACTTAGAACTGTGGCTTTTAAACAAAGATAACGAAGATAGCAAGAAGTCGAGCTGATTGATTTTAACTTGATTGGATCAGGCGTGTTTACCTGCCTGTTTAATCTTACTGTATGAGAAATCCGGAAAGAAGACCACAGAAATCTCATCCACCTGAATTCTTCCGCTGATTTGTGAGCATTCAATTAACTAATCTCAACGACCCTTATATGGTCGTTGCTTGTGAGGATACCCTTGTTCCCAGTACAGCGGCCCGGAATGATAAACTTTAAGATATATTAGTAGATACTAATAGTAGTATAGATACTGGCGGCGTATCTAACTATCAGTATTTTGAACTGTAAAATAATATAATTGTCTGAACTTATTTATATTATCACATTTCTTGGCAGTTGGCAATAATTTAATCAGCATTTTCAAATTGTTTTTAAATATTGAGCGGTTATTTAAATTTTGCACTTGATACATTCATCCTAATTTTACCAATTGCTTAAAGATAAAAGCCTTTCTGAGGCCGAGTTAAATTACAAATCTTACTTATTCGGGATGCAATGTATAGCAAAGCAATACAATAGGCTTTGTAGTCATTGCGATGACCAAATAGTAATACCATATTCCTTTATACATCATCACTAAGGTGAGGATAAAATAGTTTTCTACTCATTCAGAACCGTACAGAAGGAGACAATGAGATTGAGACATTCCGAACCACGTAAAGGTGATCTCAAGTACAATTATAGGGAGTACTACCTATCCAGAGTTACTTGAGACGTTGCACAGATATTGTTGCGTCAAATGACCTCCTCTAGCCAATGAGAGACAGTTAAATAGTAATCCGTGAAATGTCCCCTACTCAAATAATATAATCGACACCCTGGCTCTATGATAAGATAATATGATATGAAGGATTTGAGTCATTTAACCATAGTACAGTTCGATTTGTCAACAACTCAACATGAAAGTGTTTGTTTCCCTCCTCTGTATCATCATGATAGCGAGTAAGTTTATATATTCTTTAAAAACCATTAATCCTTTTAATTTTAAATTGCAAAATAAAGAAGAGAGTCCCTCTGATTTTAAAACTGAATTGCAACAATATCACCTCAAAATTAGCAAGTTCTGTTTTCCAAGGTGCAGCAGAACAGTTTACGATATGGAAGACAGACAGTGAGCGCTCCTACGAAGGGTTACTGATGGTGAGTATCAACGGAGCAGCTCGTAAAAACGTATGTCGACACTATTCTTCTTACTATTACTATCCCGATGCAAGTACTTCTCTCCAGATCTGCAAGAAGCTACACTTCCACCTACTTGTCTCCGTGGACATCACAAGCGGCAGCCTCTATCCGTTCCGCAATCACTACTCCTCAGGTATGTACAAACTAAGGGGCTGTAACCCAACTTGTAGTTACAGTTCATCTTCTGCTTGTACTAGCATAAGTTATTACACCAAGATCTCTTGCGGATGCTCTGGAAACTTCTATGCAACAGCTGACGGCTGCATCTCCTGCCCAACAAACAGTGTAAACGCAACTGGTACTGTGGGTAGATGTTCCTGCGAAGCTGGCCTGTACTGGTCGGGGGGTCACTGTCTACCTTGTCCAGCGTACAAGTATAGTGCTGCTAACTCAGTGAACTGCACCCAGTGTCCTAACGGAGCTACCTCCACCCCTGGTTCAAGTAACTGTGTCTGCTTTCCAGGGCTACACAAGGAAGGTACAGAGTGTAGGGAATGTGGTGGGAACACTTTCAGTGTTCGGAACAGCACATCTTGTACAAATTGTCCTGAAAACAGCACCGCCTCTCTCGACCACTCTGCTTGTGAGTGTCTGGGCAACTATCTCTGGAACCCAGCCGGCAACAACTGCACTGAGACAGAGAAACACCACTCAGAGGAACCTTCAACCAACATGACTACCACAGTGCCATCGAACAACGCCGCTCAACCATTAACCACAAAGAATAATATCACCCAAAACAACAAGCAGACAGCAGCTCCGCAAATACTGGACAAAAAGACCAAACTTGGAAATCCTCATCCCGTGACGACAGCACTACTGATTGTGATTCTGGTGGCAGTTCTGGCTTGCCTCGTTGCAATTGTGATCCGGACATCCTGGAGAAAGACAAAGGAACCCGGGAGGATGATCATGGGAGGACTGCAAGATCGAGATCTCCCGACTGGACCCCCTCCAAAACCACCAACTTGCTGTGTAGACGAGGAGGATATTTATGTCGACCAAGATATTGCATAACTTAAAGAGCTAGGAGTAGGAGGACGCGACTAAACATTATTTTATGGGGTCGTTTACATATTTCGTAATCACTGAGGGGGTTCCAAGTGATTGCGCTGGTGTAATCTTAACACAATTGCTATGACGTGTAAAACTGATTACGGAGGGGGGAATAACCAAAAAAGTGATTACGTAATATGTGAACGACCCCTCATGACCAGTGAAAGGACCTGTGAGTATGGCAAAATAAGAAAATGGTGGCATAAAATAAGGACGAACTATTGCAGCATTGTTTTTATAATTATAATGATTTTTTCGACTTTTTTACCACTCTTACATCCTAGCCTCATATCATTATCAGGGTTATTGAAAGTGTGAAAATTGGAGTTTGATTTTTTAGCTTGCAATTTTTCAACATCTCATTATTTGGGCTCTTACTAAATCGCTCGCCCAAAAATTTCACGTGACTTTGGTTTTTTTGGTTTTGCAGCCGTACAAAACGGTTTTACATAAACTATAATCCCAACCCTAACCCTAACCATAACCCCGAAGCTATCCATAATCTTAACCACAACCCTAACCCTAACCCGAGCCCGAAATAATCGAATTCACGTTTTACTAGCCTGTCACGTGACCAAAACGGTTTTTTGCCCATAACTCTCCAGGGAAGCATTTTAACCCTACGTCATGGGGGGTGATTCAGAATCAGCGTCCAAAAATACACCGATCTAGATCACTTTCATGCCTAAAGGGCCTTTTCACAAGAATTTTCTTAAAATTTGGGCGAGCGATTTAGTAGGAGCGCATTATTTGACCATGACAGTCAAACATTTAGATCAGCAATTAAGACATAAGAATTGGCCTTTGAGAGTGGTATTATGTATACTTATTATATTATTTCAACGGTGGTCCGTGGCAATCATGATTTTTTGCGATATATTAATTGCTCCTGCGCTGATTACTGGTTTACTAATATTATTTTGAACGGTTTTGGGAATTTTGTTTGACGGTAAAATAGAACTAACCAATTAGGAGCCAATACCATGGTTTAAGTTTTAACTTGGTGCATTGTTATCCATACATTTTATTTTAAAGCCTATTTGTCAAACATTTCTGATTTGTAGGCATTCAATTAATAATAATTAGTCTCAATGTATGAAACCAATTGAGTGCAAGATGATACAAATAGTTAAGTGAAGTTGGATGACATCAAATACAATAAACACTTTATGGTGTTCTTGTAATTTTTGTTCCTCGTTTTTGTCCCATTTGGAAAAAAGGGGCAGAGTCTGAGAGTCGGAGTGCGGTGTATCGGGGTTTTACTTTTTGTTTTACTGTATTGTTTTTATGATAATTTTTGAGGTTTGAACTTTTTTGGCCACTCCTGATCCTAGAGTAAAAGTGTGAAATTAGATTTTTTTAGCTTGCAATTTTCCAACATTTCATTTAATTTGACCTTGAAACTAACTACAGGAGCCAATATGTATTGTGCTGTAAACTTGGTGCACTGTTATCGATAAATTTCATTTTATTAATTAATCTCAACATCGACATGCAACTGACTATAATAATACAAATAGTTGAGTGAAGTTGAATGACAACAAATACAGTAAACACTTCTAATTCTTATATAGCAACATGACAAAAAACAACAAATCTCATCGACCCTAAAATGGACGTTGCATGTGATGATGCCTTCATGCGAGTCCCCAGCGAAATAATAGACTTAGATACTGGTAACGTCTTTTGAACTGTAAAATAATGTAATGGTCTGAACTAATTATTATTACATTTCTTGACGGTAATTTAATAAGAATTTTCAATTTGTTTTGAAAATTGGATGGTTATTAGTAATACACTTGATAAATTCATCCTAATTTTACCAATCGTTCAAATTTTACAATTTTCTTAAAAGTCTTTCTGAGGCCGATGAGTAAGATTTCAATATTTCACAAAAACATTCTTGAAAGAAACCAAAAACAAGATCTAACTTACAAACACGGCTTCTTTTTCCCATTGGAGGTAAACTCAAATAAATGTACTAGTGTGTCTTTGTACCCAGTACAACCTACAATACTACAGTTCGACATGTATTCATAAAATCAGATAACTTATAATTATATGAGTTATAGTTACCCAAACCGTGTTCATTTTCATTACTAATATAGGATAATATTCAATTTTAATTCGAAAAATTGTAAATCTTTAAGCTTAAAAGAAACTGCCGCAATGCTTCATCAAAAAACCAAGTATATTCATGGAAAGAAAAATGTAAATTTACACTAAATGGTATTGTTCACGTATTTACAGTATGCAAGCACTGCACACAACATCATGTGACCAGCCCTATTATTGACCATACTGGTGGAACTAAGATCAAAAATGATATGTAAATCATTGGAATGGCCATAATCATGATCAGATCTTGTTGCTTCCATTGTGCAGAATAAACGCTGACTTGGTAATGCGCTACAGCGCTACAGAAAGTTGATAAATAGTCTCCGGATGGATAATGGCTAGGATGGTTTGTGTTTAGCATGGGTCAGAATGTGGGCCTTCAGGTTGGTGGACTGGGCAAAGCGTTTGCTGCAAAAGTCAAAGGGACAGTGATAGGGCCGGTCCCCTGTGTGAATCCTGACGTGGGTCCGCAGGTTGAAGTCTAGGGAAAATCTCTTGCCGCATCCCTCGAACGAGCACTGAAATCACATTGTTATTAAATCAGAAACTTTATTCTAGAACTAGCGTAACCCCTTGCCTACGGCCGGGACTTCACTATCGCAGTTGAATGCAAAAATATAAGCCCGCCTATTTTATTTGAAAACACGCATTAAATTGTCGTGTGAAAGTATGAACTCTCTCAACAGTCCAAATAGACCGCAATGTGAATGAGTGCTGTGTCGATCTTGGAGGTTTTTGCACTAGGGTACGTGTCGCACTACAGTACGGGAATCTAACATTTGTGGTACAAAACCATCAATTAAACCACTTACCACCAGCCGATTTTTTTAATTGCTTATTGGCTTCGTCAGAGTTTTGTCGGTACTATACCGAAAAAACCAATCCCGTAACTCTTACCGTTTTCTTAATTAAGCCGCTCTGAAATTTCCAAAACGCACACACAGATTCATTGAGATTATATATATAGATAGATGTTTGCTGATATTTTTCCATGTAATTGTTTCTGAACGGTAATTGTAATTCCGACCTGTACTGACTTGTACTGAATGGTGACATGAACAAATTGAACATGTTAAGATACCTATTACCTACGTGGAATGTGGATCTATCTACTCACATAAATGTTTCCGACTGGCAGAGTATTATTATTCTGACTGAGGTATCACGAGATTCAGCCGCCTGAATCTCGTGATATCTTACATGTTGTAGTCACGTCTAGTTGTGACTAGAACATGTAAAGATACCTTCCCGCAAGAGTGTATTATCTACTCACATAAATGTTTCCGACTGGCAGAGTATTATTATTCTGACTGAGGTATCACGAGATTCAGCCGCCTGAATCTCGTGATATCTTACATGTTGTAGTCACGTCTAGTTGTGACTAGAACATGTAAAGACACCTTCCCGCAAGAGCGTATTAGCTACTCACAGAAATGTTTCAACCTACCTAGCTTCAATATCTCCTTATATGGGGATGATCATTTCTACCGAATGAACATCACATGGACTCCTGTTTAGAGCATCATGAGATGCAGTGAGTCAGTTAGCACTGAACCGAGTGGAATGGAGGAACCTGTTACGCCGTACAAGGGATGTGTGTGATGCAGGCCACTCCAACGACTAATAGGAGACCTATTCATGTATGTGTATGTATGTATGTATGATAATCAAAGATGGTTCGACAAAAATCTGCAAAAATCTGACACCATGATGATAATAATTTAAAATAACACAAGCTATGTATGTGTAGCATGAGATGGATAATGTATAATAATGGTGATATACTGCATGATAGTAATATGATACGGTGCGGATCAACTTAACCCCATTAAGGGGGCATACACCAAATCTGTCCAGACCAAATGACCCTCATAGGCAGTTCAGTGACCTTCTAGCGCACCGTTTCCACACCCAAAAAAATTATTTTGAGAATTCCCATTTTTTTAATCGAGCATTTCCTGGTTGAGAGTGCAATTTTCGGAAAAAATTATTTTGTGGTTGAGACGCTATAAGTTAATCATTTCTTGCGGTATCGGGTTGAAATTTTGCTCGCCGTTTATTCACATCTATTTCATGGTGTGTGTAAACTCTTGATATCGTATCTAAAAAGGCTGGTGAGTTATGAATTTTTAAAGTCAAAAAGCTAAAATTGTCCTTTTCAGGCTTATTTTAACAAAAAGACAGTCAGGGAAGATCGGATTGATTTATTGCTTGACATCAAATTGTTCTCTGAATTCTGGCGCAGTTTTTGATGCCCTCAAAAATGTTTTTACTTATTCAGCTTCAGATCTATTGGACCTCAAAGCCAAACAACAAATTTAGGCACATTTTTCGTTTTTAATATTTACTGATTTTTCTAAAATTTTGATAGGAATGTGCTAGTGACTTTTTGAAGGGTGAAAAATAACCGCAACTAGCACATTTATGTATGAGTTATGAACAACAAAACACCCTAAAATGCTTCCCTTTGAAGTTATGGGAGAAAATGTGATTTTTTATCTGCAAAGCCAAAAATTGAAAGATTTCGTGCGGTGTCGGAATTCCGTGCAGTGCCGATATGAGATATCCCGTAATACTCTACCAATTTTGATAAACTTTGATGGATACAAATTCCAAGGTTAAATAGTGAAGGAAATCTTCACCTGAAAGGGTTTTTCTCCAGTGTGGACCAGAGCATGTCGCTTGAGCTTAGAACTCTCCTTGAACGCCTTACCACACTCCGCGCACACGTGCACTTTAGGGGCGTGAGATAACAGATGTTTCCGTAATCCGATATGATCCTTAAACATCTTCGAACAATCCTGTTAAATGGTAAGTTAAATGTCAGTCTAGGCTAGACTACAGTAACCAATCGGGTTGGATAGCTGGTACTTCAGCGATTAGACACCAGCCTTCCAATACGAATCAATCACTGTTAAAACGATTAAATTAACCGACAATTGATTAAATCGAGGGCTGATAAAGTTAAAACCCAGCTCATATGCAAGATGTACCTAAATACGTACTACTAACTGTACCTAAATACGTACTCAGGATGTACCTAAATACGTACTGTTATAGTAGTAGTGTGTCTACTAAGTAACTAAGAAACTAACCGGGTCAGTGCATTTAACTGTTCTCTCGGTCGGACTGTTGACCTTTTTTCTCGTGCTGTGGAACAATTAGTTATTAGGAATTAATTAAAATGTCAACTGTTGGTGGTAATTGTGTGACACAGCTCATGCCTTGTAGGTTTTTACTGCGGTAACGTGTGCTTGATTATTAAAAACATGAAGATAACCTCCTTAATAGAGCAGCCGTACATCAAAAGAGAAACTACATGTAAAACTTACAATTTCTTGGCAATTTCGGCCAAAGTTTTGGGATCTCTCAGGTTCATCTTATCCAGGTCACTTCTGGTCAGGGATTTGCTGTTCTTACCATCTTTACACTGAAACAAATGCAGGTTTAAGGAAGTTGTAAAAAGCTGTAATAGGCGTTCATGTGTAGGGGGGGATGCAACGTCAATTAATGTCAATTAATGTCAATTAATGTCAATTAATGTCAATTAATGTCAATGTCAGTTTTGCAAAATTTAGGAATACTGACATTAATTGACACGATATTTTTCGACCAGAGATTATGTAGTTCTACCATATTTTTAGCACTTTAGAACGTTTATATCATCAATTTATTCACTACTATCACATATGGAAATGTGAAATGTGAAAAAATTCAGATCATTAAACAATAAAACTAAAATAATACGGTTTTCCGAAATTTAATTTTCTTAAATGGGCGTGGCCATCCAAGGGCGTGGTTCTCAACATCATCAGAACTTAAAACCCACATTAAACGAAATGCCTTCATGACATTTATATTTGAATAACGAATCTTAAACAGCTAAAATTTCTCCTTCATACTAAAAAAGCCGATTCTAGATAATTTACCTGTATAAGAAACCAATAAAATATGGGCGTGGCCGGTGGGGACCGAAGATGGAAGAGTTCAAAGCTGAAATTTTTTTTGGTGGTCTTTGAACCTAAGGATCAACAGATAAGAACATACTCATAATTATTCAAGGACATTTTGTTTTTTTGAACCGGTCTAACTTACATAGACGTGAATATCTTGAATATTTATCGAATAATGATAATCTCAAATTTCAAGACAAATTTATGTCAATTAATGTCAATTAATGTCAATTAATGTCAATTAATGTCAATTAATGTCAATTAATGTCAATTAATGTCAATTAATGTCAATTAATGTCAATTAATGTCAATTAATGTCAATTAATGTCAATTAATGTCAATTAATGTCAATGTCAGTTTGGGGTTTTTATGGAATACTGACATTAATTGACGTTGCATCCCCCCCCCCATGTGTAAACATTATCCTCATTGGGATTAGCTAGGATTAACTTTGACAGCTGCAAATACATAAATACATGGTGCAGTGACTACATTTTACTGCATGCCAGAAGCTTTGAAATTTCATACTAAAATGGTTGGAACAATCAACCAATTGAAAGAAATTTTAAAACTTACCTCAGATCGCTCCTCCTCGTTAAAATCTATCTCTGAAATTATAAACTCGTTAATGACAAAAAACTAATCTGAAAAGTTTGTGAATACAGCATCCTTACAACCAACCCAATATTTGAGAAAATTAAATACAAAGATCTTCTCTGATCAGCTGTTTCATCTTTTTTTAAATTTCTCCGGAGCCTTTGAAAGTTAGCCTCAACTTAACTTATAATCCTCCAGAGGGTATAGGACACCGGTAGTGTTTGTTATCTTCCACTACTCCCGAAATTTCACCGCCGTGCCCCGTGGCCAATAAAGTAGTGACAGAGCTTGCTTATTTTTAATGGAACGTGTCAAAAATCATTTTTAAAGCGATTCATAATCGAATACTAGTGTTCATTAATTGTTTTATGATTCATATTAATAACTTACTATATTGATTAGTTGATAGTAAATCGATAAATTCATAATTAAGGAAAATGCGTGAAAAATAATTTGGGGAAAATAATGCAATGATGGTGACCTAATTTTTTTTCGAAAAACCGCCGACTTTCGTACCATTTATATATGTCTCGTAAGGTACATTTTATTTGGATCCGATATTACAGATGAAGTCAGAAGTGTCTTGCAATATGTCATGTCGATGCTATGAAATATAATTAACATCATGTAATTGATGTTATTATATTGAGCCGCGCAAAAGGAAACTTTTGGTTTGTACAATTTACAGACACTCGCGCCTGCTCTAGGTTACAAAGTGGTGCGTAGATACAGTAGAATCGTAGATGTGACAAGAATGAAGAATTAAGGGAAGAAGAAAGGGAATGTCAGATGTCTCCCCAAATTCAGATGCAAAATAGTGCAAAAGTAAGTTCAGTTCATTCTGGTTCATAAGAACTAATTGAAATGATACTTTAATGAAATTCTTACAATTTCTTACAATTTTAGTAGAACAACTTGTAGATACACTGTTACAGCGAGATAAAGTCCGACGATGAGAACGGATTAATGAGAAGTTAGTTAATAATGAATGGGGACATTTCAAATAAGCAAGGTCCAAGGATACAAATCAGGTGGGGAGGCATATTCTTTGACACGTGACAGTGGTTCTGGAGTTTGATTGCTCAATAGTGGATGCTGATCGGTTATTGCTGTGAATGACGAATATAAAATGTTCCCGAAACCTCAGGATACAATGTAAAGTGTGCGTGTAGTCATTTCGAGATCTCCTTTGGAACGAATGCAGCGAGACTATGGAACCTCCTCCCACGACAAGTAAACAGCCTTACTGCTCTAGAACCCTTCAAGGTATCACTTGCTCGATTTTAGGAGCTATTTCCCGATACCCCGCCAACCAAAGGATACACCGCCATCACCAACAACTCACTGTTGGAATGGAATCTACAAAAAGATTTGGACCAGGAATAATTGGAGGACGTACTAGATACTATTGTAAATGTATTCCCTGTATTTTAACTACCGTGTTTGTACTGATTTCGAACCATCTGTGAACTATTGGCTGATTTCGTGTAAGTGTAGCATGCTTAGTTTAACATAGCATACTATACTATACCAAGCCATGGTCTGTAGTAGTAGTACTAAGTTACTAGTACTAACACCTACTCAATACCATATTTTGGGTCGAGAAGTAAATCAGCTAAGGAACGGGTTCCTCCCATTCACATATAACAGACATCCATTCGAGGTTACAACTTTATTTCAATTCGTCAACTTTTCAACAACTCGGTAGTCGGTAGTCAATATGAATGTGTTTGTATACCTTCTCTTGATGATCATGATAGCAAGTAAGTTTACTAAGTTTTTGGGGGGGGGGGCGGGGGGGTGGGATGACCATATTAAAGTATATTAAAATGTAGGTTTTTCTCCCGATTTAGGGGCGGGGATATACTTTAATATATTTTAATATACTTTAATATACTTTAAGAATTAATATACTTTAATATACTTTAATAAACTTTAATATACTTTAATATACTTTAATATATCCCTATCTTTTTGGAGGCCTAAATCAAAAATCGCTGACCACAATAAGCTTGAAATGCAATTCTTAATCGATTCCGAAAATTTCATGCAAAAATATTGAAAACTGATGGAGTTATTTCAATTTTAATTAAGTCATTTTGGCTAGTATCCCAAACCGAGATATTATAAGTGCAATTTTGTTCATGGAGGTCTTTTTACTAAGTATCCACTATTCAGCAGATATTGAGCTATATCTTTCACATAAAGTTAGTCTCATTCAAAAATATTGAAATTTGATCGAATTTTGGGCAAAAGCTTTCAAATTTGGTGCGGTTACCTAAATATGGGCGTATGGTTTAAAGCTCATAACTCACCATTTTTTGACCAAACTGGATGTAAATTCATGTACTAGTCAAAAAACAGGCTTATCTTGCAAATCTAAACGAAGAATATAGCTCGACTAATTTTGGGTATATTTAAGTAGATTAAAGTATATTAAAATATAGGTTTTTTTCCCGATTTAGGGGCGGGGATATACTTTAATATACTTTAATATGGTCAGCCCCCCCCCCCCTCCCCCCCCCCCCCCCCCCTCAATCAATTAACCACTGCACAGTCCGATTTGTAAACATTACTCAACATGAAAGTGTTTGTTTTCCTTCTCTGTATCATCATCGATCTTTTCAAATTGCAAAATAAAGAAGAGAGTCCCTCTGATTTTAAAACTGAATTGCAACAATATCACTTGAAAATTAGTAAGTTCTGTTTTCCAAGGTGCAGCAGAACAGTTTTCGATATGGAAGACAGACAGTGAGCGCTCCTACGAAGGGTTACTACTGGTGAGTATCAACGGAGCAGCTCGTAAAAACGTATGTCGACGCTATTCTACTTACCATTACTATCCCGACACAGGTACTTCTCTCCAGATCTGCAAGAAGCTACACTTCCACCAACTTGTCTCCACGGGCAACACAGGCAGCCTCTATCTGTTCCGTTCTCACTACACCTCAGGTATGTACTACTTGAGGGGCTGTAACCCAACTTGTAGTTACAGTGCATCTACTAACTGTCTAAGCGTACATTATTTCACCAAGATCTCTTGCGGATGCTCTGGAAACTTCTATGCAACAGCTGACGGCTGCATCCCCTGCCCAACAAACAGCGTAAACGCAACTGGTACTGTGGGTAGATGTTCCTGCGAAGCTGGCCTGTACTGGTCGGTGGGTCACTGTATACCTTGTCCAGCGTACAAGTACAGTGCTGCTAACTCAGTGAACTGTACCCAGTGTCCTAACGGAGCTACCTCCACCCCTGGTTCAAGTAACTGTTTCTGCTTTCCAGGGCTACACAAGGAAGGTACAGAGTGTAGGGAATGTGGTGGGAACACTTTCAGTGTTCGGAACAGCACATCTTGTACAAATTGTCCTGAAAACAGCACCGCCTCTCTCGACCACTCTGCTTGTGAGTGTCAGGACAACTATCTCTGGAACCCAGCCGGCAACAACTGCACTGAGACAGAGAAGAATATCAGTCAAAACATAACCCGGATCTACAACAAACCAACACCAGCTCCGCAAACACCGGACAAAAAGACCAAACTTGGAAATCCTCATCCCGTGACGACAGCACTACTGATTGTGATTCTGGTGGCAGTTCTGGCTTGCCTCGTTGCAATTGTGATCCGGACATCCTGGAGAAAGACAAAGGAACCCGGGAGGATGATCATGGGAGGACTGCAAGATCGAGATCTCCCGACTGGACCCCCTCCAAAACCACCAGCTTGCTGTGTAGACGAGGAGGATATTTATGTCGAACAAGACTGACAATTATTCAAAGAGTAAGGACTTGAAGGACGCGAATGAACATTATTGCATGACTAGTGCTGCAGTGATGGCATAGAATAATGACGAACTATTTTTTTTAATAATCATTTTTGAAGTTGGAACTTTTTGGCCACCCCTAGCCTCAGTGTTATGGAGTGAAATTGACTAGATGGGGGAGGGGTGGGGGGTTCACTACCTTTATTACACTTTTTACGCTACACTTTTGCCTTTTTTGCGGTATGGTGTAGTAAAAAGTGTAGTAAAAAAGGTACACTAAATTTCACTAAATTACACTTTCTTACACCTTAAATTACACTTAACTAAATTATCTTCTCGAAATCTTCTTTTTTCCTAATATTTTCCCATCAGTCTTCACATAGTACATTTACAAAGGCAAAGCAGGGGTAAAACATACCTTAGGTGAGAAAAAATGCCAATTTTTTACACTTTTTAAGGCTTTTTTAGGCTATTTTACACTACACGTTTTTACACTATACTACACTTTTGCCTTTTTTATGCATGGTGTAAAATATCAGCAATTAAGAATGGGCCTTAATGAGTGGTAAATTCCATTATGAATTATAAATTCAATTATATTATGTCGACGGTGGTAATCGAGTTTTAGCGATATATTTTAATTTTACAATGATTACTGGTTCACTTATTCCGGTGTAATTTTTGCACAGTAGCCATGAAATAAAGATTAAAGTTCCATTTATGAGTTTCCGAACTCAAGCTTGGTAGTGAATTTTTGTTAACTTTAGCTCCATCCAGATATTCACAATACAACATTGTTGTACACGTTTTAATATCTTTACTTACCACTTAGTTACCACATTTTCAATCTAAATCATTAACTTCGGACTGAGATATTCCAATGATTTCTAAACTTTTTTCAGATGTCATTTTTCGCTGTTTGAGATCACCTTATAGACAAATGAGAACGCTTTCAAGGCAGCAATCAGACATTTGCTAAACACACACTAGCTATTGATAATTTATAAATGCATGACATAGTACTAAATCTCATATCTTAACGCACATAATAGACGTACATATCTTAACGCACATAATAGACGTACATCTATTTGAATAAATAAATGAGTAAAATGTAATAAATGAGTAAAATGTAATCTTTTCTTACTATTTAGTGTGCTCCTTGTTTTTTACAACGATTGAAGTATTAATTTTTCTCGATGTGATACATTTCATTTGTTTAAATGCACAATGAAACATAACCAGGAAACATTGAATTAGTTATAAAATATAATATTACCTGGCGTCCAAACCATGACAGAGAAAACACCGTCCAGAGTCTTAATCTGCTGAGGTCTCTTACGCCACTTCTTGTTGCCATCTAGGGTATTCAGGAGGGTCCCACACTCAGAATGCAAACGTTTCCTCTTTTTATTTACACTGCCTGGGTGATTTTCCAAAATTAGTTTGCATTTGACACGCGTATTTTGTCCACGGAAAGGAAAACCTTGACACGGTGACCGTGGAAATCACCTTTAATTGTTACAGTAAACCCTAGCAGCAGTTAACAGTAGTTAACAGTAGTTTCAAAATGTTAATCTGCAGTTTGGGGCAAGATCTGAACTCGAAATTGTAAAACAGTAAAGTTTAAAATCCCAATTAATTTGATATCACGTGCACGGGTAAATAACTCTAAATCAACTGATGTCAAACCATCTGGTGTAACAGTTTCTTCTGAAGCCACATCCAGGAGCGCATTCTCTGCAAATAGTAGCTGATCCCCGTATCGGTTTTGCTCGTAGAAGTAACTATCTTGTTCTGACTTGTGACCAGCAAGGTGATCGAGAGCTTCTATAAATGTTTTAGCCTCAGGGTCGAGGGCCTTGTCATCGTCGATTGTTGGGTTGGCGTCGCCATGTTCCGCCTTTACTTTGTTCAAAAACAGGGCATCTGGACTCTCGGTACGTGGTTTCAAAATAGTGTCTCTGTCCGGAGGAGTGGTCAAGAACTCCCATGGAGTTGGGTTCAGATCAGATTCATCTGGTCTGGCTGTACTTTCTTCCAACGGTTCAGGTTTGATATCAGGAATAGGTTCAATGGAGTCGGAAACCGCTCTGACTTCAGCGACCACTTCAACGTTACTACTCATAGGAATGGAAAACAACTACATGAGAGGAAAACGGGGAATCATTCACCATCAAGGAAAAACTCCTGGAATGCGCTAGCCTATGATAAATACCGACAAGCCCTAATAAACAACAAATTTCGATTTAATCTTGATTGTACAAAATACATTTTCATTCTATCCAGTGCCGAAATTTGACACGGTTAAAGTTCGCTCAGTTGCGCGTTCAAGAGATAAAATTGCGCGGCTTAATGAATCTTTATTTTGGATAAACAATCGAAGATAAACAATAAAATCAAAAATTAAAATTTACACATAATTTTGAAGATTTTATTGCATCATCAGTGACAATCTTTATGATTTACTGGTGGTTGACTCAATCAGTATTTGTCATCGAGTACTTTGGCTATTATTTTAGTATTTGTTCATGTTTGCAAAATTAAAATTAAAACTTCACGTTCCACGTTCGCGTTTTTAATAAATAAACCAATTAATTATTTTATATGTATCGTATATTTATATATATATATTTAAGTGTTATAATTTACCAATTGTTCGTTTGTACTTATTAAAATAGTAAAATACTACATATTGTACAATAATATAAAATAAGTAATTGGAGGACTTCGCCGCTTCGACGCGCCGCGCAAACTAGCACTCTTGCTTCGCATCGACGAGATTGTTGCAAAGCATTTAATAGATCTGGAAGGGTTGACATCTTCAATCAATAAAACGATAATGTGGGCCACGACGTAATACTTGAAGGCTTTTCAAAATTTGTACCATTTTTATTATGTTAAATCTATTGTATTTCGTATTGGTTTATGCACTTTTCGAGGATATCTGTCCTTATATTGTAGCTAGTCAATACCAGTGCTGAAATTATCTGTATACGGTTGAACCATTTTTATAGCATTCAGTTAGCTGATCGTTGGGGCTGTGCTGATCGAGATTTTGTTAAGCTGTTTCTATCAAATAGTTATGTACAGAATTGTGAAATCACGAACTGTTATTATCTAAATTAACCACATTCATCACAATGAATTTGTCATCTCAAATAAAATAGCCATCTACACTTAATTAACAATGATTCGTCTAAATTTATTGCATGCAGTTTTTAATACAGAGTCCCTGTTGCAAGCCAGGAGAGTACGACTCCTGAGAAGCACAGATTAAGGGGCTTCAAACTCTGAGGGTCTCTTATCTGCGCAATCATTCAGAGAACTGTAAACAGAAGTTTGACAGCCTCGATAAGCTTACTAATATCCGAGGTACTTTGTAACTTTGGGAGAGTTATGGTGCCTACCACAAGCAATACGATCAATTACATTAAAGCTTTACTGCCCGGAGAGACCTACTATAATAGGTGTAGGCTGAGGCGGTTCATTTTACCATAAGTTGTTTAAATAATTAGAGAACATATCTTATTAGTTGCTCTATAGGGTCAGGAACAACCAAACAATTTTTTTGACTCTAATGTTTCGGATAATGTTGACTTAGGCCACGCCCATATTTTTCACCAATTTTTAACAGGTAAAATTCTCCAAATCGTCAATTTAGTCATGAAGGGGTATGGTAGGAGTTCAAAATGTGTGCTCCTCTAATATAAACAGTAGAAAATGGTTAACTTTAGTCGAGGTCTCAGGTCTCTACAATGTCGGGAAGTTCCTGCAGGAGTTTGCGCATTGCGCTGAAGCGCTAGATTCACTGCGCCAAAAGTGAAGGTCGTAGAGACATGAGACCTTGACTAAAGTTAACCATTTTATACCATTACTATACAAGAGTGTGACACTTTCAGAGTCCTGAACACACTCCTAAATCTCTTAAATTTTACCTCTTTAAAATATATCATCTTAATAACATAATAATTTAAATAAAATTTTTCAAACAGTATACAGTACACATAATGTCACAATAACTCTATATAAAAATAAAAATAAACCCTTCAACAACTCAAAATTTTGAAAATCACCCTTGGCCTTGCGGCTCCAAGTTGAAATCTAAATCTTGGAGCCGCCTCTCTCTTTAACTGATGTCAATTTGGTTTAACACTGTTAACTTTTAAAAAGAAAATAATGCTTCACACCCAACTTACACACAGTATAAAGATATACAAAAAGATTCCAAATTGAACTTTGATTTTATCCTGGGACTGATTATCACTTCTCGATTGTTCTCCATTCTCCAATGCAGTCAGAAAGTTCAGATTTAGGTAGACTTGGTTTTGGAATCTTTGTATGTTCAGAAACAGGCCAGAAGGGGTTTGGTTACCAGAGGAATTGAATATCTTCGTGGAACAAGGAAATTAATGAGGTCTTCGTTGATTTCTATATAACTCGTCACTGACAGGATGAGTATTGACGAGATCCACTGCTTACTTCATAGCTCGTCATTGATAGGATCAGTATTAGTGAGGTTGAATGATTACTTCATAGCTCGTCACTAACTGGATCAGCATAACACGACTAACGACTAACGAGGTCCAGTGATATCTTGCTGATATGTCAAGACAAGGTCAGTAAATAACTATAAAAAAATTGCTTACAAATTACTGAGTGCAAATGCCTTCTTCACAACTACCGGCTATGAACGGAACAGATGAATCTCTTCTTTGGCTTCATCTTTTTAAATGACCCAGTCCCTCTGTAACGAGATAATGTTTAGGACTAGGAGGAACTTAGTGAAGTTCTCATAGGATTCGCTAAGAGGAAAATTCCTTAGTAAGCTAACATTCTTTTGTAGGATGTTACCACTTATCATATCTGTTATCACTTATCCAGCATAATCCCACAACTAGACCCTCTCATTCTTGAGTCTTGACAATGACAGCTGCATTGGCATTATTTTGATGCTCGGTCCAGGTCGTCTCCATGAAAACCTTTCTTTTGTATACTCTCATATTGTGTGTTAGTTTGGTGTGAAGTAAATTATTTTCTTTTTTAAAGCTAATAGTGTTAAACTTAATTGATATCAGTTAAAGGGAGGAGTGTGTTCAGGACTCTGAAGTAATGGTATAAAATGGTTAACTCTAGCCAAGGTCTCATGTCTCTACGACCTTCGCTTTTGGCGCAGTGAATCTCGTGCTTCAGCGCAATGTGCAAACTCCTGCAGGAACTTCCCGACATTGTGGAGACCTGAGACCTCGACTAAAGTTAACCATTTTTTACTGTTTATATTAGAGGAGCACACATTTAGAACTCCTTCCATACTCCTTCATGACTAAATTGACGATTTAGAGAATTTTACCTGTTAAAAATTGGTGAAAAATATGGGCGTGGCCCAAGTCAACATTATCCGAAACATTAGAGTCAAATAAAATTGTTTGGTTGTTCCTGACCCTATAGAGCAACTAATAAGATATGATCTCTAATTATTTGAACAACTTATGGTAAAATGAACCGCCCTAGTGTAGGCTGCTGCACATCAGGTCATATTATTCAGAATCGGAGGCATCTGTTGATAGATGGGTCCTGGTGTGCCAACAATAAGACAGTGCTTTTAGTTAGTGTTAAACGTCATTCAATACATACATTTAATTAAATCATTTGATGCAATTGGCAGAGCACAATTATAAATCATGAGGAATAAATCTCATCTATCCCTCGTTGTGACAGGCTTATATTACCCAATTTTACATGAACGATATTCTCACTAGAGAAAATACTACAATATAATCAAGGTACGATGTTGGATACCTGAGTTCTATATCTGTCGATAGTAACTCCATCTATGTATCTGCTTAGCTTCCATCACTGATCCTGGTACTTGAGATTCCAGGTGTGGCTTAAAACAATGTTTTAAGGGCCCAACACTCAGCTCACTCAGTTGATGGTAGAACAGTGGGTCTTTGTGCGATGTTGTAGCAGGGACTCCACTTCTTGTTTTCTCTTGCTAACCAGATTGCATAGGAACATCTGAGAGCAACCAAAGCCGCCTCTTGGAACACTGCTTTCTTTACTCTCTTTGTAACACCAATATAAAGTAGAGTAAAGCAAAGTAAAATTTATGACATGTCTACAAAATATTATCGCACTATGTGAAAAAATATAGAATAAATATTTTGAGAGCGTAAAGAGAATGCTTTCCTACACTAGGGTACACTGGGATTCGAACCATGGACCTCCTGCGCGGAAGGCAGAAGCTCTAACGCATGTGTGTCTTTTCTTGCTATGTTATTAAATTTGTAGAATGCCTCATTAACTCAGATGCTGCTAATAATGTTTATAATAGTTCACCAATTTAATGCATTGGCGTTTAAAGTAATTTATAAGTTATTGCATTAAATAGAGAATGACTGTAATGTATGATCAATTAAAGCTGATAAAACTCGTTTGAGATCCATTCATTCCATTGCTATCATTAAGAACCGGTTTTAACTTAAATTTATCCTAATCATGACAACAATTTCTACCACTTAACTTGATATTTTTCTAATGATTACACCCTTATTTTACTACAATATACTCGACTTCTACAGTGTATACACATAGGTGCTCAATGGGGGGGGGTGTCACGTCCGTCTATGTCCGCTTGTCTCATAGAATCCAAAAAGGACAGGACATAGGCGGACATAGACGGACATAGGTGGACATAGGCGGACATAGACGGACATAGGCGGACATAGGCGGACATTAATGGACACCTAAATTGCTAAATAAAATGTTCAATTTTTGCTGTTATAGGGGGATCATGTTTTTTGTCCGTTCGGTACCCTATATTTTCAAAACGGACAAAAAATAGAGCGGACAAAAACGGACAAAAATGGAAATAACATTTAGATGCTTCCTCCTCCTACTCTTCCTCCTCCTCCCCCTGGGTCTTCCTGATCTTCCTCAGTCCTCTTCCTCCTCCCCTCCTCAGTCCTCCTCCTACTCCTCCTCCTCGTCCTCAGTCCTCCTTATCAGTCCTCAACAGTCCTCCTCCTCCCCAGTCCTCCTCCTCCTCCTGAGTCCTCCTCCTGGGTCCTCCTCCTGGGTCCTCCTCCTGGGTCCTCCTCCTCCTCTTCATCCTCCTCCTCTTCCTCCTCAGTCCTCAGTCCTCCTCCTCATCCTTCTCCTCAGTCCTCCATCCTCCTCCTCAGTCCTCCCCCAGTCCCCCTCTTCCTCCTCCTATTCAGTCCTCCTCCTCCTCCTTCTCAGTCCTCCTCAGTCCTCCTCCTCCTCCTTCTCAGTCCTCCTCAGTCCTCCTCCTCCTCCTCCTCCTCTTCCCTCTCAGTCATCCTCCTCAGCCATCCTCCTCAGTCCTCCTCCTCCTGGGTCCTCCTCCTCCTCTTCATCCTCCTCCTCTTCCTCCTCGGTCCTCAGTCCTCCTCCCCCTGGGTCCTCCTCCTCATCCTTCTCATCAGTCCTCCTCCTCCCCAGTCCTCTCCCAGTCCCCCTCCTCCTCCTCCTCCTATTCAGTCCTCCTCCTCCTCCTCCTCAGTTCTCCTTAGTCCTCCTTCTCATTTCTCCTAAGTCCTCCTCCTGAGTCCTCCTCCTCTTCCTTCTGAGTCCTCCTCCTGAGTCCTCCTCCTCCTCCCTCTCAGTCATCCTCCTCAGCCATCCTCCTCAGCCATCCTCCTCAGTACTCCTCAGTCCTCCTCCTTCTCAGTCATCGTCAATCCTCCTCCTCAGTCCTCCTCAGTCCTCCTCCTCCTGGGTCCTCCTCCTCCTCCTGGGTCCTCCAGCCTCCTGGGTCTTCCTGATCCTCCCCAGTCCTCTTCCTCCTCCCCTCCTCAGTCCTCCTCCTACTCTTCCTCCTCGTCCTCAGTCCTCCTCATCAGTCCTCAACAGTTCTCCTCCTCCCCAGTCCTCCTCCTCCTCCTGGGGCCTTTTCCTGGGTCCTCCTCCTGGGGCCTTTTCCTGGGTCCTCCTCCTAGGTCCTCCTTCTCCTGCTCAGTCCTTCTCCTCCTCAGTCCTCTTCTTCCTCTTCCTCCTCCTCCTCCCTCTCAGCCATCCTCCTCAGCCATCCTCTTCAGCCATCCTCCTCAGCCATCCTCCTCAGTCCTCCTCCTTCTCAGTCCTCGTCAGTCCTCCTCCTGAGTCCCCCTCCTCCTCAGTCATCCTCCTGAGTTCTCCTCCTCCTCCTCCTCCTCCTAGGTCCTCCTTCTGGGTCCTCCTCCTCCTCCTCCTCCTGGGTCTTCCTGATCCTTCTCCTCCCTCTCAGTCATCCTCCTCAGCCATCCTCCTCAGCCATCCTTCTCAGCCATCCTCCTCAGTCCTCCTCAGTCCTCCTCCTCCTCCTGGGTCCTCCTCCTCCTCCTCCTGGGTCCTCCAGCCTCCTGGGTCTTCCTGATCCTCCCCAGTCCTCTTCCTCCTCCCCTCCTCAGTCCTCCTCCTACTCTTCCTCCTCGTCCTCAGTCCTCCTCATCAGTCCTCAACAGTTCTCCTCCTCCCCAGTCCTCCTCCTCCTCCTGGGGCCTTTTCCTGGGTCCTCCTCCTGGGTCCTCCTCCTCCTGGGTCCTCCTCCTCCTGGGTCCTCCTCCTCCTGGGTCCTCCTTCTCCTGCTCAGTCCTTCTCCTCCTCCTCCTCAGTCCTCTTCTTCCTCTTCCTCCTCCTCCTCCCTCTCAGCCATCCTCCTCAGCCATCCTCTTCAGCCATCCTCCTCAGCCATCCTCCTCAGTCCTCCTCCTTCTCAGTCCTCGTCAGTCCTCCTCCTGAGTCCTTTTCCTCCTGAGTCATTCTCCTGAGTTCTCCTCCTCCTCCTCCTCCTCCTCCTCCTCCTAGGTCCTCCTTCTGGGTCCTCCTCCTCCTCCTCCTCCTGGGTTTTCCTGATCCTTCTCCTCCCTCTCAGTCATCCTCCTCAGTCATCCTCCTCAGCCATCCTCCTCAGCCATCCTTCTCAGCCATCCTCCTCAGTCCTCCTCAGTCCTCCTCCTCCTCCTGGGTCCTCCTCCAACTCCTGGGTCCTCCAGCCTCCTGGGTCTTCCTGATCCTCCCCAGTCCTCTTCCTCCTCCCCTCCTCAGTCCTCCTCCTACTCTTCCTCCTCGTCCTCAGTCCTCCTCATCAGTCCTCAACAGTTCTCCTCCTCCCCAGTCCTCCTCCTCCTCCTGGGGCCTTTTCCTGGGTCCTCCTCCTGGGTCCTCCTCCTCCTGGGTCCTCCTTCTCCTCCTCAGTCCTTCTCCTCCTCCTCCTCAGTCCTCTTCTTCCTCTTCCTCCTCCTCCTCCCTCTCAGCCATCCTCCTCAGCCATCCTCCTCAGCCATCCTCCTCAGTCCTCCTCCTTCTCAGTCCTCCTCAGTCCTCCTCCTGAGTCATCCTCCTCCTGAGTCATCCTCCTCAGTTCTCCTCCTCCTCCTCCTCCTCCTAGGTCCTCCTTCTGGGTCCTCCTCCTCCTCCTCCTCCTGGGTCTTCCTGATCCTTCTCCTCCCTCTCAGTCATCCTCCTCAGTCATCCTCCTCAGTCATCCTCCTCAGCCATCCTACTCAGCCATCCTTCTCAGCCATCCTCCTCAGTACTCTTCAGTACTCTTCAGTACTCTTCAGTCCTCAAAATGTTTGTCTGCTAATGTCCACCAATGTCCGCTAATGTCCATCCAAGTCCGCCAATGTCCGTCCGGGTCCGCCAATGTCCGTCCGAGTCCGCCAATGTCCGTCCGAGTCCGCCAATGTCCGTCCGAGTCCGCCAATGTCCGTCCGTGTCCGCCAATGTCCCAAAAAACACGTCCGTTGTCTCATAGAATCCAAAAAGGACAGGACATAGGCGGACATAGACGGACATGACACCCCCCCCTCAATGTAAGTAGCCTTGTATTACTAACATTGGCCTTAATAATGTTTCGTTTACAATTAAAAAAAACAGATAAACCACTTAGAACATGATTGCCGTGGAGGATGAGGTCTTTGCTCAAGCAAACGAAGCACAGTTTGGAACATTTGACACAGCCAAGTCAGCTGCGTTAAAGATCAAACGACAGAGAAAACGGACCAACTCAAGATCTCATTCCTCAGAAGGCGATAATGATCCTGTATCTCCCATGTCAGATGACTTCCCTAAGGTTTATTTCAATTTATTGTTCCCATGCCAGTGGCATAATATTTCATTTATGTGCCCTAGCATAGCGCTGACACCATGCCCTTTTATTCCTCAAATTTTGGTCAAATGGGCATGGCATCTGCATCGATAGGCATAACTGTTTTTAAAGCTTTGCCCATTTTGGTTAATTTAAAGCCTGCAGCTATTTTTATACTTATGTGTTGCAATGTGTAGTATAAATTACTATTGATTTTAATATATCGTATTTGGAAACTAAATCCTGATAATTTAACTGCAGCTGAAACTAGACAGAAGTTTCACACGAGACAGGAGGTCCAGGACAGGAAGCAGAGGTCTGCCCAAGAAAGGGGGAGGAGGAGGCAAGGGCACTTGGGGCAAAGTTGGTGACGAGCTCAACTCTTCTGCAGTCAAGGACGAGTAAGTGGGGGCTGTTAATCTAAATAAATAGATCTGGAGATGAGCCTTTGAAGTCAATTTGTTGAAATTTCTAATTCTTTATACATTTGAATAAGAATATTCTAGTGTTTAGAAACCATGATGGTGATAATGATTCCCTGGTAAACTTAAAGGATTTAATTATGGACTGAACTAGTAATAAAAGTAATGCTAACAATCAAATATCAATTCCAGTCAGGATCCCAACTTCGACGCAACAGATATGGGATCAGGGATCAAGCTGGGAGCGTACATTCCAGCCCTGGACGGAGTTGAGATAGAGAAGAACCTGAAACCATTGTTTACCGAGTACTTCGAGAACAGCGAGCTAGATGAGTGTATTACCGCCATCATCAAGTTCAATATAGGTTACTTTTTACAGTTTTATTGTTTTCAAATAAATTCATTTCAATTGTTTTTATAATGACCACGATTGAAACTCCCCATCAAATATTTGTTGAAAAGTTTCAATACTCGCCAAATTCTCAAACACTTAGCGGGACTCTATACTAATTAATTAATTAATTAATTTTCCTGATAAATCTAAACCTCAGGACCGGAGAACATAGGAGACGTACTGACGCTCTGCGTCTCCATGGCTCTGGAGATGAACCCCTCCAAGAGGGAGCTGTGCTCGCGCCTCATTGCCGACATGTACGGTCGTGTCATCGAGCCTCAGTATATGGAGGACGCGTTCGTCGCGCTCCTTAAACAGGTTTTATCTTCAACCGATTGACCAATACAAACGATTACGTGAAAGTAGGGTAAGTGTCTGTGCTGATCAGTCATATGCATAATCCTTGATATAAAAATAAAAATATTTTGATTTCGTGACTCTATCCCTAATTCAAGTTTATGTCCATTAAATTGGTAATGCTGAGAAGACCCTCCTAAATAGCGTACAAAAGTGGTGTTTCTTTTGTCTCTAGAATCTAATAAGAGCGCCTATATAAACCTATATCCCACTAAATATCAATTAATTCACACTGACATTACCCGTCCGACAGATCCCGGACCTGGAGTTGGATAACCCAAGTGCGGCTGATGACATTGGCAGGTTCCTTGCTCGAGCCATAGCTGACGACTGTCTCCCACCTGCCTTCCTCAAGAGGCTCGCTAGTCATGACTTGCACAAGAAGTCTCAAGCAGCGGTCCTTCACGCCTCTGCTCTTCTTAGTAAGTAGCTGATTTTAATTTCTAAAATTTTATTTATGGTCATTTATAATACTCCTTCTATTTATTCCATAGTAAGAAGATGTCTTATTGTAAATATATGTATAATACTATGCCCGAAGTTTGGTTCAGTAAATTAAACTGCTTTTTAAGATGATTTAGGTTGATCAGTTAGGATGGCCGGATAGGGAATGGAATATGTGTATGCCTGCTTGTTCTAATTTGTATTGAATAAACAATTGTAGTTATTGCTAAGCATGGGTTGGGTAAGAGTTGTGGTTTCTTATTTCTTGGTCACTACCATGATGTGACTAAGGACGTCCCAAAAGTTTTAGAAAACGTTTGGAGAGGTTTGTTGAAGGTCAAATTAAAAGTTAAAATTATGAATGATGATAGCTTATAGCATACTATATCATATGATAAAAGCATGAAATACTAAACTGGGGGGGGTGTCACGTCCGTCTATGTCCGCTTGTCTCATAGAATCCAAAAAGGACAGGACATAGGCGGACATAGGCGGACATAGACGGACATTGGCGGACATTGGCGGACATTGGCGGACATAGGCGGACAAGGACGGACATATACGGACATTAGCGGACATTAATGGACACCTAAATTGCTAAATAAAATGTTCAATTTTTGCTGTTATAGGGGGATCATGTTTTTTGTCCGTTCGGTACCCTATATTTTCAAAACGGACGAAAAATAGAGCGGACAAAAACGGACAAAAATGGACAAAAACTGACAAAAATGGAAATAACATTTAGATGCTTCCTCCTACTCTTCCTCCTCCTCCTGGGTCTTCCTGATCTTCCTCAGTCCTCTTCCATCTCCCCTCCTCAGTCCTACTCCTCGTCCTCGTCCTCAGTCCTCCTCATCAGTCCTCCCCAGTCCTCCTCCTCCCCAGTCCTCCTCCTCCTCCTGAGTCCTCCTCCTGGATCCTCCTCCTGGGTCCTCCTCCTCCTCTTCATCCTCCTCCTCTTCCTCCTCAGTCCTCAGTCCTCCTCCTCATCCTTCTCCTCAGTCCTCCATCCTCCTCCTCAGTCCTCCCCCAGTCCCCCTCCTCCTCCTCCTATTCAGTCCTCCTCCTCCTCCTCAGTCCTCCTCCTTCTCAGTCCTCCTCAGTCCTCCTCCTCCTCTTCCGTCTCAGTCATCCTCCTCAGCCATCCTCCTCAGTCCTCCTCCTCAGTCCTCCTCCTCCTGGGTCCTCCTCCTCCTCGTCATCCTCCTCCTCTTCCTCCTCAGTCCTCCTCCTCAGTCCTCCTCCTCATCCTTCTCATCAGTTCTCCTCCTCCTCAGTCCTCTCCCAGTCCCCTTCCTTCTCCTCCTCCTATTCAGTCCTCCTCCTCCTCCTCCTCCTCAGTTCTCCTCAGTTCCCCTCCTCCTCCTCCTAGGTCCTCCTCCTGGGTCCTCCTCCTCCTCCTCCTCCTGGGTCTTCCTGATCCTCCCCAGTCCTCTTCCTCCTCCCCTCCCCAGTCCTCCTCCTACTCCTCCTCCTCGTCCTCAGTCCTCCTCATCAGTCCTCAACAGTCTTCCTCCTCCCCAGTCCTCCTCCTCAGTTCTCCTCCTCCTCCTCCCCAGTCCTCCTCCTGGGTCCTCCTCCTCCTCCTCCTCCTGGGTCTTCCTGATCCTCCTCCCTCTCAGTCATCCTCCTCAGTCATCCTCCTCAGCCATCCTCCTCAGCCATCCTCCTCAGCCATCCTCCTCAGTACCCTTCAGTACTCTTCAGTCCTCCTCCTCCTCAAAATTATAATACATAGAAGTTGCGAAAAATTCCCAAAATGTTTGTCCGCTAATGTCCACCAATGTCCGCTAATGTCCACCAATGTCCTTCCGAGTCCGCCAATGTCCGTACGGGTCCGCAAATGTCCGTCCGAGTCCGCAAATGTCCGTCCGTGTCCGCCAATGTCCGTCCGTGTCCGCCAATGTCCCAAAAAACACGTCCGTTGTCTCATAGAATCCAAAAAGGACAGGACATAGGCGGACATAGACGGACGTGACACCCCCCCCTAAACTATATCAGATGACAGTGCTTACACTGGATGATTAGAGTTTAACAAAGTGATAACAAATGAGATGTACTATGAGTTGGTTTGCAATCCTTATCTTTACCATTTACAGTCGACACGCAGTATGCAAACGTATTACATGACAATGATTATCATGCACAACATATGCAATATCTATGCAACAGCTCTGGTCACGTTATATATGTGTAGGAGAATAGAGGAGTATACATTACATTTGCACACACTAGACAGTAGACTGTTACCTCTTTAAGGCGAACTATTCATATAGGGATTGTTCACGTTGTTACTGAGTAGACGTTACACCAGCGTAAGGTTTTCCAAACCCACGATATCTTCAATCATCATGTTTGTTAACTCATTACACTGAATGTGATAGATGTTTCAAATGGTAATTTTAATTAGGTTCCGCTCCATTAGGGTTCTACTTGTACTAATTCTACATAAACACCACGAAATACCTGAATTTCAGGTTTTCATACGTTTCCAAATCGGGCCCATTTGGACTTTCTGACTTTTTGGCTCGACTGCGTGCTTTGAATATGGGTAAAATATATATTCTAATATGAAGTGAGTCAGGTGGTAAAGGGTGCAACCGCAAGGTTTATTCTCAAAAACTTGCGTTAGCAACAAATAATGATGTTTATTTTCAGCCCTGAAGTTTGCCATGTCAAAGATAAGCAATATCTGGGGAGTGGAGGGTATGGAGAAACAGACAACCAAGTTCTACACCAACAAAGTGTGGTTCATCCTCAAGGAGTATCTCAAATCATCAGAGTTGGAAGAAGTTAAAACGTTAGTTTTACTTCAAATGAAGCTCATATTATAGTATGTGACTCTATATTTTTTAGCAGTCACCGTTGTTTCATGTGATTTAAGTTTTTGAAGCGTGTACCAGGTGGACTGAGATTATTTGTGGGATCTATCCTAAAATTATGAATTTCAGGAGTTTGCGAGAGTTAGATATTCCTCATTTCCACCATGAGGTGGTATACGAAACGATCGTCCTGGCTATGGAGCAGCGTGTTTCGGAGTTCGAGAAATACGCTCAAAGAATGATCGATCTACTACAGTTCCTTGGAAAGGTATAGAGATTGTAGTAATGATATGTTTAACTGCATTTTGTCCAATGCGTTATGTGGATAGGGTAATTTGTCTGCCTCAAGATTGGTGTGGCATCAATTTTCTGCTCAACTGTATGCGCGCACAATTTTGCGCGCGTTATGAATGCTCACAGCTACAACTTTTAAAATATGTTTTAAGGAAAGCACACTATTTTTGTATGCAAACACGAGGTATTGCGAAAATTTGTTTAGTATTTGACCTGGCTTGATGCCAGAACTTGAATCACGGGACATCTTTGTGTAATGAATATACATTTAAACATTGAATCGTTCCATGAGAATTCCTCTCAGTTGGCCTTATCAGAGAAGCAAATAAACTGAGATTTAACCACTTATAGCTAATTTTAGAGAACTGGGTTCATTGGCAGACGCCGTAACATTGGCGGGTTCAATTAAGTCATCAGTATGAGGTTAATTTAAACTTGTCAATGGAGAGGGTCTGAAAAACCAAAATTTGCCGAAATGATTTGTGAACGGTATGGTCCGTAACAAATCCTCATAATCTATTTCCTGAAAGTTCTACTTTACAAAGATTTTAAAAAAAAAACCGTTTTCAATTTCTTATGTCTTATTGTATTTACATAGTTTTCCTCCTAAGTCCTGAGTACTCTGAATAGGACAGGAATGAATCAGCTGTTCAGCCACTTTTGAACTCCCTTGATTTATCGGACAAGGGGCAATTGGCAAAATCACTAAAAATTTTACGCGTTTTTAATCATAGCTATAACTAATAACCGCATTTAATTGTTTCAGACGTTCATTATCTCCAAGTCCCAGTTCGAGACTGGATTCAAACGGGTTGTTGAAGATCTCGACGACCTTACCTTCGACATCCCCAACGCTGTTTCCCTGTTCTCCCAGTTTTGTGACATGTGCGTTGCTCAGTCCTTCATGTCGGATGAGACCTACGAAATGCTCCATCCCAACCGTGGAAGAAAGCGCTTCGTCAGCGAGGGAGACGGCGGCAAAATCAAAACTACGATCTAGCGGCTTCTAGATTGAAGCCCAGATATACATAATACTGACTGTCGAAAACATTTAAACCACAATAACATATAATTTTTAGAGTGAATCTTAAATCAGACTTATGTAATGGACAGATCGTTTATTTTAGTTCATTTAAGAGGGTTTTAGAGGTTTACTGCGTGTCAAGGACTTTGTGCTAAAAATTTTATACCAGGGACAGAAAAGCATGGTCTCAATCGAAAAACTAAGGGTTTTATTTGATTTTGTATTAACTTATTAAATTTGTATATTTGGGGTTTGGACCTGTTTGACGTGTTTAACCTTGGTGAAATTGTACGCGTTTTGGTGTACGAACAAATAACACTTGAATAACTTTCGTTCATTGACAGAATGCCATCTAAGATTAAATTCCATTCTGATTTCCACTCTCACTCCCTGTTTGTTTTGAGAACCTTGAGAGCAATTTTCACCAATTTGGTAGATTAATACAGGAAAGGTCTAATCCCAAGTACAATTTCCAGAAAAATATTTCCGATAGGAAACCGCAAAAGGATTAAATCTCTTGATACTTATTCGACTTTTGATAACTTTTGTTGTACTTTAGTTTATCTAAAGAAATGTTTTTTGAATTATGTCTAAGCTTTTAAGCATATAATGTTCATATTTTTGCGAGAAATTTTTACGTGGCTATTGGATAATAATATTTAAAATGTTGACTAATTTCGGGCTGTAGTTTCAAATCGAGGATTATTATGCCGAGTATTAAGAGTGGAGGGTTTTACCGTTCTCCCTATAACTAGTACTAATTGATAACGGTTAACTTTGCCCGTTTTAACACGGGCACCCCTCCTACCCAAGATAATTTTCAACACAAGGAACAGAACTTTATGCGTATCCAGTATCGGATAATTAATCTTCTGATTTATTGAGCACAGCATTTTAGAGGTGAGTTTAGACGATGGAATGTGTTATGATGCCATGTTATATATTTAGAAATAAATCAATAAACCGAAGTACATGAAGAGTTTTTATTTTACTAAAAATTTCAAACAAGAAGAATGCGCTCAAGTCTCTTATCTGTAAAATCGCATCAATTATGATAGTATTTCTACTGACAGGGTTACTGATAAATATATGTTCTTGTCAATTGTGTGAGCCCACTTTGTGAAAAGGGTCGCTGATCTTAATCTGATAGAATCAATTGGACGAATTCTGAGTCCTAAAAAGGGTCACTCGTTATATTCTTGCCGATTGGATGGATGGTCCTCCGAATTGGGTCATTGGCTGAGGAGGTCACAGAGAAGGAACTCAGCTTTTGTCAAATTCGTTGCTTTTCTGATTGTCTCTCTTTGAGCTGCAAATATTGATATCTTAGAGTAAATTATAGGGCATCTGGGGTTTGTTGTTGAATCGTTTGAGATTTTCAAGTTACAGGTCAGAAGATTATGATTATCAGAATGAAGTATTAAGGAGGTGCGCGCGGCTGGACGCGCGCTCAAACTTGTTATAGTGAGCGCTAGAACTCAACTTTAGTATGCAATTATTCTGTCGCGTCTTCCAAGGTTAACACTAAAATTGGGGACTATCGAATATGGAGAGAAAATTTGTAGTCAGGACCAATACATTATACAAGTAAACCAATACAAGAAAATGAATGTAAACCATTAGTTTTAAAACAAGTTACTCGATGCTATTTTTATTGTTATTACATTTGAAAGAGTCCGTGTTTCAACTTGTAAGCTAGTTTGGACTCCAAAGTTCAATAGTTTACTGTAGACTGTTAAAAGCTTAATCGATCCTAATTATATATCATCTGAAGAGGAGCTGTTTAAATATTTAACTTTGTAACAGTTGCTGCAGTGCTGCGTACTGTTAGATTAATGACATAGCCCCTTCGTTATAAAACCCCGATTTACTGTGCCGCGATTTACTGCAAACCCCGATTTACCGCGGCCATTTCCTTTCCCCCAAATAGGGCTGGATGTTTGCTTTCCCCAAATTCCGCGGTAAATCTGAGTTTTACTGGTCAGAGCCCATTAATTCGATAAATTCACGATGATATCAATAAATATACAGTTTTGTTCTGAAATCTAAACGATTTCCTTTTAAACCAGGCCTGATAGTAATAATCCTGCTTATCCCTCCTAATCGCTCTGTAACCCTAGCACCACCCCATTTGAGGTTTTGTAACAAACATAACTAATAAGTTATATAGTGGGAGGAACCGCACATTTAGTGAGAAGAAGTGTGAACCACCTTCACACATATAATAACCTATTCACTTGTAAATCTGAGACAATGCTACTAAGTGTTTAAGGTTGACATAATGGATCAGGAACAATGGGGAGATGTGTACCAAGGCTTAGTCAGGCTACTTAAACAAAATATGGCGGAGATGATTAAGCAGTTACATCACTGCTTATAATGTGATAACATTATTTTCACAACTTTGAGTTGTGAAAATAGTTTTATCCAACGAGTTTGACGAGTTGGATAAAACGAGTTATATCCCGAGGTTTGACCGAGGGATATAACTCATGTTATCATATTATAAGCAGTGATGTAAATGCATTCTCTGATGATCTACGAAATGATGTTAGCGAATGCAGCATTTACATCGGAAATTAACGACCGATAATATTACTACATAGAACATTCCAGAGTCAAACTTTCTAGAGGACACATCCTTATCTCTTAAAATTGTTACAGGTCGCTGAGATGTTGCTAATTATTTTAAATTGGTCAAATAAGCTCAGTGAAGCTCACACTCACACAAAACTTGCCACAAATGGTTGACTACTTGTTATTGACATTCTGTAAAATTTTGAAGCAAAAATATTTATCAGAACATAAGTTATACCACTTTCTGTTTTTAAAATAATTAGCAACATCTCAGCGAATAAGGATGGACCAGGGAGATAACAATAGTTACATCCCTCCTATTTACCTGTTAATCACAGCCTAAATGTAGTACCAGGGAGATAACAATAGTTATCTCCCTCCCAGTTATTGCACCCCTATTTAATGCATTATATTAGCGTAAACAAGAGTGAGATAACAACTTTTACATTATGGACAGTTACACACTGATCATGAGAGAATGTTGTTTATTACTTTGCCATTCTTATTATGTAGCTAGTAGTAAATTTGAATAGGTCATAATTCCCATAGACTGTCTCCAATGTAAAAGCTAATACAGGGTGGCCCAGAATTATGAGGTATAAAGTTGTGTCTCGGTCTGTTGATCACAACCTCTGATGATAATAACTGACTATTGATGCCAGCTAATACGGGGTAAACAGTATCGGCTCAGTTGAGTTATTGAACAGTTTCTCGATAAGATAACTAGCATTGGATCTAATCAAGATCATTCTGGTACATTCTGGAATCATGCCCCTAGATAAATCTCTCTGGCAGTTGAGCTTCCGCTATCTTGCAGCTAAAGGCAATGTTACCTAATGTCCATGTTGCTATTGAACTAAAACCCTGCTATGGAGTGTTTCAAGAGAGAGCCATACAAATATCGAGTGTTCGAAAATCCTAACTCCATTTATCCCAGCCCTTCTATAGTTTCAACTAACCATACTCAACAGACTTTCCTTTGTCCCAATTTTCTCCTATTTTAGCGGAAACACCGCCTAACGTACTGCAGCAAATACAACTAGTGTCTCTATACTGCGTAATACTGCGTATTTTTCTTTACCTTTAAAAGTAAATCCGTATTCAAAAGCTGAGCTCAGGCGAGGATCATAGTCCTCTATTGTCCTCTGGAGTCTGGACGATCTGTACTATTGTTTTAAGACAATCAAAACGATTAAGTATGGTAATGTAATGGCTTGGCTCACCCGGGGGACTCTTTAAAAGGACGGTATTGTCGCCAAGCTGATCGCAGGTGGAGGCTGGTACTAGGGTAAATGGGGGAGAGCAATAAATATACTGGCCAGTCGAGGAAGTTTATGATATAGTTTTCTTAGAATAAGAGTGAGCTGTTTTTTACACATTCTACTTTTTACACATTCTACTGTTATCCCGACACCATAATGGGGCACAGATACTGGATTACTGGATTACTGGACTAAGCGCTCAAAGCTATACAATGCTTTTGATAAGTATCTTTATCAAGGGGCGTTATACTTAATATGAATTTAAAATGGGATGAGAGCTTTAGGATGGATTCGGGCCGTATTAAAAGTCGGACGGCGTTTAATCAATAATACTGCCATTCTAAATTTCCATTAATGCCTTGAATTATCTTGTATTAATAATGCAAAAGAGATGTTTTATTTATTATATCGGATATCCTCCATAATATAATGTCATGACAACATAAAGTGAGCCGAGCCAGAGTAGGAAGATGGTTTAAGAACTTTACTTTATTATATGCCTGATATTTGGGGATCCCAAATTTCTTAAGTCGTACCGAGGCTCCGTCCCAGTAAGGGAAACATAAGTTACATGGTCTCTATAAGTACCTACTAGTTACATAGTCTCTATAAGTACCTACTAGTTTGACATAATGACTAACGAGGGGGTCCCCCGGATTTCATCTATTGTCAGTCCAGTAACAAGGGCCCTCCTGGACGCCAATAAGGACCTTGCCACATTCTACCAGCTAACTTCAATAACCGGTACAACGCTATTTGCCAATCAAAACACAAAGATAATTTATTAGGGAGCGTTCACTTATGACGTCAGCAGCCGAGGGGCCAGGGGTTTTAGAAATGCTGACGGTTGCTGACGGGAGGAGACAATTACCTTAATATTAATATTTCAGTGATCTGAACTCGTAAGCCCCGTCAGCCCAACAACACGCATCCCTCAATATTTTGGCACATTACATGCTTTACAGGTTATGACATAAATTCTCCCAATTTTTCGGCTCAAGGAAATTTATTTAAACAGAATAGTATACACTATACAGTAGTGCTACCAATTCCTTTCTTAAAAGTAAAATACTCACCTAATTTAGTGGTTGTAACAACCACGGTTGGATTTCTGCACTGTTCAGATTGACGTTCTCTTGTCAGATGTTTGTAGACACACTCTTCTGACGAAACATAAGACATGTCCTCCTTCCAAGTTGTCCCTGAACAAGATTGTGGGTAGAAAAGTTGGATAATCCGCCAAATTACAAACATGAATCTATAATGATATACAATTTTCATAATATTTCACCAAAAGAGATATCTTTACATGAAGAGCTCACCAATAAAGTTACTGAGCGGGGCCCAATGTCTGGTGAGAGTGGCAAAGTCCGTGTACAGATCCTCCGAGAGGTGGAGTTTACGCGCTGCACCCTTTAGAGACTTCCCACGAATGGGCACCGCGTGCGGCAGTTTGGTAAAGTGGTAGAGGACCGGGTGTATGAAGTTACAGGTGTGAGCTCGGTATGGGTCCAACTGAAATATATGTGGCAAAATGTTACTAGGTATGGGTCCAACTGAAATATATGTGGCAAAATATTACTAGGTATGGGTCCAACTGAAATATTTGTGGTAAAATGTTACTAGGTATGGGTCCAACTGAAATATTTGTGGCAAAATGTTACTAGGTATGGGTCCAACTGAAATATATGTGGCAAAATGTTACTAGGTATGGGTCCAACTAAAATATATGTGGCAAAATGTTACTAGGTATGGGTCCAACTGAAATATTTGTGTTAAAATGTTACTTTTTAGGAGCTCGGTATGGGTCCAACTGAAATATTTGTGGTAAAATGTTGCTTTTAAGGAATTGGAATTCAAAAAGTTTTTGAGCCATTTTTTTGAACAGTTTTTTAAAGGAAAGGTATTGTTTAATTTATGTTTTGGGACAAAGTGAGAGTATTGTGTTGAGAATAATTGAACGGCTAATAAGCAACCGTTTGATGTGACCACCATTTTTCTAGGGAAGGGATTAAACGCGTTGTCGTGATCAACTTTGAAAACAAAAAGAAATGAGTAGAAACAACTAGAAATACCTCTGTTCGGTCGAGCCTGAAAGGGTCTCCCCCAATCTGAGAGTACCCAGCCCCGTACTCCAGCCTCACCACAACCAGGTCTCGTGACACGTCACGTGGTTCTGCTAGCAACTCTGGATGGTTATCACGTGATTATTATTAATCACGTGGTTATTATTAATCACGTGGTTATTATTAATCACGTGGTCATTATCAACAACACTAGTGCGGCTCCTTGAACATGTTTTACCCAAATATTATCGTGTCAAAATTATCATAAATCCGTTTGATTAAATCGTTTGCAATATTCATAGATCCTCAAATTAAGGAATTGTCTCCACGAAACGCTTTATCCTTACCGTGGATGCGATGCAGCAAGCCATGGGGGACATCCTTGAACACTTCGATAGTGTTTCCACGCCGTAGGTACACATCCACCAGTACGTAGAACATCTGAGGTAGTAACTGTTACCAAGATACTGTTACCAAGATACTGTTACCAAGATACTGTTACCAAGATACTGTTACCAAGATACTGTTACCAAGATACTGTTACCAAGATACTGTTACCAAGATACTGTTACCAAGATACTGTTACCAAGATACCAAGTAACTGTTACCAAGATACAACGCTCTCAAGCTCATTACATATGTAATTGGAGGTAATTGGAAACATAAATATCATGTTTTTAGCTACGTAACACTACCAATGATCCTGGTAAACTCTGACCGGGCTATAACGGACTATTACTAAATTAGCTGTGCTGGTTTTAGTGGTTTATTGGTATCTATATGTTTCTTAGGACCTGGGCTTGTGAATATTTGAGACAGCACCAAATTGAGCTGGTGTATACATTTTAAAAAGCATAATCTTACTTTTCTGAGTAAATCTGATTATGTGAACGAGTTTAAAGTGATCGTCTGATAGTGGATCTGAAACTTTGATTAGATAAAAAGTAATAACCTGGTAAGGACCGTTCATTTCGTTCATTCTCTTCAGCATGAAGGAGACGATGCCATAGAGAGGTACCGTCTCACTTGGCCACCTGATGGAAAGTATATTATATAGTTAAAGACTAGGTGATTACATCTTAATGATAGATTGCAAGCAATATAAACTCTGTATGACTACGAATAGACAGAAAATTGGATGCGTAGACATGGATTCTTCTTCTTCGTAGGGGACATTATTATTCTCGTAGGGGACATGATGGATTATTAGGGGTACCAGTACAATCACCATCGACAAACTTGGATTTTATAATGTTCTTGTTATTAAATTCTTTTACTACATTACAGTACCTACGGCGTCGTTCATTGACTACTCCGATTCGTATTACAAAATCTACGATTTTGGTAACATGATAAAATATACAACAAAAATAAGATAATCAGACGATTAAAGTATCTTCAGATAATCCAACTGACCTGATACCATTAGATCAGCCCTAACTTGGAGTGTGAGTGAGCTAGAATGTTCGGAATTTCACTCATTTAATAGTAACACGGTGATCTCCGTATGTGGCGGTAACAATTGGTAATTAATGAAAATGAAATCTCTGTCGTTGTGACCCTTTAAAGTATGTTCAGATAATCCAACTGACCTGATACCATGGTTCCTTGCTGCCAGGATCCAGGCCAGTGTACGGGAGGAGTATCTAAACCCGTGTATAAATCCTCCTGATGATACTCTCTTATCTAGCCCGTGTGTAATGGTGCCCGCTGAAAGATAAAGTTATCTAGACCGTGTGTAATGGTGCCCGCTGAAAAATAAAGTTCATTTATCTATCATCCTAATTGGAGAGTCAGTGAACTATCCTTACCCTTAAATTAACCTCGAACTTGTGTCTCAGACTTAACTTAAAGTTAAACTATCTGAAAAAGGCTAACAGAAGGGATAAGAAAGATTAAAAAGATGAATGTTTTACCGTAGTAAAGGTTTTTTACGGTAGCTGATTGGAAATCCCACCCCATACTCGGATACTTGGTCCATTTCTCCTCCTTCACCTCCTCCTTTCTTGTTTTCGTCAGATTTGCAAAGGGAGACGGATCGTACTGTTAAGGGCAATAATTATCAATGTATCCGACAATGTGCATTACGATGTTGATATTCATATATCGAATATGAGTCAATAATTTTCGGAGACTATTCCGTATGAATAGTACAATAATGCACTGTAGTGCTATCGTATATTATATATATGGGAGAATGGTATGTGTTGTTATTTCTTTATTTGTTGTGTTGTTATTGTTGTTGTGTTGTTATTGTTGTTAACAATTTCAGTACAAGTATTTTATCTTTAACTGCTAACTTGCAGAACATAGTAAAATGTACAAACAAAAGTTATAAACACAGTAAAATTTATAAACAAAAGTTATAAACACAGTAAAATTTATAAACAAAAGTTATAAACACAGTAAGATTTATAAACGCTCACATCGAAACCCAGACAGTTGATGACCTTATCATAGGGGCCTAGAAATTCATCCTGGATACGGCCCCTGTTCTCCTCGTGGTCCCGCAGGAATATCTTACCTCCTTTCTTCTCGAACACTATTGGTTGTTTGTCAAGATCCCTCTCTGAAATAGCATTTATATAAGAAGTGTTCTTTGATCCAAGGACCATGGTAAATTGTGGGAGTGGGTGTGTAATCATGAATATTCAGGGGGTTAAAACGTGAAGTAACGTCGAGGGGAAGAGTTGCAGTTTGAGAAAACGGTGAACAATGGACGATAATTATGTGAACTGTGCGGGAATGTAAAACAGTGAAAGGATAATTATTCTGAAAACAATCAGACGAAACAAGTGGTTGTTAAGGATTAAGGAGCCCAGAAAAAAGGGGAGGAGATTTAACAAAGCAGACAAATGATAGAGAAGGAGAGAAAATGGAGAAAAGAGAAAAGAGAAAAGAGAAGGAGAGAAAAAGGAGAAAAGAGGGAGGAGAGTAATGACATGTTCTCTTACCAACTAGCGCATCCAGACTCTTAAGCTGGTAAGTATCTAAAAGCTGGTTGTTAACGCCCCTAACATCACCCACATAGTGGGTGTTCCACGATAACTTCACCCGGTCCCTGCAGGGGTCAAGTGACGTCATAAGGTCAATTGATTACGTCACAACGTGGATTGATTACGTCACGATATTATAGATTAATTACGATACAAGTTGTTACGTCACGAAATAGTTGGTCTATCTAATTACCCCTGTTGTAGCCCGAATCCCGATACTACTCTGGCTGTTATAAACCCGCTCAACGCGGCTAAATCACGTGACCTAGCTTCCTTAGTTTCGCTAAACAGTACCATTAACTGATTTACACGCATGTATCACATTAGGGTTCGTTAAAACTTTCCTTTGTAGTGTGTATATAGTTCTCTCAACATATTATGAAACGTTCACCATAAATATTATGGTAAATAACAAATATATGATGAATAATTCATGTAACACGTGTAATTTCTCTTACGATAACTTACCGAGACAAAAGATGGACGAAGTCTGTGTGTCCGTAAATCAAGTCAGCGGTCTCAAACGCCGAATTCCCTGTAAAGATGGTTACTAAATCACAGAATTTAACATACAATAAACTAGAAGGGTGCATTTTTCTCATTCCTTTGATGGAGTAGAAAACTTGTATTACCTGCATTATTCTTAATTAGTCTCTGACTGACTGAAAGTACGAACTCATGCTGGCAACAAGAAAAATTGGCTGAAAGCCAGGACATTTAGGACAACACCCTCTCTTACATTTTACGCAGATACGCGAGTGTTAAATTTAATTACAGTGCTAATAAGTTAATCGGTTAATTTATCCACAAATAAGGTGGTTTAATCAGTCTTACAGAGCACTCTAATTTATTAAATTATGCAATTAAAACTTTCAAATTACGACAAACTTTGGTGTATTGTAATATGAATTAGACGCATTGCAAGCTGAAAAACCAGCTGAAACCTGAATTATGTACCCTAGGTCATCTTAAGAAGACTGAAAATTTGGAGGGGTATAATTAACATGGCAATCGGATATGGGTTCCGCGAAGACAAACCTTTTCCGAGGATAAGAACCTTCTTTCCCTCGTAGTGGAGCGGGTCGTGGGAGACAGTGTCGTAGCCCTGAGGTAAAACATGTTTTACTAAACTACTAGGTTGCACCATACATTGGTGTAGTTTCCTTTGTATTGATGAAGTTAAGAAATTAATTATTTGCCGCTCTTAGACATTTGGTCGACTACCCTGTTTTACATTTACGTGTAGATTATAGAAACGATGAAAATTGATTCCTCTCACTTCATAACTTATTAATTACCAAACTTAAGTGACTTTATCAGTTCAGCAAATTTTAAAAATCCATTTCTTAAACCAACCTCGGATAAATTAAACCGAATATCCTACAACCCACATTATACCCAGATAAATTCTAAACGCGTTAATGCACCTGATTTGCCTTATTGTCAGCCTTTTTTGATGGATTTATAGCCTGGAACCAACGTCACAATAGCACGTACAGTAGTATATATATAATATATATAGTACTATAGTAGTAGTATAGTAGTAGGCTAGCTCGAATAATAAAAAGTTAGAACGTCTAGACCCCAGGACAAAATACTTAGTGAAATGTTAGCCGGAGCTGCGTCTCCTTCTCCTCATAATTATCCATTACACAATACCTTGGAGCTGTTATCCATGGAGCGCTCTGGCATTCCAGGTTACGGTACCGCTATACCCCGCTATAACAGTTATCATCATTATCTGAAATAATACCCACTGGCCCCTTGATTCCTATTACGCTTATTAAACTTGAAGCGTTGACTTATAATTATATTGAGACGCCCCTCTAATAGATCATTAGTATCATCAGGTACCGTGTGTTTTGTGGTGGTGGGAGCTAGAGAGATCTCGATCTTTACAGCTGTACAAAAACTTATTGTATAGGGGTTATATATATAGTACTACAACTACTAGTAGTAGGGGAGATCAGAGAGTATAACTCTGATAGAAATATCTGGTTGTGATATATTACAGGGAAACTCTAATCCAAACGTATGTATTAGACTTATGTTATGATCGACAATTTCCTTATATGTTTAGAATGGGAGCGGTTGAATTTATACAAATTACTCAATTACTGCTAAAGGGTCATTAACCTAACAATGATCAGATCAGTATAACGATGATTTCAAATTGGCTTACAGACACCTGTACTCTACAGTGTTATAAGTATAACCCAAACTTAATGAGTTATTCATTAGCATCAACGGTATGGCTAGTATTAATTGTTTATAAGGCCGTGTGTTCGAGAGCTAGCCTCAGTCACTGATAGAAAAATTTACAAATATCATATTTTACAAAAATGATATTTTTGGTACCTGAATGTTCGCCGGTAGTAAGCATGAACATTGCCTTGTTAAATCTTGGATATGTTCAAGTTTGATGCTGAGTGGAGACAATTAGGAGTTAGAGGGGAATAAATGCCTTAAATGCCTTTTAATTACACGTGGGCGACATTTTAAAGATCATATCGTTCTGATCATTTACATCTACTTCCGTAGATGTTCCGATCTTTTTTAAACTCGTGACAATGATTTACCGATCAGCTTCCAATCAAATCCACGAATATACGTCACGTGTCAAAACATACCCATCCACAAAGTTCCAAGTTTATCGTATCTTAGACTTAAGTAACTAGGCTGGCTAACTGTTTTGAGTTACAATTCTGTTACAATCTGTCAGTATCGGCAACTACAGATATTATGTGCAATCAAATTTACATGATGTTAGAGTATACATCTCACAATCCAACCCTACAAACGCATTATACCCAGCAAATCAGCTGTTCCTGTTGTTCTATAAGCTTACAACATTTCAATAAGATACACGTCGTTAAGGAAGGTGCAATTTTAATTGTACAAAGTGGAAATATTTCAATTATAGCTTTCTTTGTTTAAAAGTTCATAGTAACTTGTAAGCAAGCGTAGGTGGGAAGTAACCAGTATGTAGTAGCTATTATATACAGTATACACATTAAACCAGTGGCTTGACGACCGCCCCCGTTACCACCGCTATGCGGGGGGTGGCACCTTTGGGGCGGCATTTTCTCAACTTTTAGGTATTTTTAAAGTTTAAAAGAGAAAACGTCTGATTTCTGTATTATCTCGTTCACTTGAACATTCGGTCGAAAATATTTGGGGGTACAAAAAGCTTCCAGGGGAGGGGGGGGGGAGAACGCCAACAATTAAAAAAAGTATACTTCAAGGTTTTCAGAGCCTAGACAATCCATCTTGTCTACAATTCTGTAGTATTCTGCTGCTTATTACCTCTCATCATTTGTTTAAAACATCCAATTGTTAGTTAACGATTCTGTAGAAAATGTGGGGTCAAGCACTTCAATTCTCCAAAACAAACGTATGGTAACCTTTATATTTTCAGATTGATTTGATGTTTTTGTCTTTTGAGATAAATCCTTTAAAAATCCTTTCTGTTACGTACGTACCAAAATGTATTGCTTACACCACAACTACCCTTATCAAGTCTGTATTGATAACATCCATAATTATTGCCCCAGACTTAAAGGAAATTTGCAACAGTCTAATTTACAGTTGGGCATATTGCAGCTAATATAAGATAGGCTATATAATGTAACCAGCTAAAATCACACTGCCTAACTGTACACATTCTCATTTCTATCCCCAGACAATGGTACACTAAATAAATCTTACAATCTCAATCTTCAAACATCAAAACTCGAGCCCACTCATCCTTGAAACTACCGCCATGCATTATTTATAAGACATAACTTCTTACTACCAGCGAGGAGGTAGCTCTTTTACATAGCTGTCTCTTATGTATTTCCACACAAATCTCTCCTATCTTATATGTAACACGTGTTAAAAACGGACATGTTGGTTACCTTGGTTACGGTTACTTCGTGGTATTGAAATCGCTGGAAATGAGATAATGTGTCTAATCGCTAAAAGTGTATGGTTTTTACACTCTTAACGGATCATGTTGATAGATTCAACGTTATCAAATATTATATTTATTACTATTGTACTGATAGTGGTACATTTTTATCGTAAATTATTAATCAGAAAAACAATTTCCTGACTCCTGAGTGTTGAGCTGTTGTTACTACATCTGGAGCTTAAAAGAGCTTAAAAGAGCTTAAAATAGCAATGATAGCTCACATAAGAACACTTCAGGAAATACCAGACTTTTACCGGGTAAAATGTGGGCCGTTATTCTGCTAAATACCACGTTACCGGTTGCTTGGTGAGTTCCGGCGGGATCTTGCTAATTAGAAACATTTGCTGATTTTTCCAGATATGTTACATGTTCCGATAAGATCATTGATTATTGTGGTTACGGGAGATAAATATAAATTATGAGAAATAATTAAACATAGTTAGAGATAATCGGGATACCATATTATCACCATATTACCGCCTCTATGGAGTCTGCGCTAGTGCGCTACATATGTTTAATAGTATAATACCAATAATTATAAACATTGGTTAACCGACCAAATCGATCATTACATATTTATAACCATAAGATTTGCCGCCTTAATGTTAAGACCCTGTTTGAGTAAACTTGTAGTTGTGCCAAACTAATGTAGTTATGTTAAGAGAAGCACATTCGAGACACTATTGGGATCTCTAGTCTCTAAATAATGTTTTAAAAAGTGACACCACAGTTACACAGTAAAAAAAGAGAAAACCGATTTTAAACGAAGGAATACCTCGACGTCATCTGAGCCTTTGAACTTATGAAGGACTGATATTCCTGTGCTGAAATAAAAGTTATTTTACAAAGTGATTGAGTAAGAGATTTCCAAGAGATCGGTACGTGTCACGTGATGCTATGCAAGATTAATATTGAGTATGGAGTTATGGACGTCTCCGTCATAAAATATCAGTAATAAAGTGTTTAGTAATCACGTTGTCGAACAGAAAATCGGCACAAAGTTATGGAAAAAAGAAGGATTTATCATAGTTCAAAGTGAAATGTTGTTCTAAAAGAAAATGGATGATGTCAATGGCAGCCTAGCGATCAACGCATCAGCAAGGTTTTTGCGACTAACCTAGCAACAACGTATTTGCACGTGTACACGTCAGACTTTGAGGTGAAAAGAGAAAAAGAGCTGTCGGACGGATCCTGGACGATCTGGTCGATGTTGGTGTTGTAATGGATCTTTATCTTGAACTTTTCTACATAGTCTTGTAGATACTCCAACTGATGTAACAGTGGTTTAATTTCCATTTTAAAAGTGATTTTTCAGCACATAACACGTGTCACCGTATTCAGAGTGTGTGCTCATTATTTCTAATATCTGCATTATTATTATCTGCATGAGATGGCTAATAGAATTCCAGCTGCAGCCTGATAACCAAAATAATAATGATGTGTCCTCACTCCTCAGTAAATTAGACAGCATAGTTATTAGTTGTACTATATTACGGATGAATTTTTATGAACACATGTATGTGTAGAAAGATTATTCCTAAACAAAATTGAAAGCCGGTATTGTTTTGAGGCTAAACAAGACTTCAGCTCGCAACTTCGCCTAACGAAATTCCAAACAATATTAAAACAATTCCGACATAAATTTGGAGAAGACAATGAAAATAATTATCTTACGAAAGTATCGGCGGGAGGGAACATCTCTTTACTGTAGTGTTTAAAAACCATCTCTGGATCATCGCTTAGTAAACTGTTCCAGTCGTGTCTCATGTTAAACTCTGTGTTCGTCTCACCAGTGTGGCGCTTGTTTATGGAGATGAGGGTGCGTCGTCGTGGGTAGACTTCAAAAAATGAACCTGTGGAAAAAACATTAAATTTAGAGTTATTTTATGATTTAAAATGTTGGTCTTCATTGGTTACTTGATGGAGTTACCATTAAATACCAGATATCATGGATGCACAATGGATATGGTTGAAGTTTATGATAGCCTGGATGTTTCCCAAAATTACAGCAAGGATAGTACTCGATATAAATGTTGCAATACTTATGGAGCCATACCGATTTCAGGAGGGACTTAATCGATTTTAGATATGTATTCAAGCACAAAAGACCAACAATTATAAATGTCATTTGATGATAATGAGCGATTCACTAGGGGAAGGGAGGCCCGGCGCCCGCCCTAATGAATTCATGACTTTTTCCTCATTGATAGACCGGATATTTCATGGTTCAAGGTTTTTTTTTCGGATCGAAGCCCGAATGACCGATAGGAAATTAGATTCGCTTAGAGAATAAGAACATAGTTTGAAGCAAGCTTGATATGAGGACTGCCACAAAAGCGATGGTAATAATCCTTAGGAAAATCAGCACTGTGCAGACTATAACTTAACCCTTAACGGGAATAATCAATTCGATCACAGGAGATTATTGTCACTCCTTTATGCAACATCTCAAAAATAAATAATAATATAAGATGCATTGTTGATTGAACAATCTACCAGAGATTCAGGTAGACAGTCTTTGGAGGGGTGTCCCCACTCAGCAGTGTCTGCAGCTACACCAAACCCAAGGAAGGATGGCTAAAGTGCACCTATATGTAATGAACACCTTCAGGCTTCAGTTAATCTGTTGCAGTCAGTAAGTACTGCATTTAAAAAAACACTAGTTAAATTATTACTTATGTCTAATTCATACCTGGAATACTATTTCTTTCGATTATTACATAATCTAATCCCGATTTCTGGAAGTAATATGCCAGCTGGATGCCTGAAAAAGTTAAACTAGTGTTATCAAGGTCAAATGATTCTGCAGGTTACCAAAACTAGGAAACTACACAGCATGAAAATCTAAATATTTTACATGAATATTACCTCCAGGTCCAGCACCGATGACACAGTAGTCCCAAGTTTCTACAGTAGAGAAGAAGAATATCAGGAGTATATACCACATTGAAACCTAAACAAAATGTTTGGTTAATAATCTAACAATTTGGGTACAGTCTACCTCACCACTTGTTGCATACATAACAGGATAGTGATAATTAAAACTCCTACCTCTGAGAAGATAAACTACACATACATGATACAAGCCATTATCTTATCCAGCATGACCTATCCACAAGTAGGAATTGTTTCTTTGTGACGGGGACGTAAACAGTACCTTAGATGGTAAAGACTCGCCGACTTTACTCTCAAAGGCTAATAAAAGCGGCAGTATCTGTCAGGCCACACTTCAAAGTGAATTTCTGTAGACAGATAAACTTGAATCCTACTGAGAGATCCTAGCCATGAGTATCTAAGCAATTTTAAATATTTAAACTTAATGTATAATGTATATGATCCAGAACTGCAAATTTGTGAAGATAGAAATGAGCACAATGCTTGATTTCTGAGACTGTGCTGCCGTACAATAATAAAAAGTAGAAATCTAAGGTTATTATCACTAGAAGTTGGGATAAAGCTTTGTTTTTCCACATTATCTACTGTGAGAGTAAAGCCAGCACTCATTTAATCCTAGTCAAATTCTAAAGGTGAATACTGAGTAGAGATGGGATGTGTACCAAAAAACTGCTTTGGTTGAAAATTCAAAAGGAGATCATAATACGAAAATAATTACATCGTGAGAACCCGGAACTAGAAATGGTTCTGTAATATAAAAGTTTGAGCAAATTGAGGCACAAGCCAGCATCCGTGTGACTCCGCTGAAAATCTTGACGATGAGTACTAAGTAAGTGGGGTAAGAGGAAACCAAAATACAGCTTGAGAACCCAGAACTGGTACTAACTACCATTCCCTCACTTCTACAATTCCCTCACTTCAGATTTATCATATTGCTTACTGTAGCTCTGAATAAAGGCTCTTCATTGAGAATATGACCGATGTAGCCCCACCGATATATTCAAACCAGACTTTGTTTGCTTTGCAGAGCAGTTCAAGATATGCCTGGACCGGATTTAACATTTTCCTGCTCTTCTCGTCCCTAGTAGGTGATAGTATCATCCTAGTAGCTTCCATAAAGTACAATGCTTTCAAGCTACACAAAATGAGTGTAGTGCTGATTCAGCACATGGCTATTTGTGACTTGATGCTGGCGATGACTCTGATCCTTCCAACCATCGTTTCGTTAACCTCAAACGAGTGGGTTCTTGGAAGCACAATGTGCTTTCTTCAGCCATACTTTGTGCATTTGGGCTATACTGGGAGTATCTATTTCACCCTAGCGATGACAACGACCAAACTGATCATTCTCAAGAACCCATTTCTAGCACGGGAGTGGTCAAGAAAAAAGGCTCACCTAATTTGTGTACTGATTTGGATCTTCTCTCTTGCTGTTGACCTAATGGTCATCAGCACTGGCCCAAAAGATGCATATTTTGATTACAGACGGTACTGCTGCAGATCTGGTCTCAGTGCTCCTATTTGGAGAATAGTTCTCCTACCTCTGGTCGCATTATTCGTTGGCATCCTACCTGTTGCCTTGGTGATCATCACTACCCTGATGTTGCTTTGGAAAGCTTGGAAAATTACCAGACGAGGAGGAAAGAACCTGAAACTGGAGGGAGTCCTGACGGTAGTCCTGACTGCCACTGTCTTCACTATCTCCTTCCTTCCCTACACAACTTATCACATCGGATCAAACTTCGCTGCCAAAGACCCACTGAGTACCTATCATGTCCTCTTTTTCACAGTGGCGTCGAACATAATGTCGATCAACATAATGTGCAATTTCTACATATACAGCCTAACTGTGCATAGCTACAGGCAGTTCCTTGTGACCAGACTCGGTCTTGCAAATCGGAAAAGCCCCGATATCTCTGGAGACACTGCACTGTCTCTAAGACGAAAAGACAAAGAAGGACTGGATATCGAGTTGAACATTGAAAGATCAGCCTGAAGACAACAAAGAAGAACAGCAAAACGAGTTGAAAGATCAACCTGAAGATAAAAAAGACGGATATCATGTCGTATCGAGTTAATTGAAAGATCAAATTGAAAAAGGTAAAGTTGGGATTTTAATTCATTTGAACGAGTAACTCTATACACTTATACAACCGGATGCATCAGGAGGATTTTATAGGCATACAAATTAAAACAAACATCTGAGGCGACAAAAAAGCCTTGACATCAATTTTGACCATTGTTAATGGTCTGGCCCGGCGCCATTTCGAGAAGAAAGCGGCGCGCGCTACTTCAAAGAAATTTAGACGAGTAACATCTGTCAACATCAATTTTGCTTTAGACTAAATTGCATATAATTTTGATGGACAGTTTGTTGTTTGTGTTTGCAACGAAATTTTTGTAGGTTCATAACTTAACCTACTAAGACGCACGCCGAGTTGGAGTCGTTGACGGTCTTGAAACAAATATTTTATTGCTTATGAGTACCACCTGTTAATGAACTTTGAAATTTGAATCTGAAATTTTGAATTTCACTTGTCACTGCCACTTTTTAATTGCTCTATCCAGAGCCCTTGCGCTTGCAGTAGCGCGCGCCCGCCTCACGGCGGTAAAAAGTGAAACAAGCGCGCCCGCAGTGGCGCGAAAGCACATGGTTAGGTTTACTGGGCCGCGCTCAGCCTGTCATTCGATCCGCCTAATCTCTATTCGTTATGTTTACCAACATTAAAGCCTTGGGTCTTGACGGATGTTACTCGTCTAAATTTCTTCGAAGTAGCGCGCGCCGCTTTCTTCTCGACGGCACGAGCTACGAAGTAGCGCGCGCCGGGCCAGATCATTATCAATGGTCAACCTTGGGTCCTCAGGTAAGGTTAGGTGAAACTTTTTAATACTATTAGCAAACCTTAATTTATCTTTTTAGATCGATAAAATAAAAAGATTTATTCATTATTTTGGTTTTCCTTGATACATGTTTCGCGCGAAAAGTGGCATGCAACGTACGTATGTCAAGGTTTTCCTTCCAAGACGCACGCCGAGTTGAATTCAATGATGGTCTTGTAATACTTGAAAAAATATTGTACAAATAAGTATTACTCTTTGATTTGATTCACGATGTCAATCCTTCGTATTTCGCCGATCTGCATTTGTGGTTGCGAGAAGCATTATTGGATGCGCGCGCGCGACCCAGTAGTGCATCGCGCTACAACTCTTTGACAAATTTCTTATGTGAATTTCTATTGTTAATATAAATTCTGATTGACGATACAGTTGTATGTTTATAACCTACCAGGACGCGCGCCGAGTTGGACTCGTCGACACTCGACAGTCCTGGAACAAATATTTTACTTACCTGGGGACCCCAGGCTATTAAATTATGTTCATAAACATAGCCTGGCGTAATTGAACCCTCTAAAACGTTGTATCATGTTGCGACCCCCACGGTCGTTTCACTATGGTGACGATACAGGGGGAGCCGCGCACTTCGTGCGCGGCGGGTCATACAACGTATGACAAGGTCTGCACGGCTGACGGCACACGAAGTACACAGTAACAGTTTGGTTTTGTCTCACGTCGTGACCCTCATCGTCATTTCAATATCATTTAAAACCGTGGCATAAGCCACGATATGGCCGGGTGCACTTTACTCGTGCACGGTGGGCCCACAACGTCAAACGTGAGGCAAGGTTTATCTCTATGATTAGCCATTAGCGGGCTGCGCTTATCATGGAACTACCAGTACCAGGCCATGCTTTAAACTCAGTTTCACCATATATCGCATTCACAATTTACATGACAGTGTCTTTTTGATCTGATTTTGAAGCTATTCTGATAGTTTTACATTTTCGTTAAAAGTAAGACACCCTTTTGCAGATTGTTTATATTAACAATTAAATTTAAAGTAAAACCAAAATACTTATATATAACATTTTGCACAATATTCAGTTTTACATATTATTTTCATTTTTCTCTTTGTTATCATCATTAACCAAATGCTGCATGGAAAATTCAGATGAAAATTGAATCTATCAAATCTTTCACATGGTCCAACTTCCATTTTCCACGAAAAATAACGATCATAAATAAAATTGAACGCTAGCTACATGCCCACAGGCATGCAAGATAAAACATACTATGAGACTAACATTAGTGCACTGCCTGTATGGTAAAAACAGGATGGTGCAGAGTTTGGAGTAACGGTTCAAGCATCACTATCAATAACCTCGTCTAAACGCTCGCTGGAATCACGTGACAGAACATCATGTGACGTCACTGTAACCACACGTGGTCTCCATGGCGATGTGAGTCTTCTGACGCAGTAAATATCTTACATACCAGCGGGTCTGAATCTGAAAATGGATAGTCGAGTTAGTGGAGTTTCGGTAAACATACTCAACCATCAAGACGGTAAATTTTGCGATTAAGTAAAACATATTCCAATTGGACTTGTTAGCGCTGACAGAATTGGAAACTTGTTTACAGGATTCTTATACACGTATAATCTGCTTGTCCACTGTTAGGCAGAATGTATGATGTAAGGCACCATCCAGTGATCGACCGGGGAAATTTCTGGCTGGGCCCGGAGAGTATCATTTTCGGCCGGTGTTTTTTATCAGTTCGAATCTTATCCAACATTATTGTTTCGCATTCCTTATAAAGGTAAAAGATGGAAGCAGGTTTTCGATCGTAGATCTTATTTTATAAATCCTAGTCACAATCCCTGACAATATTTCCAAGGTTTTAGCCGGTCGATCACTGTTACCATCAAACCAAAAACAAATGCAGAAATAGTGAGAAACCTTGACGGATATGTGCCATGCCATGATGGACAGATGTTAAACTTTACGACGGATATGATAGTGCTCCACAACCCAATGGCCGTTCGTCAGCCTGAAAATGACGCCTCTTTAGAGAAAATGGCGATTAAAGTACCGTTCGAACCAGAGGCAACTGCAAAATTTAGGTGCGGCAATATATTTCATACTATGCGATACTGCACCCGTTCAAAAAGGCACATTATGCGGTAGTATTGCGGCAGAAATCGTGAATTGTCTGGTAATGATGCGGTTAATTTTTCAAAATTATGCGGTCGAATAATTTGAAGATGAGCGGGTAAGCTTTAAGCCGATAATGATCCATCAGATGAAGGACGTTTCGGAAAATATTCATGATTTACAAGCGGGCAATGATGGTAGTAAGTGAGCTGAGTCCTAAAATTACCAAAATTTTAGGATTTGAAGGCTGGCTTTCACTGCCTAAAAATGAGAAAAGTTTTCCATCATCAATAATTATGTGGAAAAGTGCGGAAAATGCCAAATTATGCGAAACCATGCAGAAAATGCCAAATTTCACAAAAATATGCGATAATGGAAAAATATGCGAATAATCCGCATCCATCGCACCTGGTTCGAACAAGGGCAAGTGCTTCACTGGGTAACATGCGAATACAATCCAGTTCTACTGCTATTTATAGGTTGAACAGATATGTACAGAGATCAGAACTACATACCCTCTCCACGATAGAGTCTTCCTCAGTCTCAAGCACTGTTGTTCATCAATCTGGATACTCTTCTTCTTGATGGCAATGTCCTGTTGGAGTCGCTCCTTGTTCTTCAGCAGACGGTGAAGAGTCTCCTCAGCAGATGCTATTTGTTGCTGAAAAATAAATATGTACTTATCAAATTGTGTGTGTTATTAATGCATCGCTTTCTTTAGGTTTCTCTACGGTCAAAGTAAATACGAATTCGTATACGATAAAAGATAGGAATCACGATAATATTTGCTAAAAAACACCCTAAATAACGAACCTTAAGGGCCTCCTGGGAGCCATTGATATCGTTAATCTCAGAGAGGAGACCTCCGTGAACGTAATCACGAGTCTGCTCAACATTGGGACGCTTGGCTCGCACGGCGAACCTGGTGGTGGCCACCTTCATTGGACCATCCTTGCTTCGGAGGGCTTCTCTCAATTGGTGGAGAGAATCTTCCACACTTGAGATCTCTTGGTTTGTCTGAGAAAAGGAGGTTTATTTTGGAGACTTTAGAAAAGTAGAATTTTTAGATTGCGAGCCTTGTAATAACCAAAACTGTTTATCATTATGCTATGAAGGTAAAGCATCATGTCAACTTCATGATTATTTTAATATATTTTTGTTTCACAACTTGTTTTAAGAATTAAAGCAGCCGTATTGATCCTCCAAACCTACAACTTTTAAGAGCTAGAATTGGCCGTATTTTGCCGTTAAAATGCAGCTTATACTGTTTTACTTTATGATTGGGTCGTAATTCATAAGCAAATTGGCAAGAAGTGGTGCTCACGGTCTCACTGAACGTCACTTATCGCTCAGTTAAGAGCGACCATGGTCTTAAGCGACAGACAGCCTGCAGGGATATGATCCGAATACGAAATATCCTTGTGTTTGGCATGTAGTAGCCCTAATTGGGTACTTCGTCACCAGTTATGATACCCAGCAAAAGTTACTGGCTGGTGGTGGTACTAGAGGTGGTTTAATTTAAACAGACGGCTAGACCTCCAATCTAGCGCATTCCAATCTTCAAACAGCCAGCACGTGACACAATTCAGCCAATCAGCGTATAGGAATCTGCAAAGTTACAGTTGCAAACTTTTGATCGGCCCAAAAGGACACTTTTCTGGAGATTTGTTGATAACTCCAAATCTACGCTGTTTTAAAAGTTCCCCCTTGGGGGGAAACGTTACTTTTACAAGACGAACATGTTGCAAAAAACCGGAAATGTCTTTTTGATATGATTTTGAAGCTATTCTGATACTTTTACATTTTCGTTAAAAGTAAGACACCCTTTTGCAGATTGTTTATATTAACAATTAAAGTAAAACCAAAATACTTATATATAACATTTTGCACAATATTCAGTTTTACATATTATTTTCATTTTTCTCTTTGTTATCATCATTAACCAAATGCTGCATGGAAAATTCAGATGAAAATTGAATCTATCAAATCTTTCACATGGTCCAACTTCCATTTTCCACGAAAAGTAACAATCATAAGTAAAATTGAACGCTAGTTACATGCCCACAGGCATGCAAGATAAAACATACTATGAGACTAACATTAGTGCACTGCCTGTATGGTAAAAACAGGATGGTGCAGAGTTTGGAGTAACGGTTCAAGCCTACTGACATCACTATCAATAACCTCGGCTAAACGCTTGCTGGAATCACGTGACAGAACATCATGTGACGTCACTGTAACCACACGTGGTCTCCATGGCGATGTGAGTCTTCTGACGCAGTAAATATCTTACATACCAGCGGGTCTGAATCTGAAAATGGATAGCCGAGTTAGTGGAGTTTGGTAAAACATACTCAACCAAAATATATTCCAATTGGACTTGTTATCGCTGACAGAATTGGAAACTTGTTTACAGGATTCTTATACACGTATAATCTGCTTGTCCACTGTTAGGCAGAATGTATGATGTAAGGCACCATCCAGTGATCGACCGGGGAAAATTTCTGGTCGGGCCCGGAGAGTATCATTTTCGGCCGGTGTTTTTTAGCAGTTTGAATCTTATCCAATATTATTGTTTCACATTCCTTATAAAAGGTAAAAGAACATATCAAAATGGAAGCAGGTTTTCAATCGTAGATCTTATTTTATAAATCCTAGTCACAATCCCTGACAATATTTCAAAGGTCGATCACTGTTACCATCAAACCAAAAACAAATGCAGAAATAGTGAGAAACCTTGTGACGGATATGTGCCATGCCATGATGGACAGATGTTAAACTTTACGACGGATATGATAGTGCTCCACAACCCAATGGCCGTTCGTCAGCCTGAAAATGACGCCTCTTTAGAGAAAATGGCGATTTAAGTACCGTTCGAACCAGAGGCAACTGCAAAATTTAGATGCGGCAATATATTTCAAACTATGCGATACTGCACCCGTTCAAAAAGACACATTATGCGGCAGAAATCGTGAATTGTCTGGTAATGATGCGGTTGATTTTTCATAATTATGCGGTCGAATTATTTGAAGATGAGCGGGTAAGCTTTAAGCCGATAATGATCCATCAGATAAAGGACGTTTCGGAAAATATTCATGATTTACAAGCGGGCAATGATGGAAGTAAGTGAGATGAGTCCTAAAATTACCAAAATTTTAGGATTTAAAGGCTGGCTTTCACTGCCTAAAAATGAGAAAAGTTGTCCATCAGCAATAATTATGTGGAAAAGTGCGGAAAATGCCAAATTATGCGAAACCATGCGGAAAATGCCAAATTTCACGAAAATATGCGGTAATGGAAAAATATGCGAATAATCCGCTTCCATCGCACCTGGTTCGAACAAGGGCAAGTGCTTCACTGGGTAACATGCGATTACAATCCAGTTGTACCAGTTCTACTGCTATTTATAGCTTGAACAGAAAAGTACAGAGATCAGAACTACATACCCTCTCCACGATAGAGTCTTCCTCAGTCTCAAGCACTGTTGTTCATCAATCTGGATACTCTTCTTCTTGATGGCAATGTCCTGTTGGAGTCGCTCCTTGTTCTTCAGCAGACGGTGAAGAGTCTCCTCAGCAGATGCTATTTGTTGCTGAAAAATAAATATGTACTTATCAAATTGTGTGTGTTATTAATGCATCGCTTTCTTTAGCTTTCTCTACGGTCAATGTAAATACGAATTCGTATACGATAAAAGATAGGAATCACGATAATATTTGCTAAAAAACACCCTAAATAACGAACCTTAAGGGCCTCCTGGGAGCCATTGATATCGTTAATCTCAGAGAGGAGACCTCCGTGAACGTAATCACGCGTCTGTTCAACATTGGGACGCTTGGCTCGCACGGCGAACCTGGTGGTGGCCACCTTCATTGGACCATCCTTGCTTCGGAGGGCTTCTCTCAATTGGTGGAGAGAATCTTCCACACTTGAGATCTCTTGGTTTGTCTGAGAAAAGGAGGTTTATTTTAGAGACTTTAGAAAAGTAGAATTCTCAGATTGCGAGCCTTGTAATAACCGAAACAGTTTATCATTATGGGGGTAAACCATCATGTCAACTTCATGATTATTTTAATACATTTTTGTTCCACAACTTGTTTTAAAATAAATTAAGCTATAAACCTTCTCCAATTGTCCATCAAGACCAGTCTTGGCGTCAGTGAGCTCCTTAAGACGTAATCTGAACATGGAGCCAACCAGCTCGGACTGAAATATTATTATTTGTTAAACATCAGCAGCTTTTTGACGGTCAGGTAAGATTTAACTGAAATAATTGACATAAATAACTTTTTTTAGCTTTGAACTTTTAAGCGACTCATAAAGTGCATATTACATTAATTATCTAATAAAAGTAAACTCAACAAGTGCACACTAAATCATACCTGCTTCTGCAGTTCGTCGTTGGACTTGTTAATGCTAAATTCGTTGAGTTCCCTCTGTAAACAACTCATAACTCGAGCAATTTCACTTTTTTCCAGGTTGTCTTGTGAGAAAGATTCGTGCTTGTCAACTGTGCTCCTGTCATGTGTTAACTTGGTCAGGTGATGTGTTAACTTGGTCACGTGATGTTTAATTAATTTGTTAAAAGTTTAACATGCACATGTTTACCACCAATATCATAATAAACAATATGTGAAACTTCAATGTCCAGCGGATAGGAATGGCGACAGAGATAAACTGCATACTTGAAAAGTAGCATGGAAATACTTGTTGCATAAATGCATTCTTAAAAAAGGTGACCAAATTCCATCCTCTACAAAATATTTCCCACTAACGTGTGTCCGTCGTAAAGGCTGGGTTGAGCGATTTGTTGGAGTCCAGCAGAGCCGTTGTTCAACTTGTAACAATGCTCATCCAGCCTCAAACATTCCTCCTTATCTCTGAAAACGTTAAAATTAATTTCAACTGTTTTATAATTCCAGGCAAAATAAGATCTGATGAATCAGATGTTTCTGTATGCTGCAAATCCTACAATCCTTAAATATTTTCACCTGATGTCGTATTCCAAATTAGACTTGCAGTCGTTGAGATTCCTCAGTCTGGTGTCGGAGTCATTAATTCGGTTGGACAGGAGTTTCTGTACCTCGCTCAGCATGTTCAACTCCTGTGTGAAGTGGAATGTTTGTGCTGAACTCGTCAGTTAAAGAGGGTAGTTTTAATAAGTTTTAGTGTCAGCTAAATTACGAACCATTGTAAAAGTCAAAGGAAATTTTAACGACACTAACATTGATGAGCTCGTCATCCACAAGATCCTGCACCAAATCAATGGCTTCTCTGTTTTCTCTGTTCTTCAAGCAGTTGGTGCTGACCTGGGTTAATTTAAAGTTAAACTAGAAACCAAAATGTGATAAAATGAGAGGAAAATATGTAGAGAATAGCCTGGGGTAGAGTAAAACAATTGTATTATTGTAAGAAGTGGGCAATAGGAATTGGCAGGAGAAATGTGTGTCAGTTGTAAAGTAACCTCTGTGGGAAGCTCAGTGCTAGCGAGAGCTTGTTGGGTCTTCTGTTTGGACATGGTGAGATTGGTAATCTCCTGGCAGATAGCGGCATGCTCTGTTGTGAGACGCTGTTTCCAGTACGCTACAGTCGTTATCCTGACAGTGATTGGGATTAGACAAATGTAACCTGACTTAATCTTCATTTTGAACACATTGTCGGTGATAATGGTAGCCTTATTGAAATATTTCCTCCAGCCGCCATAACATCATTACCTGTCCTGCAGTCTACGGTTGATTTCAGCCTGTTTGGACTTGGTTTTCTGGTCGAGCTCCTTGATGAGCCTGTTGGAGGCATCACGCTGAGTTTCGGCCTTGTTCTTGTCCTTGTCTGAAATAAGATCGGAATTATTCCTGCTTTACGATTTAGAGACAATGAGCGTTTGTCACTAAAATTTAATTGATGTCGCCTCGATAGTGGATATTTTGAACAGAAATCTGAGAAATGTGACCTCGATAAGTCAATAAATAGCCTTTATCAGCCGAGGCGACATCAATTACAATAAGTATTTACAATGTAAAAAGACAAGGTGGGACAATTTTGACAAGTAGATAATATACTTGAATCAATGTTTATATTCGGTGTTTTTATTCAATATTTTTATTTTGTCTGAAAATTGTCAAAATTGTCCCATCTTTGTGAAAAGTTTGACGAACCGCTGAGTCTAACGTGCATGTTGAGGGCCGCATTCCAGTGTTCGGGAGCTTTCCTGTCCCGCACAGAGTTAGAGGGTGCTCCTAAAGTCTGGAGGGAATTTAAAAATAAAACAAAAAGAAACGTCACAGGACAGGCGAAAATCGAGTAACCATCGTGATGGAAATCCCTGGTTCCTGAACCATCAGCTGAACTCTGTCATCATATCAGGTTTTGTGTCACGATGGATACTAAACCTTCCCCGGTCCTGCAGCAAAGTATGAGAAAATACCTACCACTTAACCTAACATGCATATTAAGTGCGGCGCTCCAGTCCGTTGGTGCTTTCCTGTCCCGGATTTCATTCGAAGGTGCACCAAGCGTCTGCAAGCGTTGAGTTTAAAAGCTATCGCCAATATGTGTACTTAATTTACAGTGAACAAAATGTATTCGGAATTTTACACAAATTTATGGAAGCGGTCTTCTATACTATTCTAGCATATCCGATTGATAAAGATTCTTGCTTAAGATTGATAAAATCAAAGCATTTCGATTAACATTTTGATTTAAGACCATAAATTTGATCCGATACTCATCACTTTCTAAAATTTCACTACAAGGTAATACCCAAGACGATCAACCTGCCACCTGGGGCTCTTGTAACAAAGAAATAAATCTATTAATAGAAAGCTTGCTAACCTGCAGTAGAGCCTTTCCAACATCCCGCTTGGTCCCGTAGGAGGGGAGGACTGTGCTGTATGCTGAGGTCATTTGGACTGGTTCGCGAATAGAAGGTAGCTGAAAAAGGAGGAGATCGTACAAACTAGAACGTAACAATTGCAACTAATAATATATGCAGCAAAGATAGCCGACCGGTCAATAATATTCGTGACATGTTAAAAACAGGAGATAAGAATGTTAATAATCTGTGCTTTTGCTTGTGAATTTCGCCCGGATACCGTAGGGAGTCACGCATTCGCGTTAGATACGGCCCGTGCGAGATTGGCTCTTTTTCAATTGTTAAAAAGGTAAACGATAACACTAACAGAAATAGAATTTCGATGTTAAAATACCAGTCATATTTGTTTAAAGGATATTATAAAATAATCCATTATTTCTGCATGAAAACATGTTTCGTGACTTGCAAGAACTTGAAAGAAAAAGTATTGGCAAATATCTCATTAATGAAAGGTGATTTTAAAGGGTCTTTTGCTGATTACAACCGAACAAATGAGCACTTCAAATATGGAATGCCTTGTTAAAATACCATTGATACCCCTTACCCGGTAATTAATTAATAAGTAGATTTTTAAGACTTAATATAAGAAGGGTCCTATTTTCGGTTTTTTCCCAACCACTGAAGCTTATGAATCGCCCAGTTTTGAATTTTAAATTCGGTATCGGTAGTCGTTAATGTTTTGGCAAAGATATTTGTAACATTCGGGTTGTTTCTAGAATATCCGAGAATATTACAAAAAATTGGTCGAAATGGCTGTATGCTGCACGTGTAGTCGGACTGATTATTTTCCATTTCAATTGTAAATTTATTTGCAAGTGATAACATACATAAGTTATGCATAATGATTATACTTGTCGGCCGGGTGGTGTAGTCAGCCGGGCGGTGTAGTCAGCCGGGTGGTGTAGTGGTTAATACATTTGCTTCCCACGCAGACGACCGGGGTTCGATTCCCAGTGTGGACCTATACGGTCGGATGCAGGTTGGTCACCAAACCATGGTGTGAATGGTGGATGCTCTCATCAGAGCTTCTAAAATAATACGAGTGGATTTGGGGTAGCGCCCGTCAATGCTGCAGAGCAGCCCATGTAGTGTTACCTAGTGTTAATGCCTATGCTGCAGTGGAAGCTGTACCAAAAGGGCCGAAACGCCATTAGGCAGGGAAATCGGCTCCCCGACTGCCCAAATTATCATTATTATACGCCTGCAGCAATGTCAGACGTGAGTAGCAATGCAATTAATTCAGCAATCACACACTTGAGCTTCCAGTGTGATTTTCTGCAGGTTTATAATACATGTCATTTCAGTGCCGTGATCACTCGTCCAAGTAGTTGGTTATTTTATTGCAATAATCGTCCAAGTAGTTGGTTATACTTATAATATTGCAATAATCTAACGAACTCTTTAAACCCGATTATTTAACTAATATCACTATAAAGGTGATATCAGTTTATGAATTGCACTACAAGAAGGGTATCACCATATATAATCACCTGGTCACAGTAACTTTACTACAAATCACTTTTAATAAGTATCAAAGCTCAAAGTAAAAGGGCTTAAAGAAGTTCAAAATGCAGCTGTTGTCAAAAACAGTTGTTGCTAGAGCCACCTTGACATTTCAAGCAAGCCAGTCGCTCGAATTCCGTGACTTGCTGTTTTTCATAGCAAAACTTGTATCATTGGTCTCATTACTTAATTTGAAATTGACATGCTGACTCAACTCAAAATTTGATGTTTGCTTCAGGCTTATTCACAAATGTAGGAAATTCATTTTTTAATTTATTTATGATAAAGATGCTTCATATGCTGGTAGGCGGTGTGAAGAACAGTGTGAAGAACAGTGTTTTATAAGATTATTTACCTCAGCCATATTGTTGGAATGCTCGGAGTATGGAATACCTATTGTATCATTTTAAACATCATTAATCAATTGATAATCATAAACACAATTTCGTTAAAAGTGAATGTTGATCAGACTATAATGTATAATCATATCAAATGTAAAGGTTATAATTCAAGCTAAGTGAATGATAAAATAGTAGGATAGAAATTGGTGTGATAAATTAGAGAGTATACAAAACATGATAAAGCAAAACATTAACTCAGAATTAAATGAGAGAATATTGATAAAAGATGAATAGAGTAGAACATAGACATAAGACAAAGTAACAAAACAAAACAATAAAGCCTATTATATGATCGATTGATGTATGTTAATGTACTTATGTGTCAAAACTTAAATATCCCGGGATAAGAAAATACTAATCGCAGTTCGCTGGTGAATATACTTATATATATGTATTTATATACTCACGACATTACAATTGATTGGATAAGAGTCTTTTTTATCACCTGGGAATCTTATCACTCACGATACACTTAGATATTGATTAAATTTATTGTATTCCAAACTGAATGCATTCTTAAGGTTGATCGTGCTAAGGGAAGTCGGTATAAAGACGGAAATGCACTGATTTTGTTCGCTAGATAAATGAAATTAATGAATAATGTAGGGAGTAAGTGAAGAAAAAAAGAAAAAGTATGCGGTATACATTCGTCGTCTCAAATATTTTTTGGGACAATTACAAAACATTTGTCACATGTCAGCCTTGGTCACAAAACTCGCATGCTCACAACTACACATATTCTCGACTTACTCCATTAAAGGAACTCCTATACATATTAGACAGGGAATCTTCGGCCATGTTTTCAGCTAAAAAACCTTCCGAAACAAAACTAGAGACAGTGAAGAAGCGTAAGAAAATATTACAAATATTCAGGATAATGAGAATATATAAGACGACAAATTAAAAAAGATATGAGCTGAGGTCGAGCAAACTGTTAACTCATTTACTGGTATCTATAAAATTTTGAGTGAGAACAATTCAAACTGTGTCACAACGCGCGCCACCTTATACTAAAATGAATCGCTGCAACAATGCGAGATATCGCCGGTTTCCCGGACGAAATCTCCAGCAATTTTAACATCTTACTTGATTCCGATCTTGACGGTACTGCTACGTGCTCCTGCGGACATTCTTTTAATTCACCCAGCAATAGATAATCACGTGACACGCCCACGTGCCGTCTTGGTGTCCACGTGTTGATTCGTTCCGCCACTTTTGCCGCTCTTATTGTGGATATGCAGGGCTCAACTGGCATACCAAGCATGTGATTGGACGATGGCTGCAAGGGTTTTTAACAGTTAAAAGTAGTTAAGTGATGGCTCACAACGATACTTTTAAATTACTCCACCAGCAAATGCTGCATGAGCAGTGCTTGCAGATATTTTGTGTAAAACGATGAATATTAATTCAGTATATTTTAAAAGCCACGCTTGTCGCATAGACACGCATCTTTGTGGAGTGGCTGCAGCTCCGTTTAAAGGCGAGAAAACTTTAAATGCTGTTACAGCGGTCACGAATTCGATCGCTGTACTTATCGGCAAAAGCCATCAGTAATTAAGATCGTTTTAGGCAATAACCTTCGATGCAGTTTGAATAAAATACAGTTATATGTCATCAGTTCATGAAACTGTTTCTAGAAAATAATTCAAAAACTAAAGTTAGTCGACCTGAATGAATTAAATCGATACGGGGGTGATGCAACGTCAATTAATGTCAATTAATGTCAATTAATGTCAATTAATGTCAATTAATGTCAATTAATGTCAATGTCAGTTTTGCAAAATTTTGGAATACTGACATTAATTGACACGATATTTTTCGACCAGAGATTATGTAGTTCTACCATATTTTTAGCACTTTAGAACGTTTATATCATCAATTTATTCACTACTATCACATATGGAAATGTGAAATGTGAAAAAAATTCAGATCATTAAACAATAAAACTAAAATAATACGGTTTTCCGAAATTTAATTTTCTTAAATGGGCGTGGCCATCCAAGGGCGTGGTTCTCAACATCATCAGAACTTAAAACCCACATTAAACGAAATGCCTTCATGACATTTATATTCGAATAACGAATCTTAAACAGCTAACATTACTCCTTCATACTAAAAAAGCCGATTCTAGATATTTTACCTGTATAAGAAACCAATAAAATATGGGCGTGGCCGGTGGGGACCGAAGATGGAAGAGTTGGAAGCTGAAATTTTGTTTGGTGGTCTTTGAACCTAAGGATCAACAGATAAGAACATACTCATAATTATTCAAGGACATTTTGTTTTTTTGAACCGGTCTAACTTACATAGACGTGAATATCTTGAATATTTAAATCGAATAATGATAATCTCAAATTTCAAGACAAATTAATGTCAATTAATGTCAATTAATGTCAATTAATGTCAATTAATGTCAATTAATGTCAATTAATGTCAATTAATGTTAATGTCAGTTTGGGGTTTTTATGGAATACTGACATTAATTGACGTTGCATCACCCCCATCGATACAGACTATGATTTCATAAGATAATTTAATTGAACCACAATTAACTTCCATGTATCACTAGGGTCTAGGTGAGCCCCAAAGCAAGGAAGGGAAGGCAATAGATTCCAAACTTTTAAAATATAATCTATATTAAAACATTTTTTGTAAAACAAATTAAAGCAATAAATTAAAATGGACAGTGATAATCAAACACAATAATACTAAATTGTGCCCTCAAATTGCATCTCTCGAAACAAATCATAATCTAAAAATCTTATTAAGATCAAAAATCAAATCTAAGTTCTACTGAAATCTAGCTACTTCACAACTTGAAGCTTTCAACAGCTCTTGCAACCACCAAGTCCGCAATTGCGAGTGACGAGGTTGCAGCGGGAGAAGGCGCGTTCCGCACGTGCAACATCCCCGGACAAGATGTATCAAACTCGAAGTCATCAACAAGGGTTCCATCAACTGACATCGCTTGCGCTCGTACACCAGAGCTTCCCCTGCGGTAAGAATTTATTCTTAAACTTTACGTGAAGGTGAAAAGTGCAATTTCAAAAATCAAGTTATCAATATATTCAAAAGTTCAAATTGATATTGATCATTTTGGAAAAATGAAGGTGTAAAGACGATGATATAAAATTATTTGAATGAATGTATCTAAAGAACGTGAAGACAAACGTGAACAATTATCCTAACATTTCAGATTTTAATCAGAAAATTGACAGACTCGTAAGTCATGACGTTACCTGACTAGATCAGCATATTTGACTTCAGGAATGAACTTTTGAAGATCTGCTAGTTGTAAAGGCAAGATAGCAGACTTTGCCATTTCATTCAAACCGTACGACAAGTTCGGTACTGCTAACTTCCACAGTCCACTGAGAAACAGAAGAGAATACAGGTACCAGGTGATTAACAACTTCGCGATCAATTAAAAATACAGATTAAATTAAATAAGACAGGATGAACCTGTAGTACAGGTCATGTACGTGTTTAACTTTTCCAAAGTTCAGCATTTTATTTTTTGAGTAGTAAAATATGAGAAGTTTCTAGAACATCGATAAAAAACTATCTCAGACAACCAGAGAGCCGCTAGCCAATTTCAGACCACAAAGTAACCACAAATGCAGATTCATAGCTACACTGCTTCACACTTCAGAACTTGTTTATAACCAGATAGTGTGTAGCAAAACCGCCCAACAAGTTGTTAAATATACTTTATAAATGGTGGGCTGTCACCATGTTCGGAGAATCGAATGATTATTGATAAGCTACAGATGGTAATAATGATGATATACTCTTCCTGCATCCAAATTAATCTTTATTAATATGCAAACGATTTCTTTCGAATATATTTGACTGAACAGTGAACTGAGATATATTGCCTCGAACTGTATTTTATGGAGTCATTTATATTAGTTATGTACATTGTACATTGTACATTGTACAATGTACATTGTACATATATATAGAGTACTCAAGATATGTATAAAGTTGTTTTATGTTTTATTGCTTAAGCTATTGTAATTTAATTTGTTCCACCGGTCTTCCTTGTAGACTTATCAGATCTTTAGGATGTTTATTGTTAACTAATTCAGATTTGTGTAAAGTTCGATAGTCAATAATTTGTATTTCGTGTAATATAATCACAGCTGGTCTTAAAAATACTTACCTAAATGTGGCCATTTCAGCAATATCTCTCTTACAAATACTTACCTAAATGTGGCCATTTCAGCAATATCTCTCTTACAAATACTTACCTAAATGTGGCCATTTCAGCAATATCTCTCTTACAAATACTTACCTAAATGTGGCCATTTCAGCAATATCTCTCTTACAAATACTTACCTAAATGTGGCCATTTCAGCAATATCTCTCTTATTAATACTTACCTAAATGTGGCCATTTCAGCAATATCTCTCTTATTAATACTTACCTAAATGTGGCCATTTCAGCAATATCTCTCTTAAAAACACTTACCTAAATGTGGCCATTTCAGCAATATCTCTCTTATTAATACTTACCTAAATGTGGCCATTTCAGCAATATCTCTCTTACAAATACTTACCTAAATGTGGCCATTTCAGCAATATCTCTCTTACAAATACTTACCTAAATGTGGCCATTTCAGCAATATCTCTCTTATTAATACTTACCTAAATGTGGCCATTTCAGCAATATCTCTCTTACAAATACTTACCTAAATGTGGCCATTTCAGCAATATCTCTCTTACAAATACTTACCTAAATGTGGCCATTTCAGCAATATCTCTCTTATTAATACTTACCTAAATGTGGCCATTTCAGCAATATCTCTCTTACAAATACTTACCTAAATGTGGCCATTTCAGCAATATCTCTCTTACAAATACTTACCTAAATGTGGCCATTTCAGCAATATCTCTCTTATTAATACTTACCTAAATGTGGCCATTTCAGCAATATCTCTCTTATTAATACTTACCTAAATGTGGCCATTTCAGCAATATCTCTCTTACAAATACTTACCTAAATGTGGCCATTTCAGCAATATCTCTCTTACAAATACTTACCTAAATGTGGCCATTTCAGCAATATCTCTCTTACAAATACTTACCTAAATGTGGCCATTTCAGCAATATCTGTCTTACAAATACTTACCTAAATGTGGCCATTTCAGCAATATCTCTCTTATTAATACTTACCTAAATGTGGCCATTTCAGCAATATCTCTCTTACAAATACTTACCTAAATGTGGCCATTTCAGCAATATCTCTCTTACAAATACTTACCTAAATGTGGCCATTTCAACAATATCTCTCTTACAAATACTTACCTAAATGTGGCCATTTCAACAATATCTCTCTTATTAATACTTACCTAAATGTGGCCATTTCAGCAATATCTCTCTTACAAATACTTACCTAAATGTGGCCATTTCAGCAATATCTCTCTTATTAATACTTACCTAAATGTGGCCATTTCAGCAATATCTCTCTTATAAATACTTACCTAAATGTGGCCATTTCAGCAATATCTCTCTTATTAATACTCGAGCGGGAGTAACCCTCTCGTGAACCCGCTAATACAGCATTAGGACCTGCAAATAGATTAAATAATAAATAACACTCTGACATAGCAATAATTCGACAGTAAATTGATTGTTTAAGACATTACGGCTCATCAATGTTCAATAAACTGTGACGTATCACATACGATGGTCTACAATGGAGTCAATGGTGCACTAACCGAGCCATATAGATCCATCCATTCGTGGGGTATAGTGCACACCGAGGAAAGGGAACTTGGGGTTTGGGACCTGATGATAGGCTGCATGAAATTCATATATTAGAGCTTATCAGGAAACAATTTGAGGATACGATTGGGAAAGTATTTTGAGAATCAGTAGCAGTTAAATTAACTACATAACATATGAAAACTAACAATTATCAATCAAATCAGGAAATTATACGGATAGATCTCCAAACCGGGTAAATGTTGCCCCTGACAAGATATCTCTTTTCTGGTCTCAACTCCAAGTATTCTCCTCTGAATGGAACTATTGTAGGACTACTCTTACCACCAGCATTCGCAGCAACCCTAGTTAATTATGGTTCATTTTCACAGCAACCCTGGTTAATTATGGTTCATTTTCACAGCAACCCTGGTTAATTATGGTTCATTTTCGCAGCAACCCTGGTTAATTATGGTTCATTTTCACAGCAACCCTGGTTAATTATGGTTCATTTTCACAGCAACCCTAGTTAATTATGGTTCATTTTCGCAGCAACCCTAGTTAATTATGGTTCATTTCATATGAGTACTTATTCAGCATTTGAATACTACAGTGCAAGCAAGTTCATTCGCTTCAAAATATCGTGGTGATAAACTGAAATGAGGTTTACAATATAAACTTTAATTGTTCAGATGGTAACCTGTCAGAATAGAGTCCAGCACAGGTGATCACGTTCTTAGCAGTGATTCTGGATTTGTCCTTGCAATTAACTCGTATCTCTTTTCCTACATCTTTTATTGTGTCAACCTGCGGACATGACGTAGTACAAACTCTTCAATCGGGACGTTAATTTCAATTAATTTATCACAAATAATTAATTATCACATAAACGTATGATCACAAGCTGTTTAACTCGAACGTTTTGAAACCATTTCCATTTATTTGTTGCGGCTAAGAGGCTTATGTGGGGTCAAATGGTTATTTATGTTCTCGATAAAAGTTTAAAATGCTGTACTTAAATAATGTAACATAAAAATACAATATGTATAATATCAAGCACACTCTATCGTAATATGAAAACCCAGCATGCTATTTCTTAATACCATAATGGCATGATTGTCCAAATTCCAAAAAGCGATTATAATAACTAAACCACAACTTCTTTAAAAGGTGTTATCTTCTCTCGTCTCCCCCTTATAACGTATCTGTAAAACATGAACATGGTGGTCATCAGGAGGGTTACAGCAAACGTCACCACCGCCAACAAAACCACGATTACATTAGAGTCATCCCCTGACTTTCCACTACCGTCTCCAATTACTCCACTGGAATCCAAAGTGTTCTCGTTATCAGCGTCAACAGAACTCTTGTCATTTCGTCGTTTCTCTCCTGCTAAGTTCATCGTCTTTTCATCGTCAGAATGTTCACTACAAGGAGTACCCACCATCACCATCTCACACCATCTCCTATATTCCAGCTCCACATCCCTCTCACAACACGTGGTCATGTTGGGTGATATCACCACACTGACACCAGATACCACCCTCCCCCTCTCCACTGAGACCTGCTCCACCACGTGAGGGGACTGTGGTATTTTAGGTGAGGTAGCTGTTTTTATACCCACCTCCAGAGGGTGGTTGTAGGAGGAGAGGGAGGAAAGGGACGCTGGAATATTCTGGTAGAGGAAGAGTATAGTGCCGTTAGAGTACAGATGGCATTGGAATGTGAAGAATGCAGGAGGTTCCCCATCCTGGTAGCTGGGGTGAAGTTCATCAGATTCACTGTCCATATCATGGTTCAGTTGCATATCTCTCCATTCCACCACAAACACATTGTCCAGGGGGAGAATGCTGATCTTGGGAGGATTCTGAGGGTTGGGAATGAAGTCTGCCATCAGAGGAGCAATGTACCCAGCCACTCCAGTGTGAGGCACTGCGCTAAACGTACTCAGATACAGGAACCCAGAGGAGGTTGTTGTGATGACGTCACCTGGTGATGACGTCATGCTTTTGTCACGTGACGTGTTGTAGAAAGGGAAGGAAAAGAGGGATTGTGTGGTAGTGCTAGCCAGATAGGATCTAGATAGTATCTCGCGAGTAGAGTTGGGAGGGAGGGGTATCCAGTGGTCCAGGTCTTCTTTGTATGTTACTGTGTACCATGAGTCAGCATAGCTTACTGGAGAGCTCAAACATAGCAAGAGCAGGAATTTAATCATGTTTATGGGATGGTTAGTATATTAGAATGTTTGCTAAAACGGAAACTGAGGTGAATGAGTTTCGCTGTCGCAGTTTTATACCAGTTCTGGTGTAATGGAATGATGGTGTGGTGAAATTGGTGTACGAATATTTGGCATACTGATTGAGGAATCTGATGTCCGCATGATAACTTGTCATCTAATTGAGGTATCTGGTCGCATTATCTCGAGTATCTCATGAGAATTAGAATCTGGAATTCTATGGCGTGTCAGATGATTAAGAGGAGTGTCATGTCACATATTGTCATGCGATCCTCTTTAGTTGAGTTAAGCGTGTCCGGTGTTACTTTTTCACCGACTTGATAACAGTCATGTTTACTGGGCCGCGCTCAGCCTGTCATTCCGCCTAATCTTAATGAACATGATAGCCTGAGGTCCCCAGGTAACAGTCATGTTTGTTTTGGTTCATTATCCGACACGCTGAACACATGCTTCCGATAGATACTGTCTAGTCGCGCGACCGGAAACACGAAAACGTGTTTCTGTGATTCATCGCTATGTTTTCAATACATCAGAGCATCGAAAACTAGTAATAGCAAGTCAAACAAGACTAAGTTAAAATTATAGATAGATCTATACTAGTCAATTTGTAAGAAAATCGACTAACCTCTCTCCCGGTCAGGATTGTGCCACCACCAGCCATGAAATCATCCCCATAACTGCATGCCACTCTCTTCCAATCAACAATACCAGTGTTCGGGGAATGTATAGCCATGAGTCCGCCCTAAAGGAACGATTATGGTTAACATGCTTTTTTAACCCTAAATACCAATTAACCACGACAAAAATTGTCATGAATATTCAATTAGATTCATTCAACCACAAAAAATTCATTGGCCAGGTGCCCAGGTTGGTGATTATATGATAAGTTTATGTCGATAAGATAAAGTTTGGAGAACATTGCGAGGTTCTCAGGTTCATGTCGGGTGCCAACTAATCTGCAGAGATGTGCTTGTAACGTGCTTGTAACGTGCTTGTAACGTCACAGCACACACGAAGGTCTAGTGCATGTCATTAATTTGATATCCGTCTTACCGATTGAAAGTGCAGCAAGATCCCAAGTTTATTGTATACTCAAGAAGTGTGGTACAGTAGAATAAAGTTGTTCGCACATAGTTTTTGACGAGAAGTACAGTTAACTTCGAGAAAATTTGCAGTTGAGAAGCAACTAGGAAGGAGCAATCAAATTCTGAACAGTAGGGGACCACTTTTTGTAGTTGCATGCAATTCAGTAATAATATAGTTAGATGGTTTCACGCAAAAATGTCCTTTTCAAGATTGCAACTTTCATGTCACAAAGGTCCGCTATAAAATGTGATGTTTAATGTAACTTACTAATTACTGACTATAGTTAAGAATATCTACAAAGAATTTAACGTTTAACTTACAGTGCAGTAGGGTTCTATCTCCAATATCTGTTGTCTATCTACGAGAGCTAAACCGGGAACTTCATTCTTGAGACCAATCTGGTAAAGCGCATCTAATCTCGATACCTCCTCCTCATTTGTAGCTACTATCAACTGTAATTAAGTGATTACTAGGCTTAATTGTATAATTACATGTGGTAGTTACAGGAAATTAATTTATAAGAATGTTGCAGAGCCAATAAGATGTTAATCTCAATTTATTGCAGGTAGATGCTATAGTCTAGATGGTGAAATATATTGTGTAATAAATATTCTAATACTAAAAGCTGCTCAGCTGTGTCTTCTTAGAGGATGGGATTCCTTAAAATTGAAGACACTGCTATAATTTGCGAGGTCAAAGCTAGGGTAAGGATCGGTATTTTCTGCATAATCTGAGAAAGTGAATCACAACAATATTTTGAAGGCCATATGATGGCCAAATGTTACAGTAGCTCAATAATATCAAGACCGTGTCATTCCTGTCATTTATTAGCAGGGAATTGGGCGTTTCTGTGTAAAATCCTGTTTCCAAATCATCTATAAACTTGTGATATATTCAAACTATTTGATTTTTCGGCAGAACTTTACCTTTGGTGCCTCAGAACTATGCTTCATTTGTACTAATTCAGCTGAACATACTTCAAATAATTTTTACAATTCCAAAATTCCGTAAATTTTACAAACTTTGCCACAGCGTTTGTAAGGAATAGCTTTCTCGTCACAGTACTCATATGTTCTCCGGGCACCCTCTCCGCATAACCGCGCTTTTAGCGAGCCAGGAGTGTAGTATATTCCCATGTGGATAACACCACTGTTGTGCCCGGTTTGGTGGGTCGCTGAAATTAGGGAAGCGGTGGATACCTATCTGATTATACTATGCGAAATACCAACGAATTGATGAAGGAAATAGGCATCAAAAACAGTGTGTGTCGTTTAATTTTAAAATAACATCACTGTCAAGCCAAAGCAGTGGTGCCAACTGACAATAACCAACATCACAAATACTTTAACTATAAAACAAACTAACCAAGTTCATCCTCTTTCTCTAACACAACTATTTTCACGTCAGGATATTTTATATTAAGAGCTCGGGCTGTCCCTAGTCCGACTATTCCACCTCCAACTATGCAGATATCATAGTTCTGACTGAAGGAATGTAAGTGTTTAATATATTTATACATTCTGTTGCGGATATTATATCAAGCAGGGAAATAACCCCTGCATAGTGCATATAATACGGATACCCTAACTTAACTCCTAATTTACACTTTTTCTATTACTCTTGGGCATTTTACTATTACTCTTCGGGCATTTTAAACTTTTAAACCCTTATAAAGACACATCATTCAGTTCAGATAGCCTCTCCCCTTCTTAATTTATGGATGCGGTCCTATATATAGGGCGTGGAGACGTGAAATAACAGGACTCTACGGCGTGGAGACGTGAAATAACAGGACTCTACGGCGTGGAGACGTGAAATAACAGGACTCTACGGCGTGGAGACGTGAAACAACAGGACTCTACGGCATGGAGACGTGAAATAACAGGACTCTACGGCATGGAGACGTGAAATAACAGGACTCTACGGCATGGAGACGTGAAATAACAGGACTCTACGGCATGGAGACGTGAAATAACAGGACTCTACGGCGTGGAAACGTGAAATAACAGGACTCTACGGCGTGGAGACGTGAAATAACAGGACTCTACGGCGTGGAGACGTGAAATAAAAGGACTCTACGGCGTGGAGACGTGAAATAACAGGACTCTACGGCGTGGAGACGTGAAATAACAGGACTCTACGGCATGGAGACGTGAAATAACAGGACTCTACGGCGTGGAGACGTGAAATAACAGGACTCTACGGCGTGGAGACGTGAAATAAAAGGACTCTACGGCGTGGAGACGTGAAATAACAGGACTCTACGGCGTGGAGACGTGAAATAACAGGACTCTACGGCGTGGAGACGTGAAATAACAGGACTCTACGGCGTGGAGACGTGAAATAAAAGGACTCTACGGCGTGGAAACGTGAAATAACAGGACTCTACGGCATGGAGACGTGAAATAACAGGACTCTACGGCATGGAGACGTGAAATAACAGGACTCTACGGCGTGGAGACGTGAAATAACAGGACTCTACGGCGTGGAGACGTGAAATAACAGGACTCTACGGCGTGGAGACGTGAAATAACAGGACTCTACGGCATGGAGACGTGAAATAACAGGACTCTACGGCATGGAGACGTGAAATAACAGGACTCTACGGCGTGGAGACGTGAAATAAAAGGACTCTACGGCGTGGAAACGTGAAATAACAGGACTCTACGGCATGGAGACGTGAAATAACAGGACTCTACGGCATGGAGACGTGAAATAACAGGACTCTACGGCGTGGAGACGTGAAATAACAGGACTCTACGGCGTGGAGACGTGAAATAACAGGACTCTACGGCGTGGAGACGTGAAATAACAGGACTCTACGGCGTGGAGACGTGAAATAACAGGACTCTACGGCGTGGAGACGTGAAATAACAGGACTCTACGGCATGGAGACGTGAAATAACAGGACTCTACGGCATGGAGACGTGAAATAACAGGACTCTACGGCGTGGAGACGTGAAATAACAGGACTCTACGGCGTGGAGACGTGAAATAAAAGGACTCTACGGCGTGGAAACGTGAAATAACAGGACTCTACGGCATGGAGACGTGAAATAACAGGACTCTACGGCATGGAGACGTGAAATAACAGGACTCTACGGCGTGGAGACATGAAATAACAGGACTCTACGGCGTGGAGACGTGAAATAACAGGACTCTACGGCGTGGAGACGTGAAATAAAAGGACTCTACGGCGTGGAGACGTGAAATAAAAGGACTCTACGGTGTGGAGACGTGAAATAACAGGACTCTACGGCGTGGAGACGTGAAATAACAGGACTCTACGGCGTGGAGACGTGAAATAACAGGACTCTACGGCATGGAGACGTGAAATAACAGGACTCTACGGCATGGAGACGTGAAACAACAGGACTCTACGGCATGGAGACGTGAAATAGCAGGACTCTACGGCATGGAGACGTGAAATAACAGGACTCTACGGCATGGAGACGTGAAATAACAGGACTCTACGGCATGGAGACGTGAAATAACAGGACTCTACGGCGTGGAAACGTGAAATAACAGGACTCTACGGCGTGGAGACGTGAAATAACAGGACTCTACGGCGTGGAGACGTGAAATAAAAGGACTCTACGGCGTGGAGACGTGAAATAACAGGACTCTACGGCGTGGAGACGTGAAATAACAGGACTCTACGGCATGGAGACGTGAAATAACAGGACTCTACGGCGTGGAGACGTGAAATAACAGGACTCTACGGCGTGGAGACGTGAAATAAAAGGACTCTACGGCGTGGAGACGTGAAATAACAGGACTCTACGGCGTGGAGACGTGAAATAACAGGACTCTACGGCGTGGAGACGTGAAATAAGAGGACTCTACGGCGTGGAGACGTGAAATAAAAGGACTCTACGGCGTGGAAACGTGAAATAACAGGACTCTACGGCATGGAGACGTGAAATAACAGGACTCTACGGCATGGAGACGTGAAATAACAGGACTCTACGGCGTGGAGACGTGAAATAACAGGACTCTACGGCGTGGAGACGTGAAATAACAGGACTCTACGGCGTGGAGACGTGAAATAACAGGACTCTACGGCATGGAGACGTGAAATAACAGGACTCTACGGCATGGAGACGTGAAATAACAGGACTCTACGGCGTGGAGACGTGAAATAAAAGGACTCTACGGCGTGGAAACGTGAAATAACAGGACTCTACGGCATGGAGACGTGAAATAACAGGACTCTACGGCATGGAGACGTGAAATAACAGGACTCTACGGCGTGGAGACGTGAAATAACAGGACTCTACGGCGTGGAGACGTGAAATAACAGGACTCTACGGCGTGGAGACGTGAAATAACAGGACTCTACGGCGTGGAGACGTGAAATAACAGGACTCTACGGCGTGGAGACGTGAAATAACAGGACTCTACGGCATGGAGACGTGAAATAACAGGACTCTACGGCATGGAGACGTGAAATAACAGGACTCTACGGCGTGGAGACGTGAAATAACAGGACTCTACGGCGTGGAGACGTGAAATAAAAGGACTCTACGGCGTGGAAACGTGAAATAACAGGACTCTACGGCATGGAGACGTGAAATAACAGGACTCTACGGCATGGAGACGTGAAATAACAGGACTCTACGGCGTGGAGACATGAAATAACAGGACTCTACGGCGTGGAGACGTGAAATAACAGGACTCTACGGCGTGGAGACGTGAAATAACAGGACTCTACGGCGTGGAGACGTGAAATAACAGGACTCTACGGCGTGGAGACGTGAAATAAAAGGACTCTACGGCGTGGAGACGTGAAATAACAGGACTCTACGGCGTGGAGACGTGAAATAAAAGGACTCTACGGTGTGGAGACGTGAAATAACAGGACTCTACGGCGTGGAGACGTGAAATAACAGGACTCTACGGCGTGGAGACGTGAAATAACAGGACTCTACGGCATGGAGACGTGAAATAACAGGACTCTACGGCATGGAGACGTGAAATAACAGGACTCTACGGCGTGGAGACGTGAAATAACAGGACTCTACGGCGTGGAGACGTGAAATAATAACAGGACTCTACGGCGGCGACAAAAAATTGTTCCTATTTCTGAAAACAATAGATATAATTTTATATTTCTAAATTACCTAACTCGTTAATATGTATCATGACAGGTTAAATTATGACCGTTAATTAAAAATATTGACCGTTAAAAAACCTTTTTTTTGAAATACATTTTTAACTGCCATAAAATTATCATTTGAGGTAAGATGACCGTGGTCCCAGGGAGTGTTCTTTATCGTATACAAAATTTATCGACCTAAGATATATAATAGCCGATGAAATGTAACGCTGAAAAAGCAAGTAAACACAACGTAATGAAAACAAAACCGATGATAATTTTATTCCAATAATATTTGCACGCGCAACACCTTTAATAGACAACTTTTAATTATCAAAAATTTTCAAGTGGGTGGTCACATCTATTTAATCGGGGCTTTTTTCACATCTCCACGCCGTAGAGTCCTGTTTTGTACGGCCCTACCGTAGAGTTTTGCTCCGTAGAGTCTCACGCTGAAGAGTCTCGGACCCCATATAACCGACTGATGAAATGAATGAGTAAACACTAATGTATCGTTATTTCATTGAATAATTCTGGTGAGGTAAATATATATTGTATAATAACGCACTCTAAATACACTAAATTATTACAATAATTCTCTCCGACCTCTCATTTTGACAACTACCCACTCATTTAACCATGACCGCATGATTTAGTTTTGAAATGTCAACAATTTATCAAATCAAGAACAACACTATTCAAGTTTACCAAACTTGACCACCAGAAGGAAAACAATGATTTGAATTGCAACAGTTTGCTTGCCTGGGATTATGAGTGATTTGTAGTTGTCGTATTGAGCCATTGTTTCCTGTGACATCTTGCCAGCAGCGCTGCCTCACTATGTCCAACCTTCTGGCTAGACGTTGAGCTAACATAAATTGCTGTATTCTGAGAATTTCAAATCAGGGTATCAATCGTCAGGTCCTTTTACTCTATTTGTTAACTTTTACCCCTTTCTGTTGATCATAATGCTAAGGAAACAGCGGTGAAACGTTACGGAAGGATGTTTGAGTTAATGATGAAGCAAGGTCGGATTTCATTATTCGTAACCAAATAAAAATTTAGTAATAATTTAGGGTCTCCAATAACGGGTAATAACCTGTGTTTGGATAAAAGTTTACGGCAATAATTTGTTTTAATAACCACATTAAAAAGACGACAAACGAAGCACGGTACTAAAGTTAGGTTTTTACGAGGTGATAAGGGGTCAAATTCTAGGCTCAAATTAATCATGTTATGAAATTATAATAACGGGAAAAAGTACCGGATATTATGCTGCAGTTTCTGTCAGCTTCACATTTTACGAACACAGTGGGTGTAAAATGACATGAGACAGCCTCCGGGGCCTGGTCCACATAAATTGAAAGCTGATTAACCAATTAGGGGGCTTTTCCTCGAGAAGGTGTCAAATGTACAGAAATAATTTTGTACCTCTTCGGACTGGTTAGTGTATTTGTAATGTAGGCTGTTGTGCTACATAAGCTGTTTTGTTGTATCTTGCTTAGTATTGTTATTTCTGTTGAGGGTTTGATAATTATTATAGAAGGACTTAACTACAGAACTAATGTTTACTGTTCGTTTGTGAGCTAGAAATGTTCGGATGTCCAACATAACATGGCGCATTGGCTTTAAAAACTATAGACAGGGCCAAACACATGTGAAATGATTGTTTATATTAACTTAATCGTTAATCGTTCATAATAACCAATGTTAGGAAACTGTAGGTCACTACTAATTACACCTTATTTAGCAGTAACAGAGCTCTTGCAGTCCTCTCCAGCTATCCAGTATAATGCTATTCTTAAATACTGAGTTCAAAAACCATTTCCAATGTTTTACGGGTATCGTGAACGTTTTACGAGTGTTCTGAGCGAAAGCATTATATGGAATTGTCGGGTACAAGGTTTCACAAGAAACTGTCTACTATGGCTTCATTTACTTTGCGGACGTACTAAAATACAAGCATTCAAGAAAGTTGAATAGGTATACCCTCGAAGTAGTATGAATTTCCTACATAAAAAAGGTTTTCTTGTTTAATACTATATTTTATTATTTATCTTCTAAAATTCAACAAAGTTAAGCTGTATTTTAAGATAATATTTTATGCCAGAGATCTGTCACTCTCAAGTATGTTAGAGAGTATGATTTAAACATTTTTCAGTAGCCGGCAATAAAGATGGTGTAATTATTACCTAACATTACATAGTTTACGGAAAGGAAATTTCATTTTTCGTTCATCAAGTGCAATAATAAACATCACACGTTTCAAAGTGCGTCAGTGGGCACAGTATAAAAATCAAATAACAAGTACTATCTGTAGGCTGGTTTCGTGCATAAAGTAGACTCTTATAAACATTGAACATAACAGTCTGTCGTGCTTATAAACATAACAGTCTGTTATGTTTATAAACATAACGTCATGGTACTTACTCTTGGAGAATCTGGAGACATAGTCAAATTTAAATAATTTAGTACGTCAGTGGTATAATCTTGTGTCTGAAGTACAGTGTAGTGTAGAAGTGTAGAATAGCTAGTGTGCAAGTATCAATATAATATAGCGGTTCATTGTGATTTTAATACTCAGTGCAAATTTATTTATAAATTTATTTATTACTGTTATATAATAGCTAATTAACATCTATATTTGATACTACGCCTTTATTCTATTATATAATAATATCTTATAGCCGAGTGTACTGGTAAAATGTGTTTATTAATGTAAATCCTACCTTTATTTACGTTGCACCTCCACTTAACAGACTCCCTTTTTGACTATACCAGCTTATAATTCACATATAGTATGTAGTATGTAATATGTAATATGTATGTCATTCATTTGGTTTGTTCATCAACAATGGGTCGACATGAAACTACATATTTTTATATTTTTGATTCACGTCATGAATCATGATGGATAGTATCATAATATCCGATCGACTGAAACATACCGTATCTATTGTTTTTAGTAATTGACCATTTGGTCCTTTAATTACTTTTCGACTGAAAGGCGAAGTAGCTCCAAAAACCCTGCCCAGAAGTAAAATTATCTATTTTAAATAGATCATCATTAGTCTTGAATAACAAAAAGTATTGACAGTGATGTTGATAATGATAATCCTACGATCACAATAGTGGCTGAACTCGATTACGTGTCACTCCTATAACACGTTACACTCACTATACAGGTATACCGTAATACACCTGTAATTGTCTGGTACTGCCCAGGCTTATGGTTTATAATCGAGATACAATGCTTACAGTAGCATCCTGGCAGTCTACAATATATGATAGCAACTCAATATTACTCAAATCAGGAGAAGGAACACAAATGTCCAGGATACTGATACTGGTGACGGTTACCCTGGCAACCATCATCACCACAGCACAGGCTGCGGGACAGTGCGATGCCAGTTGTAACTCTAACGGAACTAAATCCTGCGAGGAAGGAATCTGCACGTGCAAAGGAAATGTGATCGGCGCGGACTGCTCGTCGTGTCGTCACGGAACAGTGGATATGGACCCGGCTAACGAGGAAGGGTGTGTGAAGTGCTACTGTACTGATCACTCACCCTCTTGTCAGCTGCAGTCCTGGGCTATATCCTATGTGGGGGAGGCGTTTGAGGCTACACGTGGGGTGGGCTGGCTCGTGGAAAGCTCGAAAAACAGCACTAAAACTTCAACAGATGTGGTCAAATCGTACGGTGGTAGCTCGGAGTATATTTCGTATAGTAACCAAGTTTGGGAGTTGAAATCTAATAATTTCTATTGGGTCCTGCCGGCTCAGCATCATGGGGATTGGACAGCTAGCTACGGTAGTAACTTGATCTACAAACTTAACCTGAGATGTGGCTCTGATTTCGCGTGTTCCTTCAATCAAGTAAGAGTGGAAACACTAGTAATTATATCTATTGTATGCTCAGATATGTGTAAAAGCAGCTTCATGTCTGTTTGTAGTGGAGTGTATAGGAATAATCCAATTAGCAAATGGACGGTTTGTAATTCTTGGAATTAACGAGCGGAACTATAATATCATGTTTAGCAGCAAACTCTTAATTAATGTCTCACATCGTTATGAGGATTCAATTGCTGCGAATAGAAGACCGAGCGATATAATTGTCACATTAGGTATAAATACATGTAACGTAATTCAAATTCTCTCAGGAGCCCTGGGTGATACTGCGAGGGGGAATTCAACAAGATATTCAGACGATCCAACACTACAAGTTCGAGACATCCGGCTCCAAATGGCGGGGTATAAAAGAGATAACAGTCTCACTTCACGAGGGGTACACGCTGCGCACGTGCTGGCGCACCCCCGACCTGCGCTGCATCTCGCGTACAACCATGATCAGCGTGCTGAGCAACGTGATAGAGGTGAAGATAAAGGCGGGTATCTTCAGAACTAGCTCCAGTATGGCTATAGGAGGGTTTAAGAGAGAGATAGCATCCCACATGGGGGACGTGCCACGCAGAGTAGAGGTATGCAGCTGTCCCGCGCCATACACTGGCAGTTCCTGTCACCTCTGTAAATCAGGAATGTTTCACAAATATGGGTGGGACTGTGCCCGGTGCGAGTGCAACAACTACAGTTACACATGTGATTCCTTCACTGGGAAGTGTGACAACTGCGCGTATGACACCGCGTGTGATAATTGTGATTGTTGCGCGGATGGATTTTACGGTAAGCCCACAGGAGAACCGAATCCCTGCTCTCCCTGTCCGTGTAATAGCCGGGCTGCCACCTGCTCCACAAACCAGGACGGCAGCTTTGGGAGGTGTGTAGATTGCGAGGAGGGGTATGAAGGAAGGAACTGTGAAGTGTGCCAGGACGGTTACTACGGTGATCCTACTGCGGGAATACCTTGTCAGAAGTGTTTCTGCAGCGGCAACATCGACACTACCGTCACTGGTAACTGTCACAACATCACCGGAGAATGTTACAATTGTTTACACCACACTACCGGTTTCCATTGTGACATCTGCCAGCGTGGTTTCAATGGTGACGCCACGAGACAGCAATGTGAACAGTGCAGGTGCAATCTCATCGGTGCCAAGGACAACATCTGTAATCCTACCTCAGGTGATTGTACTTGTAAGGACAATGTTGTGGGTGGAGCTTGTGACGAGTGTGCTACTGAAACCTACGGTTTATCCTCTGGTACAGGGTGTTCACCTTGCACGTGCGACACAACAGGAACACAGTTCGCGTCAAACGAGTGCGACGCGCGAACAGGACAGTGCACGTGCAGAGCTGACAGACAGTACAGGACCTGTGACGGCTGTGTAAATGGCTACTTTCTGAAAAACGGCAGATGTTTAGGCTGTCAGTGTCCCTCGTCAAGGAGCTTGAACTACAGCTGCAATGGGGTGACTGGTCAGTGCTTCTGTCAACCCCAATATACGGGTCAGAGATGTGATGTTGCTGCGTGTGTAAAGGGATCATGGAGCGACTGGACCGTGTGTGATAAGCCCTGTGGTAACGGTACTCAGATCAAAACACGAAGAATATACGTTCCGGACCCCAATGTGATCAGAGACGAGGGTCTGCCTGCTGAAACGTGTGACGAGATAGAGACGCAGTCGCGCTCCTGCAACGAGGCAAGTTGCAGCAACATCAATGAGAATGAGTGTGGTGTTATTGAGGTTACAGAGCCGCTCTCTTATCAGAACTGCAGAACACGCCGACATTACCCGGTTAAGAAATGTCGGGGTTCGTGCACGCACGGGGATATTGACTGCTGTCGGCCATATCGTCTGACTCAAAAGAGTTACCGGCTGTACTGCGCAAATGGGCGGAGAATAACCCACACATTTGACGAGGTGCAACAGTGCGGGTGTTTGGCTTGCTGAGCTGACTTTAGCTTACTGGAAATTAGAATACTATGAATAAAGTTGATCAAGAAATAATATATTAGGTGACGAGAACAGTGCTATATATGATACAGATACAGGTGCAGATTGAATTGAATAAGAATGCTTATAACTTTTAAATTGTGATTTGTAAATCATTGGGCCGTGGTGCATATAATTCTGATTAATTGTTTTTGAATACAATAAATAATTAAATAATTATTTTGATGAAAACTTTTTATTTCGATTGGTGATTTGATGTGTTTCATTATTTTCATCAATGCAGATCTGTGCTCCATGCCCCACGGCACAAATATTTTATTATACTACCGCTACTGATACTAAATTAATAAAACTATCATCTGAGGGTCAATAAATTATCAAAAATAAAAAGTAATAAATAATAAGTACACTGACAACTTTGATATAGAAACCTTTATAAAGAAGAGCCGTCTGTAAATGAATGAAGGATGAGACAAAATAGACTTACGATAATATTATGCTTCTTTGACTTGATATCAAAAACTTAATTCCCGAAATCAGTCTGGATATCCCTTCATGTCGAGTCGGAAATCTTAAGCTCAGTTTCAATCATGATTACTCGCATTACTCATACACATTATTATTCAAATTGTTTTAAACCAGCAGGTCTTCATTCTAGAATGATCTCCGTCTGTCCACTTCAAGTGAGCTGTGTTACTCCAACAATATGTGGTCGTGTTTACTGTACACACGTGACTTTCTGTATTTGCCCAATATTTCCTGATCTTGTGTAACCGATTGGTTGCCAGTCCATTTCCAGATTGACTCTGGGCCGTACAATGTGTCCTCGTCAACAAATGTGTTCAAAGCCCTGATACTGTCAATCTCCAGACTAAAATCTCCTGTGATGGAAAAAAGGTTACTAGTTTAAGCATGAAATAACAGTTAATTAAATTAGTTGAGGTAATTTAAAGATTATTGTATAGTTTTGCGCTTGCCCACACATGTGTAAAGTATTCTTGACTTATTCAAAAACTAAGAGCCGGTTTTGACAGTTATGACTTATACATATCCAAAAAAACATATCCTGGACGAACGGAGAATGCTTGGTGTTGCCGGAAAGCGGAAACGTCAATTTGAAAACTTCAACTGTTTTCATTCTCCAACAAAAATGTAAATTATTTAACAACATAGCTCAAACTTCAACATACCAGGAGTTTGCTGGTCCGTAAAGAATCCAATGGAGTAGAGCCTCATAGTTGCCGGCTTGTGAAGAATACCAGCAATCTGCTCGTGTTTCACGGGGTAAAACCGGTTAAACGGGATCTGAAACAATGTAGATAATTAATAAATAATTATAATTATAATTATAATTATAATTAATAAATAATCACACAGGTGATGTTTCATCACCTTGGTTAAGGACATTTCGATCTCATCGAGAAAGATACACAGCGCTCATATGATTTAAACAAGATTTTGAATTTATGATTTATCGCAAAATCAATATGTGGATTGGTGAGGTGTGCTGTAACTTACTCAACTTCATTTCATTAACAGACATGAGTGTTCATGTTGAGTAATGACTAATGGCAGAGAATTACAAATATTCGTTACAAAAACTGATGAACTGTGATTACTCTTAAAATAAGAATTTTGCTTAAAATAATATCAAATTTCTCCATATGTGGTAAATCAGTTCTGCATTATTTAGCACGCTATTGCTAAGTTTAGCTTCTTAAGCTCCCAGTATCATGGTATTCCTAGTTTCTATTTCAAATCGAAGATATGAATTATCTTAGTTAAGTAAGAGAGACTACCAATACCCACGATTACAACTATTCTCATCCCATGAAACCTAGGTGTAGGACAACCAATCTTAATCATAAACATCAAGCACAAAAATTCCATTCATAAAATTCAAAAAACAATAAATCTAAAAGACCCATTTTTGAAAGAAATGACTCATGTTGAAAGTGAGTAATTAATAATTATATTTGTTAAACTATGAACTTCCAAATCTATTCAACTGTACTCGACCAGTCCTCAATGCGCACTTTCGGAGAAAATTGCCACTTTATTGTAGATCTAGATTTTATATTTATATCATTATATAAAGGTATTTTGGTTTCCATTTCACGGGCATGACGAACAGCAATGATTAGACCATTTTCGGTCGTAGCAGAATTTTCTTAGGCCCATTGTGGCGACCAGAGCTTGGTGCGATCGTGTTAAAAGGTTCTGTTCGCTTCTCATGCTTAAATTCATTGCCACCGTGACAATCTATAATGTCTTCTATATTTGCTGACATTTCAACTGACATTTCGACACAGCCAGCAAGGAATTTTTTCCCGCGATTAAGGTGAAATCTTCAGTCGAATTTTGTGCTTTTAAAGCCAGTGACTCGTACGACGTACATGGTTGAGATATTCTTCACGTTCACAATACAATTACATAATATAATATAATATATAATATAGACTGTATTGAATGAGCTTGAAGATATATCCTCGAGCTCATTCAAGAAACAACTTTGACCTCTTCGTCGCAAAAGCTTTATTTCTGAAATTTGAAATAACCTAAAGAAAGAAACCACACATCGACTTATCTTTTTAAAGATCCCGTACGTGTAGCAGGGATTAGTGTTGTTTTACTGTTTGTGCGGCGAAAGCACTTTTTGTCGGTCGTTAATTGCGATATTATTGATATTACACAGGATGTTTGGGGGGGGGGGGGGGTCAACCTCATTTTACCTCATTTTACCTCATCCCAATTTTGCCTTTCTTGGCTGCCCGAATGAGGTAAAATGAGGTTGACCCCCCCCCCCCCCCCCATGTTTTTATGTCGAAAGGTGGGCGGACAATCGCTAGCCGCTATATAGTTATTATGAACGTCTTGCGTCGCCATTAAAATGCACAGTTAAGCATTTTACGGAGAAGAAAAAAGTGATATTTATAAATATTTAATGAATTGCAGTATAATTCAAATCGATAGCTTAATTCTAAATCTAATGCGTTGCATTTTATTAAAACTCTAAATCTGAAGCGTGGCATGGGTGTTTGTGATTTCAGACCATAATTTGGTAATATAATACAAATTATGTTGGAGTTTGCAGAACACACAGTATAAACTCAAATTCTTATCAATTCCAAATCTAAACCATTTTAATTTTCACGCTTTTACGGAAAACACCGGAAAATCTAATTCCAAATCTCTTAGCAGTGATGTTTTCGAGGACGATGTTTCTTGTAATGATTATTGGAGTAGAAAACAAACAAGTCAATCCCTCCTTAGGCCATGTTAAGGCTGCTTTGAAAAATGTGTCTCGGATAGACCCATTTGAAGAACCCAAACATGTAACGCAACCTATGTTCCGTACATTCTTCACCACAAAGATTATGGAAGTAGCACAAACGAAACCAATAAATGTTATCACTGCCTCCAATTGGACACGCTGTGGACAATACTGCACTTTCGTCGCAGATTGCCATATTTTGGAGTACCGGGCGAACACAAAAATCTGCAATCTTTACAAAAGAAGAAAATACCACGAAATAGCTGATAAAGCGAGCAATTCCTCCTACACCATATCTACAAAAGCCAACTTCATTACTCAGAAATGTGCGGAAGATTACGGTGCTGTCTTGAGGGGCGAGCAGTTTATCATTGAATCACATGACAAGAAACTGTTCTTTTCAGAGGATAAAGGGGCTTTCTGGAAGAAGAAACGTATGACAATGTGGCAATACAATAACGTAACCCAACAACTAAGAGTCCACGATTCTAACACTTGTCTAAGCTGGACAGCCAAACCTGACGACAAACCCGCTGACTTGAATTTTGAAACTTGCCTTGATAATCCAAACCAAAGGTTTGTACTGTATCAGACTGACCCCTGCGCTTGGTATCTGAAAACAGTGAATGACCGTGCGTTAAGTCTGGTGGAAGGTGAGTTCAGGTCGGGTGTTGAAAAAGATTTTGGGACTGAGGCAAAGCCGCAACCTGCGGCGAGCGAAAGTATGATACCATTACCGAAAGGAAACACATATAGCCAATGGGAAAACGGTAATAATGCAGATAGAGGCACGGACTTGAGAAACCTTTCATATTTTAAATTGGTAAGAACAACATTTGCGTGCTATAGATTCAGAGTTGTTAACGGAGAACTCCTGCCAAAAGAATACAACGCTCCCATCTTCCTTCAGGGTGATTCTATCACCATCCAGTGTAATGAAGACTACAGCATAAAACGAAAAGACGGACGCCAAAACCAGACAGTTTTAACTTGCAACAAGCGTGAATTAAGAAAAGTTGTGTGCAGGAGTGGGAAGAAGAGTGGTGTTCTCAAGTACACCGTGCTGTCCCTGGTGTTTGTTTGCTGCATTTTCCTGGGATACAAGTTTATTTGCCACCTTAGAGGCGGTGGTAGTGTTCCAGAAGATGCTGAGGCTGTGGAAAATAATGAGGAAAATTCACGGAATCCAGGAGATGTTTCTTATAAAGATTCAAACAATGATGACATTGTGAGCGACCCAAGATTCGGAGATTCGGTCACTGCAAACATCGTTGCAATTATCAATGAGAATAACAAGACGTTTGAGGACCAGAATGCAGATAGTAATCTTTTGGAATTATGTGAGATGATCCCCAATCAACGTAACTCAACATTGCAGTACGAAGACGTAATCTATGAACCTGATTTTATCGATGCAAAATGGGATGAAGAAACTGATAAATCAACTGATGATAGCTTGCCGGTAGAGATGGATGAAGATGAAACCCCGGCAGAGGTTAACGATAGCTTGCAACTAGAAGCAATAGGGATAATATCATCACCGTCGCTCGAGATCACCGCAGCGTCGTCACTAGAAATGGATAACAGTTCGGACACATTTGAATCGGTCAAATCATTATATTAGGGGAAAGAAAATCATATGCTTTATATTTCACTAGTAGGAACCCGCCTATATTTCATTGCTTTGTTGAGAATGTATTGCATTTTGTTTTATTGATTTTAATTTGAGTTAAAGTCTTACAAAGTATTTCATTCTTTGCACGGTTGTTTTTGATCATTTCAACTGATGCTTTCTCCTAATTTGGTATTTTGGTATCCTTTTACTCAAAATCTACACCATCTTTCCAAAACTATAAATATACGAAACACTCCTGAGAGAATATAATGGACGATATTGTTTAGAGACATCGCATATAAAATTAGTAATTTGCAAGCCAGTATCATCAATAAATAAAGCCACCTGCCACGTCTTAATACAATCGACCACCCATAAAAGCACACACGCTAGAAACTCAAGTAAAATGTCTTTGTGAAGGAGCAGTACCTTTATCCTCTCCCAGTAAGGCCCACCTCTAGTCTGAAGATGTGCTGCCCAAAACTTAGTTCCCTCCTGTTGAGGATCTCCCAATCTTGACTTGAACCATAACTGAAACGAATTTATGGTTTGATCCGGTGCTTGCCTGTTATAGGAAATAATTTTTAAGGACGCAATAATTTTGTGTCCCAATTATGACGCTCTAAGGACTAAGGAAGAATAGCAACTTCCGTCTCGTTTACTGATACTGATAATTCTTGGTATTAGATAATCTCGGCCAGAATTCATGGTTTCGCCACAAAAGCTAATGATCTTGTACACAACACCAATAAATGACGGCACTACAAGACCAGCTGGCGGTATTATGGGTACCTGTATTCGGTAAGGTCTGCCGTCACCACGGACCCTGAACTCGAACTGGTGCCACCGGTGGAGATCAGTAGTTCTCTCACTCAGCTCAAGATCTCCCCACGTGTTCTGAAACGTACAAGTTTAGTACAGTATTGAGAAATACACACACGGAATACACGTGAAATACAAAGGAAACGTCGGCATTGACAGCCGTGAATATTAATAACCGCTTCATTGCAAGTCGTTGTTCCACAAGAACTATTAGACACTAAGTTACTAAGTATAAAATATACTTCTTAGAATAACGGTGGTACTAATAGGAAGGTTTAAAGACATGTGTAGTAGCCCGTGTAGACTGTAGCTACACTGTAGCACGAACCCAGAACGGATAAGATCTGATTCCAGCGTACCCAGTTGCGTCCCAGGGCCGGGAATGTTCGTTGTAGTAGGACGGAGTGGGGTCGATCTTTCCCTGGAACAAACAAACATATTAAATGCACAAGATATTATCATAGGAGATCGTTCATACATTACGTAAGTCAGATAAGAGGGGCGGGGAGGGCAGAGGGTTCGGAAATTTCTTACACTAGTGTGATGTTAATAGCTAATAGCATGATTAGTGGCTAACGGAGGGGCGTCTGAAAAGGTCAAACTCTGGCTTATAATTTACTTATAACTTACTTATTAAGTTTGAATTTGAATACTGAGCGGTATTTTGTTTTAGTTTTACGTTTTACTTTATAGTTATAGAATGTTTTCACCAAATAGTTTGTTGTGTAATGTATCAGCACCCCACTGTGATAACGTATAATATACGTTATATTATATTATTATGTATACAGTGCACTGTATTTCAGTTGGTTTACATCTCTATTATATTATACGGATTTGGCTGGATTTTATTTTATAAGTTTATTATCGCAAACCGCAGGAGTGAAGTGTACATGATAATGTTATGAGTACAACTACATCAAAGATCGGCAATTCTTTATTCTTGCTGTAAATATTAATTACGCCTCTAACAGTAACAACATCAAAATGTGTGTTAACTAAACTTAGAGGACATAAATAGTGAATATGTCAGGGAAACACATGGAATATTATTATAATACATTATAATACACATGGAATATTATTATAATACATTGTAATAATGTATATAATAATACGATATTCAAATATTTACGTGCTTATATTATGATAACTAAACATTCTATACGCTAATCTAACTGCGTATAATGCGATTACACTATTAATTGCAAGAGGCGCAGCCGAGTGGAAATTGATACAATAATCGCACGAGGCGAAGCCGAGTTCGAATATTGCAGTTATTTCACGAGGCGCAGCCGAGTGCAATAACTGGTGTAATCGTATTATACATGCAGTTAGATTCACGTATAACTCCACGCCTCTGATTTATATAACTTTGTTGCTATAAGTTGCTCTCAAAACAATGCGATTATAAACTAATCGCACTGTTTTGAGAGGCTGAGAAGTTTTTATTTTGATTTCCGGAGTGTACTCACAAACAAATGAAAAAGTCATTAGATAAACAAATTTCAAAAGTCGATCAATGTAATTCATAAATCTAAAAACGTTTGCAAAATCAATTTTAAATCAGTTTCAAATATCTTAACAACAATTGGATTTACAATTAATAAAATATAATTACTAGGAAACAATGCCGTAATACCACAATTCAATTAAAATTAATTGTAATATTGTGTATCACGGCATTGTCTCCGATCAATGTTTTTATCTTCGAGTTCATCCTCGTCCGGTATTTGTTGCTTGAATCTTCTGACATTTCTATTAGACATCCTGTGAGTATGACGATTAACTTAAAATTTAAAACATGCTAGCAAATACTAGAATTCAATTACATAATATTATTACATTGACGTTATGACCTAGGATATGGCGCACTTGCAATAAAAATATCAAAATGTATCATTATTTCAAACTATGGATCGTTCACATATTACGGGTCGTCCACATATTACGAATTCATTTTTTGGAACATTGTTACCCCTCTCCGTAATAAGTTTTACACATAGCTATTGTGTCGAAATTGCAGTAGAGCAATCATTTTGAAACCCCCCCGACCCCCCCATCGGCTTATTACGTAATATGTGAACGACCCCCTATTCACTATTGAAAGCAATTGAATTGGCGGGCAAATGATCCGTTTCATGATGTGTATAATACAATGCCAATCAAATCCAATTGCATTAAAATACATTTCCATGCAACTATCAAATGTTATTGTACCACCCAACTGGTGTAAAATTGGAAAACGGCTATAACACGGCAACCGGAGCTTGACTGGCCAAAGCCTAGGGCGACTGTAGTTGTTGCAAACAAACTACTTCTAACAATCTACGTACGCGGCTCCCGATAAACGAGGAGTAAGGAACGATGTATCTGTTTGAAACGAGAATCGAGATATGCGCTGATAAATTAGTGACAACTCCCGATGAACGAGGAAATAACACTACTACTACTAGAGCTAAAATGAACCTGTATCAAACAAGGTCTAAAACCTACTGGCTGCTCCTGATAAACGAGGAGTTAACAAATAAAGGTGACTGTCTGAAACAAGCTACGGGTGCAGGTGTACCTGTCTAAAACAAGATACGATCTTAATATTTAAACTCCCGATAAACGAGGAGATGAGAAGTCTGTAACTCGCGACGGTTATAGTGAATGTACGAAGCGCTGACAGTGAACTCCGGTGAGCTGTAATTCCCGATGTGATGGCTCAGTCTGTTTATAAACAAGAAAGGTGGAAGGCTGATGGAGTCTGTATTTAAACAAGTCTTAGACTTAGTGAATTGTACTAAATAAAACGCTCTCGTAACGATAGAAAACTAATAAATCAAGAAGAGCACCAAATCTCGACTAATCCTCGGTGACAATTTCAGAAGTGCCTTATCTCCCAAAAACCTTATCTCTTAAAAAAAGGGCTCGTAAAATCTGATAAATATAAAAAAGGCCGAAGAACTATAAACAAAAAGGTAATGGTTCGAATATAAAATAGATGCATGAGATAAAATTAAAATTAAGAAGTGGCAAAAAACGGTGAATTAAAATATTAAAATGTAAAATCAAAGCCTAGCAACATTGTGGATCTACTAAACTAGTTAACTACACCAAACACGGCAGCAAACAATCAACTTTCAAAATAAAGAGACAACAGCTGAACAGCGGGTCACACAACGCCTCAGGGTCTCAGAGCACTGAATACGTTGGCACACGCCGTGTATGCTTGAAGATGATTCGTTCTGGTGACTCGTACGCAGAGGTCACGTGGACCTACCATTTCGACGAATTACTATCACGTGACACCCCGTATTACTGATTTCGAGGAATAACAGTCACGTGACACACTGATAAGGAGATTAGCCCCCGACACCGTGAGAAATCTGCCCTGCCTCATACTGTGTTGTGTTGATGCAATGTAAGGATTGACTTATTCCAAACACAAGGAAAGATGTTGTCCTAAACTATAAAGTTAAATTTATGCCAGTATAGTTAATTTTGCGACCATTGCACTAACGGTCGCTAAACTACCTCAGGTAGTTGATTTAAGTCAATACTTGAATCAGCACCTCACAGTAGTAAAATACTCGGTTTGAGTTGGGTCCTCATTTTACGAGGTGCTCTCTTAGTCTAATCATCTGCCTGAGCCATGATTTACAGCATCTTTCAGGAAATCTGCAGTGCAATTAGTTTAGTAATCGTACCTAATTTAATTTCGGTCACTCTCAAAACAGTGCAATTAGTTTTGTAATCGCACCCCCTGAAAAAAAACCTACCAAAAACCGGTGCAATTATGGAATTAATAAATGGCCGCCAAATAGGTCAAAAGTGGAGTTATAACAGTAATGATATAAATCCAGTCTAGCTGGAGCCCCATCTTTAGGTAATATTAATAATTTGGAAGTTATCATAGATATACATCCTTCTTCTCATTTACATCCTTCTTCTCATATTTAGATAAGCCTGTATAGTGTATGATGACAAATATTGAACATAGTTGGACGATGATGTATAGTAAACATACCTTCAGTATATAAAATAAAACAACTCCGTTACTCAGCAGTCACCCTTCAAATACACTTCTTATATTACCATATTATTACCAAGTTGACACTCATTAATCAAGCAAAAACCAGGGCTCTGACAGGAGGGGTCTAATTAACAAACATGTCAGGTATAACTGACGACAGGGGTCTAATTAATGAACATAATCATTGTTCATTAATTAATTAGCAGGACAAGTTTTACGATGGGCCCGTGGTCTGTTGTTACCTGACAATGCCAGGCTGCTGTATCCGAGAGGGAATATTACGCGTACCACAGTTGCACCAGATGATGTGAGATGGATAGTGCAGTTGTGGCTGCATGGTGGCTGCATGAATTTGAATAAAAGATTATATATTTTCACTACAATCTAGGCATCCTTAAAATTTGTACCTCCCTATATATCTTCTAGATAATATACAGTGCCGCTAGCGAGTATTTAATAATTCACTCTTATATCTGATTTCCCTAGCGACCTCCATGACAATGGTGTTATTGACGAAAACTAAAATGTCATAGCACTTAGGGGGGCTAATTAAAACATGTCTGTTAAGCTGTCTGGAGGGATCAAGACGGGAATTAGTCGACAATTAGTAGAGAATTCCTCGACTCGAGATTAATGAATATTGACAAGTCAAGACGCGGTATGGTTCCCATTATTTTCACTATCTTGGGATCTGTACATGTACAATGTCCACTGACTACCAGACTACGGTTAACCTGGTTCACTAAACCAAATTTACATTTACCAAATCTACACTAACAAGGGTCAATTTAAAGATAATTATATAACAGCTGTGCTAACCAACCGAGCAATTACCCGCAATTACCCGCGATTACCTGCGATTACCCACAATTACCTGCAATCAGACATCTTACCTTCATATGAAGTCTGCCTCCTCGGGAGGTTGAGAGTTCCACCAGAGATCTGCCACCAGTCATGTTGTCGTCCAGTGTGTAGAACTTATCTACATCTTCTGGGGGAACAAAGAGATTGTAGGGGTGGAATATTGTGATTTGTAAAGTAACCTAAAGTAAGTAGATTTGTTTACGGGAATTGTGTGTAGGCTGAAGAAAAATGAGGAATGTTTGAATTACGGATTGCTATAATATGAGAGTAATGTCGTATGATAATTACTAAGGAGTGCTACATAGCATCATTATGCGCTGTGTTATTACCTTCATTCCTAAATTTCCAAAGGGTGGCTGCGTCCTTCTCTTTGTACTTGTGCTCGATGACTCTCATGTCGTATTTTTGGCTCCATGTTGCTCGACCAAACGCTGTATAAGGAGCGGTGAAAACAGTCAAGCGTACAATTATGATAAATTTCATCCCTCGTTTATGTCGTTATTTTAATTTTCTAATAATAATAATAAAGAAATATCGTTGGATTTTATGAAAATTGAAAGGTTGAAAAATGCATATGAATTATGAGATCTATATTAATAAATAACGGCGTTACAAACTAGACATCAGCACTGAAATACTCACTAGCAATGATGTTCTGCCATCTCAACAGATGCTTGTAGTTGTAGTTTTGTATCACCATTTTAGCAGGAATAAGGACCCGTCTTAAAGTTTAACTCAACATAAAAACCATCCTTATTATATCTAGCTCATTTTCACTAAAAAAGAGTAATTATTGGGTGGTCAAAAAGTTGTGAGTCAAACGTTTTACACTCGGCGAAAGCAATACATACTGAGTTTCTCAAGAAAATAAGGCTAGATGAAGTGTGAAATACCGAAGCAGCTGTCTTTGTGGTATAGTGATAGAACTTTCAATTATAACATTATTTATTATTTGTTTTTTAATATGTTTTTTTCTTAATAAAGGTTTTGGTAAACAAATGAAAGCACTTTTTCATTTAAAATGGTAAATCAAATTGTTTGGCACTGTACAACATAGAATATCATGTATGTACCAACAGCTTTTCATCTATAATATATTTCATGCCATGAATTTATATAATTGATAAATCGGAAAAAAATAGATTTTAAAATGATCATGACGTGATTTTATATATTACTGAAAAATTACAAATTTTATCGAAATTTGATTATAAACGAAATCATCAGCGGATCAAATATACAGAACACTCAACATATTTGCGTCGACTTATTATCATAACCGAAAATATATAATCCCAGGGTATAAAGCTAGAAATATTTAACCATAACTTTCATTTCATCTTATTTGGCTCTGATCGTCTTAAATCAACAGTGTAAAAAGCTTGGTAGCTTCATACTAATCAGCGGGGATTGGAACATGTCAGAATGTTATTTTATATAATATTCATTTAAAACAAGTCAGGAAAATTACAGCATAAATTGTTAAAGTTTAAATCTAAACAAAATGTAAAATTTAAAATCCATAGTGTGGAGTACTAGTATGTCATTCTAAATCGTCGATTACTTTTTACTAACTTCAGAATTTCATATAGTTAAAGAAGAATATGATACAATAACTAAATGTCAGTTATGTAATATGTTATATCGTTGATCAGTCATGAACGGATTCCGGAATTCTACAGAATGAGTAGGTATGTAACTAGGTATGTAACTAGGTATGTAACTGAAATCATTAAACTATGCGGTTATGAAGTTATGAATTATGATGTATACAGAATATCAGTCATTTATTAATTTTAGTAAGGTGGCTCTTTGTCAATTCTTATCTAACATGCATAGCCCAATCTCCCCAACTTCCAATCATTGGGGGTGAAAATGTCGCGCAATTTTAGATTCGTCACCAGTCGTTTTCTCCTCCACTAATGAGAGGTAGCACTTTGCATCTTCCAGTACATATTCGTTGCTTTGTCCATCTCTTCTTTCACTTTCTTCCAAAACTTTTCTTCTCCAATTCCTGAAAAATTCAAAGGTCAGAACTCAGAACAAACTATTGTCTGATTGTCTGCGGAGTGCGGGGGTCAGACAGTTTAGCCAGAGATTTACAACATTGTACACTCATTTAGATTGGGGGGGGGGGGGCAACCCCCAGATTATATTACCGAGATTGGAAGCGGAAATTTTACACTTCCAACCGTTTTGAATTGAAAAACCATGCAGAATTTGAATAGATTAGAGTAAGTTTGGTAGCTGATAATTTGCCTTTTACTTTATTTTTTCATCTATAAAACTGTAATTAGGCCAGTTCGATGAACCGTTGTTTTTAGCAATAAGAGTAAGTCTGAACAACAGCTGTTTTCCGACAGAATATTTCCTATGTAATTGAATATTGTCCGAATCCATTGAAAAGTAAGAGCCGAGTTTTATAAATACTAATAGAGAAAGATTATTCAGTATTTTGAACTAAAAATGGGTTTATGAGACATAAATGATTCTCGCAAAGTGTACTATAAAACCATTAATTTCTGCGGAGAATTGTGCGAAAATTTGTGCCGCGAAATTGATCATTTCTAACTCATTTCTCCATTGAATCATTTGCATTCGCGATAATACATGGTTTTACAATACATAATATTTGATTTCAAAAATAATCTAGACCAAACCAACTTGATAAGATTGATAATAATTCGTAAAACTTAAAAAATAGTAGAACAATAATTAATTGCATTTTTGGTCCGAGTACCAGCACTCAGCAGTAAGGTAAATTTTCTATTTTAAAAATAAACCATTACGGCATAACATTAAGATTCTCTTACTCAAGAAAGGATAAAATTGCAATTTAATCAACGATTCATAACACTATTTATATATATATTGCAATGTCGAACTACAATATATTTATAAATACCGTTATGAATAGCTTTATAAATAGAGATTTTGATAAATTTTAGCTACAAATATCGCTAAAAAGTCGCTTGCCGAGCAAACTTTATACTCTATAGATATCACACCAAATAAAACCATTCAGCAGAGCACACATTACTCCGCAGAGCACACAATACCAAGTCTCAAGAGTAAGTAGCAAACTGTTTGTGACGTCTTCTCGGTACCACACAATAAACGAGAAAATAAACAACCCCCACCATCACCACCGTCAACCCGACCACCACACTCAGCACCACACTCACTGTGTCCCCCTGCAGCCTGAATATCAGGTACCCCACCACACCCGCCGCCAGGAAAGTCACGAATACCAGGTACCAGCCGAACTGGGATATTGTGGAAGGGAGATGTTGGGTGTTGGGGACGGAACCATCGGGGTGGTTGTTGATGTGGTGTGGGGATACCAGTGTGGATGGTTTGTGGCTGGGTCTGAAGCAGGGGTTCCGGTGGCGGCCAGGAGAATCCGGAGAGATGAGAGGGGAGTCACGTGGGGGATCACGTGACACGAGCTGGTCATGTGATCTGCTCGTCAGATCACATGAGATTTCAGCGTTTGTTCTGATAATGTCCAAGTCCAGGGTTGTTGATTTTAGATCGAATGAGATGTCGGTGTTAGTTCTCACGATATCCATGTCATCAGTTTCTGATTTCAGATCAAATGACATGTCTGTGTTTGTCCTCAACATACCCAGATCCATATCTTCAACAACCATACTATCATCTCCACGACTCGCTCTATCCACATTGTGATGATCAATTATACTGCTGACTCGAGAGATGTTTCGAGGGTGAACTTTGAAGAGGAGTTCTGGGGTGGTCGGATAAGATGGAGGAGGAGACGGGAGAGAGGAATATGATTTAAAATCAGCCATTTCCATCCCTTCAATGCTATCAGAATAGATGTGGTCCGCAGTACCATTCATTTTCTGGGTAATGTTTTAATGGTAAATCACGGCATAATGCAAACAATTACAATAACAAATATATATAATGATCCATTAAACAGCTGTAATAGCATGAGATGGGCCATTACATTTATAATGAGAAACATATTTTATACGCAGCTGTATAGTCATTAGTATTCATTAAAATATGTTAATATGACAGGTCCATTGACCCACATTGGATCAAAACCGGCATATTTCTCTGATGAGAAAAACTCCTTAAATAGTGGAACTTTTAGTCAAACACGTCTTGATCTAAGGGAAAAAACGCATACGAAGACACCAACTTACAGATTTAAAGATTGGTGGTATCAAACTGTAAAGCTAACCCAGTTAGAGGGTGATGTGCCAGCAGATTAAAACCAAATTAGATCAATCTTACGAGCAGCTGACTTAACAAGGCACAATTGGGCTGTTTACTACGAATAACAATTTAATATCACAGAGAGAGCTCTGTGGAATAGGACGGTTACAGCCGAACGTGTGGTCACGTGTTGTTACGTGTTGTCACGTGTTATCACGTGGGTAACAGCTGGTTGTATACGCTGACATAAACTTCATATAACAACAGTTCATCTCGGGAGGAGGCTTTGTTTCTTTCCAATGTCTAATTCCAGGTTTGAATTGGGGCGTCAATGAAATTGTTAGTGTAACATAAGCTTTGTAAAAGTGAGAGCTGATGAATGCATTATATCTGTTCGGCATACGAGAGCAAACATCGTTACTCCCAAAGCTAGATGGTAGCAGTAACATTGTACTACGGAACATACTTCACAGAACAGAAACTAACTAAAAATGCAGAGTATGAGATACATTCTATCATGTTTCTAATTTTCTCACTTATCATCCCCTGGCAGAGCGATAATTACTACAAAATTCAGAGAATTTACTAAAAAATATCGGCATGTTTCGCACAAAATGACCACAAGTAACAGAGTTAAGATGCGAGTTAGCAGATACTCTAATTTCGCAGCCAGCTGCTTCTCATTTTTTAGAAATTAGAGTGCAATAAGTTACTGTGTAACTTAATGCGCGACAACCCGGTGGAGCATAAAATGATAATCCAATTTAAATTTGCTTCAGGTACAATACTGTTAATTGCATAGATTATTTGCAGGTTTAGTATTTAGTTGAGTTAACGCCTAACTGCCTAACCTGGGGATATAATAGTGAGATGGAACGGTGGGATGGAATGGTGACGTTATCAAATGGTAAAAGCAGAACGTTTAGCATCTAGGCTGTGGTAATGAGCTATGTACAATTAGGTAGATAAAAAAAACAAGGAGGAATAAAAATTCGGAAAATTAAGTGAATTAACAGGGTGAAGGTTAGAGGTATTCACTATTCGCTTCATTGAGGGTTTCAGTAATATGCCACTAATTTATTCAGAGGTAGTTGTGACTTGTGGCTGATACATGTAAATATTGATCAAATGAAGGTTGCAGAAGATGATTTCGATGGTGATATTAATTGAACACGAGCAATTAATTAAAACTTCAAACGCACTGCAAAGTGCAATCAGACAGACAACTCAAACGCAAAAACTTGCAGAGCATTGATTAGCAGAGCCCTGGTGCCTACCAAAATTAATGATATTGTGATACCACTGTTTGGGTGACCCCCATATTCAGCATAAAACCTCTGATATTCATCAAATTATCAGCTATAAAGCTGCGAGGGTTTAAATGATATTACACAATGAATTGTCTATCTGCAGTTCAACCCGACAAGTGAGGCCAGGTCCTTAGGTTACTGGAGAGGGATCTGGGGGTTGAGGGGAGGTTCCTGGGGCTGGAGATGAAATCTATCCTATTTAATCTTAAACGAAGAAAAACGTCAGGGCTAAGAACTTATAATAGTTATAGTATTATATTAGTGTCTAAACAAATATCAGTAATTAGTAATGAATATTGAGCTATTGAGTGATAAAATGTCAGCCGACAGACAAGCTTACAGAGAAGAAAAGGAAATTATAACGAGTCTAACAGATATCCCAATATTTACATTCCAAAGCTGTAATAACGACGGCAGATATCACACAAATTATATAATTATTATCTACCCAAGACCGTATAATAAACGTTTGTTAGAAAGTAACTGGTTGTAAACTATGTAAAGGCTGTCAACAGTGTACGTGTTTTACGCTTTCCTTGTGCAACGTTTAAAGTTATCAATGTTCTATTAGAAAATGTAGAGAAGCTGAAAGGGTAGATCTGAGGTAGATCTGAGGTAGATCTGAGGTAGATCTGAGGCAGATCTGAGGTAGACCTGAGGCAGATCTGAGGCAGATCTGAGGTAGATCTGAGCTAGATCTGAGGTAGATCTGAGGTAGATCTGAGGTAGATCTGAGCTATATCTGAGCTATATCTGAGGTAGATCTGAGGTAGATCTGAGGTAGATCTGAGCTTGAGGTAGATCTGAGCTATATCTGAGGTAGATCTGAGGTAGATCTGAGGTAGATCTGAGGTAGATCTGAGGTAGATCTGAGCTATATCTGAGCTATATCTGAGGTAGATCTGAGGCAGATCTGAGGTAGATCTGAGCTAGATCTGAGGTAGATTTGAGGTAGATCTGAGGTAGATCTGAGGTATATCTGAGGTAGGAGCAATGACATGAGGTCACACAACGTTAGTGACGAGTAGTCAGATGAGATGAAATGTACACTACTGTGGGAGTCATTATAGGTTGTTCTCACATCTACAGGCTAGGTGTATAATTGATGTCAGGTGTTTTAAGGTTATAATATTTTAAATGACCAGATAATTTCCGAGCTGAAAATGGAATTATTAACGTTTATAAACGTTAGTGAGCAGGGGAGCAGGTTCAAACATTTTAAACAGAGTTTATTACGCTTTAATTTTTCACCATTTACTTCTCATTTGATTGTGTCGGTTATGAATTTAATTGGATAATTATATAAACATTTGATTGCTAGTAGTATAGTGGTCCTAGAATTACACATCGTTAAATTGGTCAGAAAATAATTAAGCAGCTAAAGACTAAGACGCTAAAAACTCACGTTTAAACGTGAGTCAAAACGTGAGTCATAATTTGAGTCACATTTATCTCTGTTCGCACAATTGCTGGCTGATCAATTCGTTACACAAAAGTATACAAAATTCAAATGTGTAATTACCTTCCCAAGAATGCGACCCCTTGAAGAATGTCTCTCGAACAGTGTTGATCAACACCAAATCTTCTTGATTAACACCGTTCTTCATCACTGAAAAGGTTAATCCCATAAAACTTCTCTTTTTAGTCGACAATTTGCGAGCATGCTAAATCACTCTACACTCGATCTTCGAGATTTTTCTAAAAGGGCCCCCGACATTTGAACCAACTTGAGTCTATCGATGTATTTTCGGACGCTGATTCCGAATCACCCCCAGGCCCCTTGACATAGGGTTAAAATGCTCCCCTAGCGAGATATTGGCGAAAAACTGTCTCGATCACGTGATATGACCGTATAAGGAACTAGGAAGTTGGTCTAATTTCTCGTTAGGGTTAGGGTCGTTCAGGACCGCTAGAGAACGGGTTGAAAAAGTCACGTGACAGTTGAGTGTAGAGTGATTAATCATCATCCAATTTGGCAACAATTTGGCAACAATTAAATTACAATTTGACAAAAATGTGAGGGCAATTTGGATCTGCTAAAATTGAGTAGTATTATTTTGTAGGATGTAAAAAGTTTAACATCACTGACAAAAATATAGTACATTATATAATATTATACATAATGTATATTTTCCCTTATTCGGCGATTTTCGAGAATAGTTTGATGAAAAAAAAAGAAAGTTTTGAAGAGCTTACCGTCAACATTACTCTTAATATGCTCAATGTTTTCACAGCCAACCAGTGTAATGGGAATATTAGGGTTGGAAGTAGAAAACTGAAGGGCCAGCTTCGTCAGCGACGCGCCCTGCAACACAACTATTTAGCATCAGCTGCTAAAAAGCAGATTTTCAAAAGTAGCAGCAAGATTGGAATGTTTTTACTATGAAATATGTGATTTGAGATAATTTTCACGTGTGTTGTTAGGAAATGTAGTTTAAAGTTCCTACACTCTACATTCTCACTCAGAGAGTTAAAATATACTGCAGGTTAATACTCAGATTTGTAGTTCAGTGTAGTTTGGCATTCAGAATTCGGTAATCAGTTTTCGGTCTTCTGAATTCGATGAAGCGTTCGAACGGAATACCAAATCGAAAAGATTCTTTTTGAATGAATCACCGAATGGTTGACCCGAATAGGTACCGAATCAACGAATATCACCAAATATTTGAACATCAACCAAATATTTGAACATTCCTACATTCCTACTACTCAGAGTAAGTTTGTTGACTACTCAAAACTAGAAATCTCTTCTCGACAATATGTTTACGTGCAAATACAATCAACCTTGGGCCACATTCTGTGGCCAACCGGCCCAATTGCACTAGATTTAACAATAAAACCCTTAATCTGACAAACCTCATCACGACAAAAAGCAGCTGCATTTTGAGCAGCTTCGACTGTCTCTGGTTTGGCAGAGTGCCATTTTGGTGGTCCTGTCAAAGAGTTTTACGGATGATATCTTACAAAACATGACATATATGGCGACAAAAAATGTAAATTTTGCAATCAGGCTCGGATTAATGTATGTGTAAAACACAGCAAGGAGAATTAATACGTGGTGAGAAATGTAACTTTCAGGTTTGTTACATAATTAAGTGGATGGCACATCCGATTGTACACGTGTCTATTACCTAAAGTAATAAAGTAAGTAAGTACCTAAATCAGTGAGAAGACCCATGGCGAATGGTGAAGCGTTTATAACTCCAATACCCTGCTCGTAGAACCACGGCAGATAATCAGCCAGCTCGGTGTCGTTAAGTGTGTACTTGCAGTATGTCAGAACCACGTCTATCTTCACGGATGACAGTTCTATTACCGTCTTCAACTTCTCCAATGGGTATCCTGATAAGGAAGAACTTTAAACAGTGGTCATTAGAACATTGTCATCACTGAGTCTATTCAGAAAAAATCAGATATTTTCTTGAAACAATCATCAAATGAGACTCAATAACACTACGCGACTTAGTGTTAATAGATGTTACGTTTACATTTTCATATTATTCAACTGTGTTGCTATGAATCATACCTGAATCATACCTGAAATGCCGATATATTTAATTTTTCCTTTTTCCTTAGCTTTCTTCATAGCAGGAAGTGCTTCGTTGATTACAACTTCCAAAGTTGGAGCAAATTCCACATCATGGCAAAAACATATGTCCAGATATTTACATCCAAGTAATTTGATAGATTTATCAATGCTTTCAGTTATCCTATCAAAGCTAAAATCAAACCTGCAGAATGGATTTTATGGTATTAAATAATAGGATTCGGTATTTGGGACATGAAAAATACGATGGGTATTGCAATGCAACTTTGATGAAAGCACTTGCAGGGAATTGTATTAATAAGGAAAATTTCATCTAAATATTATTTATTGACATTAATTTACCATTCAAGAACATCGTCACTGTAGTATCTTCCACATTTGCTACTGATAATATATTTAGAGCGAGAAATGTTTGGCAAAACTTGACCCAATAACTCTTCACTGTTGATGTACCAAGGAGAAGTATCTATATAATTCACACCTGTAAGATGTTTGTATTACTGCCTATGTGAATACACACCAGTTATTATACATAAGACATACAATCGAATCTAATGACGAATGGATTCGTTATTAAACACTTGAATTCACCGCAGAAGTCTATTGCTAACATAATATTATGCAGCATAATCAACTGGAAATTCAATAATTTGAATACCATAATTAAACAAATTTTCTCCAACGCTACACAGCGGGGAAGTCAAGGGGTATTTTGGAGTATTTTGGGGTATTATGGGGTATTATGGGGTATTATGGGGGACATAATTATGGGGGATTTCCAAAATCCATTCAGGCATTCCCCCAAAATACCCCTTGGCTTCCCTTTACACAGTACACAGTAACATCAATTATTTAGATTTAATTCAGTGGTTTATGATTATAGTATGATTATAGTATGATAACAGTATTATTACAGTATGATTATATTATGATTACATTATGATTACAGTATGATTACAGTATGATTACAGTATGATTACAGTATGATTACAGTATGATTACAGTATGATTACAGTATAATTACAGTAAGATTACAGTATGATTACATTATGATTACATTATGATTACAGTATGATTACATTATGATTACATTATGTTTACATTATGTTTACATTATGATTACATAACTACATAGCTTACCATGCTTAAGAGCATACTCAATAACAGCTTTGGCTGCCTTTGAATCATAGTGATCTTTGAATGCAGCACCACCAATACCAATTTGACTGATGTTTAGTTTCGTGTTCCCTAATTTAGTCAGCTTCATCAGAAGTGTCTAATCCATGCTAAATTTAAAGGGTTTTAAACAATAATCAATATAAGCATAAATTGTTAAGATACACGTATACCAAAGCTTGTTAACTGTTTAACGTTGTCAAATTGCAAAAAAAACGACATATTATATTAAATATGAATTTAATATGAAAAAAAACGGGCATGGGCTGCTATATTTTCTGTATTAATAAATTCCAGCCATAATAAGACCTGTCGATGTGAACGAAAATGTATCTAACTGTTACAACACCTTATGTGATGTAATTAAGATTACTTGCACTATCTTTAAGTTTACCAAACCTCGATTAGAATACGATGTGACTGATGCGTGGTTGTAATAGTGTTGATTGATCCATATTCCATATTATAGTACGTAATATAGGGTGTTTAAAAGCTAACATATATCAATATTTGCTCAATTTCACACAATATGTTTAGATATCATCAAGAGTATAATGACTGATAAAGTGAACTTGTTTGTGCCTTCAGTGTTTTTATTTGCTCACAACTATGTGATACGTCATGACTCATGACTAGCTCACATTTACGCTCACGCTATGACTGATAGCTATTCATAACTTTGTTTGTTATTGATATTTTTTGATAAAAAGCATTAACTAGGGAACACTCTATCATCATCGTCTGATAAAACTTAATTTTTACAGAATAGATGATGAAGAGAAACTATTTAATATTAACTGATTTCAAATTTACAAAAATATTGCAGCATTTCGAAGAAAAATATGTACAATAATCGTATTATAAATATAAAACACTTCTCAGATCTGATCATAACAATTTACAAATAATACTATCCATATTTATTAATAAGAGGAAATAACTATGAAATGGGCTATACCTTTAATGGTTGATTAAAAAACCTATCCTTTAAACGAAAATGTTATTAAAAAATGCTGAAAGATTTAAAAATACTGAAAACGATAAAACTTAAAACCCATAAGCAATTATGCTGACTTATTAACAATAATAATAACAAACAGAAATTCATACATCGCTTTATAGCCAAAAAGAACTCAAAATCCAAAGATTCAGTTCAAGCCATCTAAAACGACTTATGAACAATGAACATGTACATACGAACTTAGCATGTTATGACATATGGGTTTTTATGAAAATTGTTATTTTATGAAACTTATATGAATACTTTTTCAAAAAGATGAGTCTTTAGTCTATTTTTAAACAAGACAATATCGGTCAATGTTCTCAATTGATTTGTTTTAGATAGGATACAAACACATCTGTCTTTACTACAGTAGAAACCTGCTTCATGAACGTGTATAGAAGTATAAGTGATCTAATCTTCTTTATCATCTAATTATCTAATTGTTAATCTTCTTTACAGTTTACCTCCAGTTTACCTCCAGTTTACCTCCAGTTTACCTCCAGTTTACCTCCAGTTTACCTCCAGTTTACCTCCACATCTACTTCCAGCTCCATTTCCCATCAGCCCAAGCAAACAGCAACTGTAGCAGTAGATCCAGCAATAGCATACACAATGATGAGGACTATGAAGGCAAAGAGGTATAATGCCTTGTTACAGTAAGGGTCATTTTCTGGGGGAAGAAGGGTTACTTCTTAATAACAATGAGTTGGAAAGTAACAAATCAAGTGTTGAGAAAATTGTTAAAGCGTATGAATAAATCAAGCCTTGTAGAAATGCACTATTATATAAGTACAGTCTATGTGACTAATAAGTAACAATCGTTAACTAAAATTCGACTAGTATTTAGCACAAATACAGATTACAGAGCTAGCTTACCAAAGTAAATCTCATTCAGTGCCTTGTCCTTAAATCGAACGGTTACAGCAGCATTACCAGCTCTAATCTTGTCAACTTTCCTCTCCCAAAAATAACACGTTTCAAGTCTCTCTTTTGTAGATTTCACCAAGGTATGGCCATTGAACCCTATCTCGACAACCGTGAAGTTGAAAAATATGGACCATTCCCCAGCCTGGGTCGTACCGTTACCTCTGTAGGAAAATATTTTATCACACAGATCGATGTGTTTGTCGGTTATTTTCAATTGTTCCCTTTCCTTGCCATTCCAGTTGATAACCAATGTTTGGTTCCTCGTTCCTTGTTTTGTAGTTACTAGGAACGTATTATTGGTAAATGGACCATCTATATCGTCATATGGATCCACTTTGACCATTGGTTCGGGTCTATTTTCTGAAAATTGTTAACATTATTTATATGGTGTATTATGTACCTCAAGGTTGTACAGTAGAGCTCATAATGATATTATAAATATGAGCCAAAAAATTATGGCACAGCAGGAAATGGAACATTATTATGAAATCCTATTTAAAGATTTAACTATAACATAGCATCGAGGCATAAATTGATATAAAATTGACCGAACGGACTGAGATCTATTATATTTCTGTGGACATTTTCAAAATCAATAATATCATCTGAACAAAAATGAAAGTTACCAGTAGGTGTGTACTCCACGCGACGGAACTCCTTGAATACCCAGTAGCTGCCACCAAGAAACCAACCAATGACAAATAAAATTGCCAGACCACACACCCATCCCAAGAAGTTACCAAACCATCTGTCTGAGGAATACATTTTTGTTTTAAATTATTAAATTGGCAGAAATAAAGAAACTCGATCATACTACTAGAAGTCATAACAGAAAAGAGACAAGACATTATTTAAATTGGATCCCACTAAAGACGTCTTCTAAATTAGTTGGTTAAGTAACAAAATGTGCTCACCACTTTCTAGGTTAAAAGTCACATATCAATAGCCCAAACAGATCATTTCAAAATGATAATTCCAAGCTAACTCAAGAGATGACATTGCATCATGTAACAAAAAACAATCATGGTGATAAAATATGACAAAATTTCATATAACTTAGAACACAACCTGTAACAGGTATTAGTTATATTAGCAATAGTGTTAACTCACGTTGATCAACCCAGTTAGGTGCCCAGATTCTCAGTCCAAGTAAGAACCAACCAACACCATTCAGGACCATGTATAGAGGTATGTTGCTTGAGAGGGGACATTGGTCCCAGTATACGATTCCCACAACCATTTGCGCGAGAGGAATTCCACATATAAGTAGGTTCACCATAACTGGAATCAGTTTGGATTTTAAAATTGCAACAATCAACTAATGCACCAAATGAATTACATATCACACACAATAAATAAAAAAGAAAGAAACAAATCAGTCACCATGATCAAATCGATTGCACTGCAGAATGAATGAAACTGACAGTATATTTTTAATCTTAATCTTCCTAGCAGTTTTATGCACTGATCACTGTTAACAGAACTTAAGATCAATTTATATCAAACTATTGAATTGATAATGACTTACTAAATTTCCAGAACAGCTCACAACACGAATCCGGCACATATTGTTCCTTGTTCCTATTGTCTGCATTTCCAAAGTCTTTCATCCTTTCAGTGGTCTTGCTAATGGCAGTGCTGGCAGGTCCAAAAACAGAGTCATATGTGGGTGGTGCAATATTTTCCGTTGCCTGAAGTAGCAAAAAATTTATGACAATTTATTTTTTTTATAAAGCAGTGGCGTAATGAAGAGCCCCGCTGTGCCAACAGGCAACGTTACGCCACTGTTATAAAGTACATTATTTATGATTCAGTTCTTATGATACTGACCGCATCATTAGGAGTATACTCGTAAACAGGGCAAGGTATTTCTTCAGCTGGTGCAGATGCAGATCTACTATACTGCGGGCTTGATGCAGATGTGGTCGTTTTCATTGCAGCCCCAGGATCTGTACCCACAGGAGTATAACCATCAAATGCCATCGATTTGTAACTGCTAAGTAACACACTTTTAAAAATTCATTTCAATTGTCAAAACCAATTCATAATAAGTATAGAATGTGTTCATCATGAAATGAAATGTAATATAAAGGTATTACCATTTATATCCTGCCTATCAAAATAATATTCAAGATAATAAAGATGAAATTCCCTAAAATATTACAATTTCTATAAAACATTCTATAAAAATTCTATAGAACTCCAAATATGCAAACAATCTGAAAACTCCAATATACAATAAAAAATCATAGAAAAGGTTTACTACAGAACAGTACCTGATGATAAAAGTTATTTAAGAAAATACAAAACAGTCATACCAAACAATCTGGGCAACATACAAGTAGAGACGGTGAAATAAACAGAGTGGGCAAAGATTGGGTAAAGATTGATCAACAACACAAGGAAGGTGGTCAAAGTAAGTAAAGTAAAGTACAAATTATGACATCAAAACATTACACATGTCTACATTGACCATTGTTAATGATCTGGCCCGGCGCGCGCTACTTCGTAGCACTTGCCAGAGAAGAAAGCGGCGCGCGCTACTTCGAAGAAATTTAGACGAGTAACATCCGTCAAATGTCTACAAAATATCATCGCACCATGTGAAAAATATATAAAAAATATTTTCCCACCAACATTTATCATTTATCATTTATAAAATACAATATCATTAATTTCATTGTCATTGTAATTTTGTTGACGGCCCCAACGCGAACGTTAATGTGGCTCTTGCTATGTGTTGGTTCAGCCGAATTAATTATTATGTAATCAAGTTTATTTTTCTCGTTAGTTGTCATCCGGCTAAACATTAAGCAACTTATATTACAGTACCATTTATCAATTAGTATATCAAAATATGTCATTGTAATTTTGCATGGCTGAAATGTAACGCTTGAACCAACTGCGGCCAGGTAGCGCAGTTGGTTAGCCAGCTTTGCAATCGTGAGGTTGCGGGTTCAAATCCCACTGCCTGCCTGGTCGTGGGGTGAGTGTCGTTGACATTCAGCTAAGGATCGTGAGTGGTCTATGCAGCCCCCTGGTCTACTCAGCCGAATACTCGAGAAATCGGGTGTGAGGGTTAAATGAGGAGCTGCACATTGCAGCAAAGTCTCGGGCGAAGAAAGTATGGTACACACTACCTTAACCGTCACTGGCTAAAAACAAATCCTTCGGCTTCCTGTAATTGGCTGGTTGCACTTGTGTAACAATATGGCTGTTGGAATACTCCGAAGTAAAATAAGTGTCTAGATAAAAAAAAATTTATATACATCCTCTCGATTTTTATTTCTGGGGGTATTTAAAATCAAAGGTTTACACCAACCCTTACCCAAAAACAGTGGAGGAACTCAAACAGAACATCAGGAGGGAGTGCCGGAAGATTGGAAAAATTCAAATTAGTTCGGCAATAAACAATTTAAATAGTCGACTGCAATACGTACTTGCCAAGAAGGGTGGATATTTTGAGCAAATTCTTAATTATTAACAATTTTTTTTATTACTATCATTAATTCAAATATATTTCCAACAAAATTTAGTTAAAAATAACTATGAAGTTTGATTTTGTAAAAAATTACAGAAGTGGAAAAAAGTCACACTTTCTACGGTACACCCTGTATATATTATTATTATTATCAAACATGTCAATCTTACAAATGTCAACAATCCTAAAATAATTTAGAACCGAAACGTGATCCTTTGTAAAATAATATGTCCCAATAATCAAATTGACTTGTACTCAAGTATAAAGTTAAACAATTTACTCCAATAACCACGGTCACTAGCAAGTTCTCTCAAATGGAGAATATCATCATACGACTCCAGCAAGATGAAGCGCTTCCAGAGGTCAACCTTCAGGTGGTGCAGGAGGTTACGTCTGGGAGCCCCGAGTCTACCAACTTCACCACACATCTCGACAGCAAAACACAGCGCAGCTTGAGCTGGTGATCTTTCGTCGCTCCTCAGTATGTGTCCTAGCATCTTCCACCTAGATAACTCAGCACGCTCAGACATAGGAGTAGAGTTACTCTGTTTGTAGAGGGTATCTTTGGACATCATACTGCGTGGCCAGCTGACATTCATGATCTTTCTGAGGTGGTTACGGTGACATGCATCTAGTTTGTCCCAGTACGATTTAGGCATTCCCCAGCAACTAGAGTTATACATGAGGATAGATACTACTTGGGCCTCATAGACCTTCAGCTTCTTCTGTAGGGGGATCTTACTCTGGCACCAGACCTTCTTGAAGTTCTGGAATGCTACATTGGCTAACATGATTCTTCTGGTGACATCTTTCCTACTTTCTAGCAGAGAACCCAACAATTTGCTACTGCACCATTCTTCATTCATTCTAAGGGGTTTACCATCATCCATGACCTCATCTTTCCCAGCTATGTAGACGTGTACAAACTCTGTCTTTGATTCATTAATATTCAGATTCCACTCTTTGAACACCTTAGTAGCGATAGGGAGGAGGGCTTCTAGAGCATCTTTGTCTTCACCAAGATAGTCGATGTCATCAGAGTATGCATCTTCTTCAGGCATGCCGCTAGGGCTTATAGGGGGGGTTGGTCGCAGCGTCACGGCACGCAGGTGGTAGCAGGCACCAGCTAGAGTGATTGTGAAACAGAGACCTGAAACACTATCACCTTGGGGTCCTCCATTGGTGCTGATGAATACAAGGGAGGTAGCGTCGTTGACTCGCACCTTGATCTTGGTGTTGCTCAGGAGGAATCTCACTAGTCTGATCTCATCTATATATATAAGTAAAAATTATTCAAACAATATACACATCATATAACAATTACCCTATATAAAAATTCAATAGAAAACTAAATAAAATTTATAAACACCCTTTAAGTAGTATAATTAAACCAGTTTAAAGAACTGGCAAAAAAAAGAAAAAGGGGGGACCCCCAACCCATGTAGCTGATACACCTCACAGCAAGTAGACCAATGTGGCTCTTGCTTGTGAAAGGTGTATCAACTACCCGCCGAGGCGGTGGGTTGGGAGTCCCCCCTGGGATCATTTCGTCCGTAAAATTTTACACATTATAAAAGCTACAATAAATTAAAGAACTGGCTCCAAATTTATATCTAATTCTGCTATTTTTACTGCACTACTACTTTATAATTTATATATATAATGATTAATTGAATTTTTAAATTAAAAAAAATAGAATTATCAAATACATTATTATATATTAAAACCTATTTAAACTTCTCAGTGGAATAAAGATTTATAAACTGTTTTTTACCACATAATGATAAAACTTGATTGACGATGTCAATCCGTCGAGATCGTTGCTCTGCGAAGCAGAGCAACGATCGACGACGAAGCAAGAATGCTAGTTTGCTAGTTTGCGCGGCCCGGCGCGTCGAAGCGGCAAAGTCCTCCAAGGATAAAACCATGAAGATAGTCATTATGTTTCTTTTTAATAGAGTGGCTAACTATAAGTGTGTTGGAGGACTTCGACACGCCGCGCAAACTATCATTTTTACTTCGCATCGAAGTTGCTTTGTTAATTCCAAATTCGCAAAGCAACGATTTGAAAATGTTTTGTAGGTTTATAACCGGACCTACTAAGATGCGCGCCAAGTTGGACTCGTCGACGGTCTTGATATTTGAAACAAATACTTTACGATCAGTATCACCCGTTAAAAGGGGTTGACATCATCAATCAAATGAATGTGTAAATATGTAAATCCTTCGCAGCTCGGCGAGGGCTTTTACTAATTCGCTCGCCCAAAAATTTCACGTGACTTTGGTTTTTATGGTTTTGCAGCCGTACAAAACGGTTTTACATAAACCTTAATCCCAACCCTAACCCTAACCATAACCCCGAAGCTATCCATAACCCTTACCACAACCCTAACCTTACTGGGCCGCGCTCAGCCTGTCATTCCGCCAAATCTATATTCGGGCTGAGTGATTTACGACCTCCATCGCCTCAGAAAAAATGGCAGTACGCTCATTGGAAGTTGATGTGCGCGTGACCAGCATTCACGTGATCATTTAGAACCAATTGGGGCCTCAGAAAAGACACGTGCACGCAAACTGCCAATCGGAGAAAAGTAACGTATTAGCTAGAGGAGCCGCGCGCTGAGTTAGATTGTAAAATTTGATTATTGGATTGTAAAATCGAGCGATATGAGTGTCATCAGTGATGTGCTGCTCACTGCACCTCGTGTTATCACACTACACAGTTACATCGGTACCTCCTTCATGTTTATGTTGTTCCTGTAGTTAAAATATATTTTGATGACCTTTTCTTGCTCGTACGACATTTAAAAAAATCGTCCAGTTGTCTACACTTGTTTATATTTAGCTGCCCGACATTTACTTCGTTTAAAGACCCTAGCGAAAGATGTTAGCTTTACTTAATATCAAAGTAACATGGTCCTGTCATGACTACCACTCTGATGAGGGATGGTTTAGTTTGTCAATCAGTTTGCAGTTATATCTGAAGATTTTCTTTTATATACTCATGCTATGCATTTGAATTAAATTTCCGAACTAAGGTCGTGTTACTTAAATCCAAATCAAGAGGTTCAGGGTACTAGAAGGAACAAAATATGTCAGATTGATGTTGACCATTATACTGTCTGTTTGTTATAGTTTTTATTTCTTTCGGACTGCCTGTTCGGGCCCGGCTACTTTTTGTCGTTTTCAAAGAAGGCCTGTGATCGAAAGAAATCTCTTAGATGTGATCTATAGATTAGTTCTGCCCTGCACCTTTTTCCTTTACAGTTAGTGTCAAAATTCTGAATTGGATCGTAGAAAAACACTTTAATGGTCTGATATTCATACTGTACAATCTTTGATGATGGATTAAGATATTTAATCCTAGTTATTACTTATTTAATAGATTGCATTGTGATGGAAATCATGTGTTCTCGTACTCTATATTAGTCACTTTGTCCTTAATCCTAGATGTTGTAAAATATTTAGTTTGTTTTAACATTTTTGCAAGAATAGATTAGTCTCCCTGAATTGAAATCGGGA